AATCGTTCATGGCGCTCACAGGGGTTCCATGATGACAAGGCGCACTCAGTGACCGGGGCCGCAGATGGTGGAGCTACGGAACGTGGACGGACACGTAACCAACTGGTGTAGATCCAGGGGGGTAGATGTTTGCACACAGTCTGAGGTGATCACATGGCGGCTTTTTTGTGGCCAGAATGCTGTTTCTATGCTTCGGCCGTCTCGGGCCCGTTGTGCGCGCCGATTGCTCTTCGCAAAGAATGATGATTATTGCCGCGGCGCATGTGATGGTTAATGAACCTGGTGCGGAGGTGGAAGGGCTCAAGGTCCCTGGTACTCCATTCAGCTTTGATATTGTTGCTGGCACTGTGGATGTGGATATTCAGATGAAGGTGGATCAAGATCAACGCGGTGGAGCGTCCTCAGGTGAGTCTCTCATTCAACAACACTACACAACCGCTAGCAACACTGAGGATTCTCGATACATCAATAGTATACGGAGTAATGCTTGACTCTTGGAAAGGAGGATCAAGTCCTATTTGTCTAGCTTATGCGCTATCCTTCCTCAGAATACACACTCTCAATCGCATCTTCAAACCTCAAGTACACCTGCGCCCGGATCACGCTCCCTTTGGCCGTCCGAGGCACAGTCGCGCCGCGCACCAACTTTACCATCTCCTTGTCCAATCCCACCTTGAACGTACCATTGATATCGCGCTCGATACCATTCCAGACGCGGCCAAGAATGTCGCTATCCGACACGGCGCAGCCTGCCTTGACAAAGACCAGCACGCCGGGCCTTGGCCGGTCCTCGCCAAAGACCACGGCTTCATCGACAAGGTTACCGTTGGCCGACTTGATTGCCTCCTCGTAGGGAAGCGCGTTGATGCACACCAGGTCGTCTCCCGGATACGTCTTGACGACGTCGTCCCGTCGGCCCACGGGCTTCCACCGCTCCAGCGTCGGGTGCTTGAGGAAGAGGTCACCCGTGTGAATGGAGCCGTCCTCGCGGTTGGCCCACTGCTTGTCCTGGAGGGGGTGACTTGGCAGGATGACAAGCTCATAAAGCTGCTCGCCGTCGCTGCCGCTGGCGCCGGCACTGTCGTCGCCGTCGAGTGGCAGGAATGCCATGTGCGGCTTGTTGAACTTGCTGGGCTCAACGTATTCCCAGTCTGCGTCTCCAGGCGGCCGAGTGGCTGAATTCATGCCGCACGCCACTTCCGACATGCCGTACTCGTTTGCGAGCCGCACTCCCCGCTTGGTCAGCTTGTCGCCGAGCTGCTTGGGGAAGACGCCTCCGATGACGGCCACCATCATGCATTGTGCGAGTATATCGATGCTCTTCTCGTCAGACACGACTGTACTGAGGAGAAAGGGGACGAAATAGGCAATATTCGGCCTCGCTTCCTCGAGAAGCTGCCTGTAGCTCTCCGAAGAGAGCGGCAGCTTCTCATTGGCGTAGAAGGCCGGCCGGGTCTTCATGAACGACATCAGCACAGTGAAGATGCCGACCATGTAGTAAAACGAGGAGCCGACGAACACGGACAGCCCAGCACTTGGCGGCAGCGAGTTGAGCGCCATCATCAGCTCACGATGAGTCTTTGGGATGAGCTTGGGCAGACCCGTGGTACCGGATGAGTGCACGATGAAGACGACTTCGCTCGCCGCTGTCGTTGCCCAGTAGCTGCTCCTGTCTGCATTGCCGGTGGTCTTTGTTGATGCCTTCTCCGCGGATACTTCCTCCACGGAAGCCAGGGTGATGGTCTGTGCCGGCAGCTGAGAGGTGTCTGGGCCAAACGACTCGCTGATCAAATATCTGCAGGTAGCCTTCTCCAGAAGCTTTGCGGTTACTTCCTCCGAGAGCGTTGGCGCGAGGGCGAAGATCGTGTGGCCCATCTGTAGCAGGGCGACAAAGGTGACGACCCATTCGATTGTCGAACTTGCCTGTAGCCCAATAACCTTCGGCTCGCCCCCGTCTTCTCGCCGCGGGATTCCGCGGTGCTGATAGAACGTGGCAGCATCGTGTGCTAGCTGTTCAATCTGGTGAGGAGTGTAGTATGACAAGTCAGCCCCGACGCGCTGAAAGGCCATCACCTTGTCTTCCCTATGCGTGCATTGGGCCAAGTACTCTTGGATTGTGCTGGACTGTAGCGCCCCCTTGGAGGCCACCATCTCTGGCGTGTTGACTGTCATGTTGATTGCGGTGCGGAACGTGTTTCCACAATGTGAGGCCTATCCTCCAGGAGTATACAGTATTAAAAGCGGAGGCGACAAGCTGTGAATTTTCTTCGTTTTGGCCGGCGCGAAAAGACCGGCGGGTTTCAATATTGATGCATTCCTTGAGTTCTTGGTTGTAAGGATCGGAGCAATTCCCTTTGCCCACTCCAATTCACCGATCATCCTCGGCTGAACTTGAAAATCGCCGTTCACACCAACTTCTTCATTCGACTTCAAAAGTCGATAAGGCCTACTCCGTTTCGATTGAAACCTGCCGGCTGGAGGACGGCTCCGGGTTAGCCCCATGTAAGAAACATCCAGGCCTCGATACAGCTGCCTGTATCTGTAGTTGTTGGTGTTCCATAAGCCGCACATTTCCCTTAGCTACGGCTTGGGGGATCTTTGGTGTTCTTGCCCCTTTCTTTGCAGCTGTTTGATTCTTTCTCGCCTACAACCCACAAGCTTCAACATCACATGGACTTGCCTATTATCACCAATCTGAGCACCCTGAGCACACCAGCGCTCTGCGGTTGGCTCACAGCCCTCCTTGCCATATGGTACGTCGTGACTGCCATTCAGACATGGTATCCCCTCAGGCACGTCCCGGGACCCCGTCTTGCCTCCTTCTCTTACCTCTGGATGCTGTGGAACGATATCCGGGGCACGAACTTCGAGAAGTACACCAATTTTGGCAAGTATGGCTCTCTCGTCCGCAACGGCCCCAGGTCTCTGGTCACAGATGACCCGGAAGTCCTTCGGAAGATATCTGGCGCTCGGAGCCGGTACACAAGGGACGAGCACTACTACTCGGCCAGCAGGGTCGAGGCAGACAGGGAGAATATGATTACGATCCTCGACACGGCTAGACACGACGCCTGGAAGGCTAAAGTGGCCAGTGGTTACAGTGGAAAGGAGAATCCGGACCTCGAACAAGCGGTCGACGAACAAGTCATGCGACTGGTTGATCTGATTCGGCGCAAATACCTCTCCACCAGTGGCAATCTGCGTGCCGTTGACTTCTCCCTGCTCAGCCGATACTTCACCATCGACGTCGTCAGCCGTCTCGGCCACGGCAAGGCGATGGGCCACCTAGACGAAGGAGAGGATGTGTTTGGGTGGTTTGGCGATGTTAAGAAGCTCATAGTATTCCTTATAGCCACGGATATCCCGTGGATCCGGAGGGTTGTAATGTGGAAACCCTTGTTCCGCCGCTTTGGGCCGAAGCCAACCGACAGAAGAGGCATAGGAAGAGTTCTAGGGTACGAACTCCCTCTTAGTCCAGAATCACAACGGACCTTTCAACTACTAATCGTGCTAATTCCGCCATTCAGGTACACGCGGAACATTATCGCGGAACGCTTCGAGAAAGACGCAGAGCCTCATCAAGACATGTTTGTAAGGACTTTAATCTTGTCAATGCTGCTTTGAATCTTTGACGAATGTAGATCCTCTGATCTAACTCTGGTATAGGGCGCATTCATACGCCGAGGCCTTACAAAGGAACAACTGGAAGGAGAGGCTGTGCTGCAGCTTGTGGGAGGTTCAGATACAACAGCTACCACTATCCGCGGGGTTATCTTGCATCTTGCTACCTCACCCTCTGCTTACAACCAGCTCAAGGCCGAGTAAGTACTCTAGAGTCAATTTTAGCCCCAGTAGAGGGATCCGAGATTCTATAGTCCCAGGCTCCTGGACTTTTTCAAATCACAAAAACTGACTGCACTCCTATTGCGCAGGATAAAGGAAGCCATTGCACAGGGCCGAGCTTCATCTCCAATCACCCTTCAGGAAGCCCTGAAGCTGCCCTACCTACAAGCCGTGATCTGGGAGGGCTTCCGCATGAGGACTCCCGTGACCTGGGGGCATTACAAAGTCGTCCCTCCGGAGGGCGACACCATCAACGGGCTATTCATCCCCGGAGGCACAGCCATCGGGCACAACTCATTGGCGCTCGCACGGCGCAAGGACATCTGGGGCGACGACGCAGCCGTCTTCCGGCCGGAGCGCTGGCTCGAATGCAGCGCTGAGAAGAAGCTGGAGATGGACCGGGCGGTTGAGATTGTCTTTGGCGGGGGGCGGTGGATGTGTGCTGGTAAGCCGATCGCCGTCATGGAGTTGAACAAAGTCTTCTTCGAGGTGAGACTCCCCAGTCATGGCCTTCTTGCTGGTATGCCATGCCCACCAGCCCAGCTGACGCAGAATGTCATGGTACAGTTGCTTCGGGTATTTGACTTTGCGCTGGTGAACCCCGTAATGCCGGTGAAGGAGACGGCTCTTGCGGGCTTCGTGCATACGGACATGTGGATGAGGTTTACAGAGGCGAAAGCATAGGCAAAGAAGCGTACAGTAGACGTTTGCGACTAACTTGAAGTAATGGAGGCCAGTTGACAGCATGATGCCTCATCTACCTGTTTAGTAGACCTATAGGCTTTGACCCTTTGGGCCGATTGGCTATATTCCTGGCCTTGTGGGATCCGGACTATTTAATGTTACTAAACCTTGCTGTGCAGCCTGTGCCTGTATGGCTTAGTGTTCACTGCAGCATGTCAGACATAACTTGACAATCATAACTTGACCCGATGACTTCCGGTCCTAAATCAAAGAAAGTCTAATCTTACCCCTACATCGCTACAATAAGATATGGTCCATATTTACTAAGGCTGAGAGCGGATGTAGACTCTGCAAGTCATTGATGTCATAGTCTATAGTATAATCTCACCACAGATAATAAAAAGTATAATATTATCTAACAGGTCCTAAAGCTTTCAAAGCTTTCAGACCTTCCAGCAAATCATCCAGCAGCCATGTCTTCTCCTCTGATGGCCCGATGCGCCAGGCCCATCACCTCCTACCCTGTTATCACCACTAACCTCTGGAGCCACTCCATCCGCCCATTTTCAACAACCTCGACGCAGCAGATCCGTCTCTTCTTCCCGGAAACCCAAACAAAGAAGATTCGAGTGACGCCGCCAGCATGGCCGCATCCAATGTAAGGCACACCAGCATTTCCAACGCAGAAGGATGCCTACTAACACTCATCTAGCTACACCGAGGAGCAGATGCAAAGGGTTGGCATCTCCCATCGAGAGACACGCACGTTCGGTGATAGGGTGGCTCTTGCCATGATCCGGTTGCTCCGGTCTGGATTCGACCTTGTCTCAGGCTACCGACATGAGCATGCGGTCTCTATGCATGAGAAGGACCCGGCAAAGGCAGAGCAGAAATATAGGATGACAGAGGAGAAGTATCTCATCCGGAACATTTTCCTTGAGAGCATCGCCGGCGTCCCGGGTATGGTTGGGGGGATGTTGCGACATCTCCGCAGTTTGCGGAGGATGAAGCGAGATAATGGCTGGTACAATCTTTCTCCCTCTCACCCCCCTTCAAATCCCAGATTCTGATGGGCGCCAGGATTGAAACGCTGCTGGAAGAATCTTTTAATGAACGCATGCACCTCCTTACCTTCCTCCAAATGGCCGAACCAGGTTTCTTCCTCCGCCTCCTTGTCCTTGGTGCCCAGGGCGTCTTTTTCAATGCCTTCTTCATCGCATACCTAGTCAACCCACATATATGCCACCGCTTCGTTGGCTACCTTGAGGAAGAAGCTGTGATCACATATACACGTGAAATTGCAGATATTGAGGCTGGTAAGCTACCTAAGTGGGAGCATATGCAGGCGCCTGAGATTGCAGTTAAGTACTGGAACATGCCAGAGGGGCACCGTAGTATGCATGACCTGCTACTATATATCCGGGCAGATGAGGCAAAGCACCGTGAGGTGAATCATACACTTGGAAATTTAGACTGGAAGGAGGATCCAAACCCATATGTGTCTGTATATCGGGATGCAGAGAAGCCGCATCCTGGCAAGGGTATTGAGCATTTGAAGCCAACGGGGTGGGAGAGGAAGGATGTGGTGTAGAGAGTTCAATGAAAAGGTCATTTTCTCAGATCACATGCCAATCTGACAGAAGCGAGCGTACATTTGAACTTATCTGGCGTAATGACTTTCGCCACCTGAGAAGGTCGGTGTGGGAACGGCGTTTTACACAGAGTGTTAAGGGGAGATCGAGGCTAAGTTCAATTTAATCCATGATTATACCATAACTTTTGCCTCCCTGTTCTGCCCTGTCTGGGGATTACTAGAACTCTGGACTCATGCCATACAGTTCCTGTGCGCTCTTCACCCCCAGCATGTGACACCAATGGGCAACCCGCATGGGGGAGCTTCTCTCTCCCACTGGATGTTGGTGTCTCTCGAATTGCCTATTTACAAGGACCTGAAGCTTCCAGACCCACAATGGGGTTTAAAGGGAGTGCATTGGAATCTGCTTGCGGAGGGTGGCTGTGGTGTTGTTTCAGATAAAGGAAACGACGGGTTGAGAGACCAAGGGAGAGGGCAATTCCGGCGGATGTTGTATGCGAAGCCTGCACGGTCATATGAAAATGGAAGGGGAACCGATATGTTAAGTGTGTATGTCAAAAGACCTTGATCTCACTACAGCAATGTACATCGATAGCGGGTGGACTTTATTCTGGCTTACTGCAAAGGTCTGTGTAACTAGTACGGAGTAGTTAGTTAACGTAATCGGATGATGCTAATACAGCGCCCTTTAGGGTTGATGGTGTCAAAGATGTCATGCCACATTACAGTAATAATAATTCAGCTTCATTGGACGCATAGTTGAGGATCCACGCGGCTAGGACTACGTTAACCAGTCTAGATGCAGTGGCTTGCCTGCGTCCGTGACATGGAACTCTGACATACCGCTGACTAGGGCCTGGCAACACGCGCCCCACCATTGCCACAGAGATGTTAATGGGAAAAGACTTTGTTTACTCCGTACTCCTGCTTTAATTGTGGAATTAGTGGTCTGCCCCACAGCCAATACTAGAACATTATGGCCTTGAACATTGCTACGTGAGTCAGAATAGCAGCTTGTTGGAGGATTGTGGTTTGGAGATGGATGTACTTGCCCTTGATTTTGTTGTACTGCGTACCTGTCATGTTGACAATGGAGACACGGTGAAGCATAATAAACTTGAAGTGTTCTTTGATACAGACTGGTTCATGGAAAATCTTGATTCAGGTAGTAGTGTAGAAAAAAGATTAATCTAACCCTATTCATGTGTGTCCTTTGCGCATTAGCAGCAAATGAAGTGGGCCCTATATGTAAGCACTCCCAACACCATCATTAAAGATTGTTCACCCTTTAAACCTGTGTTATCACTCCCATCTGTGATCCTGAAATCCCAACAAAGCATTATCCACTATCCCATCTTACACGTCAGCGCGAGAGAGCTAGCTTGTTTAGCAGTCTCACTGCAATCCCCTGTTCTATACTATTGATATTTTAGTTCAAGCAAGAAGGATTTCTTCGCGTCGGTGTATGGAGTTGGGCTCAAGATATAAATTGTCAGTCTACCTAATTTTACTGATGCAGAATGTTCCTGTTTCCTCCTTCTGGCTGGTCTTATCTTTTCAAGAATGGCTAATATGCGTGCGTTCTTTATTTTTACAATTTTAGGCTTGAGCAAATACGTTCTTGCAGCTATGAGTTTGAATTACACGGAGCCCGTGGAACAATTGTTCCTGGATCTCCCTTTGCAAGACGTGATCAATGATACCGCCGGGATGCCGGTCACCGAACCTTGGGCTAGCGAGTACGTCGACGCCATACGCGATGGAAGGTTCGGCGACGCTATATGGGCGCGCTACCATATAGCAGGGGATATGCAGAATGGTATTATCGAGGGCACGAACATAACAGTGCTTGAGAGTATTGAGGAAGATGCGGTGGGGTATAGGCTGGACGCTCCAGAGGCCTATGCTGAGGCTCTATCACTCTACGCAAACACGAGCAGCGCGGATGGGCACACCGACGTGATAGAGATCATTACGCGCATTGGTCACGAAGACATTGCTGAACTTGAGACACGTACTACATACTCTATCCGTTGCAGTACAAATTACCTTGCCTACGCATCCAGCTGCGTCTCCCTACTTGAGAATATGTCTAAGCAGAAGATAGCGATAAGTCGCACTCGAGCTGTTGCGAGCTATGGGAATTGCAGGATGAGGGTTGTACCATATGGTTCTGGAGCCGATCTAACATACTACACCGCTCATGCGGTGGGCCGACTGATCGAAGAAGAGTGTTCATACGTGCCAGCATGTTGCAGCTATTTAACTGTCTCGGGTTACTCACCGAAGAATTCCGGACACCGCAAGGTATGCCTCAGCAGCAAGAACACAGGTTGTCATAGCTAGATGGTGTGCCAACCATGCTCGGAGTGTGGGACACGCGGCTTCAAGGGTGTCGACTTCGACTGGCCAAGCCCCTACGATCACTAGGTTTTAGCAGCAAGCCCCAAGTGAGCTCTAGGAAGGGCATGCCATGGTTGCCTGAGGAGGAGAACCTCTTGGTGGAGTTGAGAAGAGAACAGGGGCTGCCTTGGTCAGATGTAGTCAGACTGTTCTCAGAGCAATATTCAGGGAGGAGTCAGGGCTCTATTCAAGTATACAAGAGCATGCATCTTAAGCATAAGTGGGGTTAATATTTCAATATTTCACTATCCGCACATGGGCTTGGAAGAGACAGTGGCCAATGGAATAGTCATCATATTACTGCTGTAGGAATCGACATGTCTGAAAAGCCTATGCTGGATATGGCTCAGTGTGGTAATAATCTGGTTGTGCGTAGTAGCTTGGGCCGGACCAGCAAGTGACTGGCAATGGCAATGATATTTAGACGGCTCCTAGCTGCGCCTGTGTCCCTTATGGTTTTTATGCATGAGAATAGAGATGATACTGGGGATTACACGAAATCAGCAGCATAACCTAAGATTGTAGGCGCCGTGATAGAATTAAGCCTGGTGATTGTGTGTTGATTGTCTTTTATCATTCTTCATGAACGCTCATTTGCATCGCCGGTTTATTTTTAAGATGAAAAAAAGAAATTCAATAGGTATTGACCAGTATGTGCTGCCATTTCAAAAGATTCAAATGAATTAGATAAAGGTAACATTACCTATCCAATGTCCCGTGGCGCATCCGGAATATTATGCCTGCAGATCTTAATCACAGCTGTCTTAACTCATACTGTCAACCATACTGACCGCTATCAGTAACTGCTAGGAAGATACTACATTCCGAAATCTGGTTTAACTAATCAGATTCCTTAATTCTACCATGGTTTCAACATGCTGATTGCGGAGATTTTACATAGTTTTATACTGGCCTTATTAATATTATATTAATACTAGGTTAGATAGATATTAGATAGATAGAATCAGAACCTTCATCCCTTTGCATTCAGTTATTAATAGCATGTCAAATTATAGTAGGAGATATAGACTGGGTTATATCTACCAATTCATATCAATTCTCAGTCTGCACTAATTCATGAGATATCAATGGAGAGCTCAGAGAGACGGGAACTGGTATTCACTCATCATCTGAATTGCGGTTGTGCCAAGCAGAAGCTAAACACGGCCCGATGGCGATTCGGCCCGCGAAGGATCCAACAACGCCCGAAGCCTTCTAAGGGCATCCAGTCAGCCTGTGCCGAGATCCAAGAGATCAAAGCCAGGCAACAGACCTTGCAGGATGGAAATACAAGTCTATAGGAAGAGATTCCCTGATCTCAGGTCAAAACACAATACCTATCAAACCCAAGGTTGTGGGCCACAGTTATAGCCAGCGCAACTCTGCAAGGCCCCAATACAGCGATCCTACAGTGCCAGAACAGAACCCCACAATAACCAGGAGATCCAGTTCGCAGACTAGCTACAGTCGGATTACCGCGCCTGCCAATAGAATATTGGCCATTTCCCTAACCATACTAGGCTGGGGAGCTGATGCACGCGGATCAGGGCGATGTAGTTGTAGGGTCGAGGGCAGTACTTGAACAGCATACATCCCTCCTGCTCAGTCAAGTACCGTGAGGATTGGTCGCGAATTGGTGGCATCGCGGGTAGCTGAAATGATGAAGAGATGTGTTGGGGGGCGATCGCAATTTAGTGGCTGACTAGCTTGCTTGTGAATAATGTTACCTCTCATCCGGGGCCCCGCATCCCTAATCAAATTTACCACCACTCTTGTGGGCGCTACTCCAATTAAACTTCATGAGTGGACTGTCCAGGCGCCACAAGCCTACACTGGCTAGGCTTGTCTGCTTCCAGTCCAATAATAGGGTAGTTTGTGATGTTCAACTGTCTTCTATTAAGGAAAAATAGGAAAAAGCCCGGTGGCACAAGCTGCTTGGTTAGCCCTAGACGCGTGGATGGGATTATGCCTTTTGCGTCTTATATTACACTACCTACCATTATGCGGGGTGCTTTCAAAACAGTCCAGATAAACCCATGGAAATGGAGCTATCACTCTCCGGCGTTGCACAAACAGGGTCTTGTGACACGCATAAGGCTGCTTCTGGCAAGCATCAGAGGTGGAACAAAACATTCCATCTAAATCATAATCAGCTAAAAAGTCTGAATTTCAATTTCCCAGCAACGTGGACTGATTTATATACAAATCAACCGGCACCTTTGGCTAGTGCTTAAATCTGATATTAGAACTGCTTCTGGTATTAACCGAGCTTCCAAAGACTTGAATTCGCTTATTATCAAGTAAACAATGTATACTCTATCTATAATTATTGGCGGAAATTTTCCAGCACCTTAGTCACGCGTGCCACTCTTAATCTAGAAAACAGATATCCTGATAGATTGAATGAAGATTATAAAAAGATGGCCTAGACACCCCTATAACATACCTGTTCTACTCCAGTGGCCATTCAGGCATCTTATCACTGATTTTAGGGTACACGCAGGCGCGTCCCACCTCCCACCCAAACTGATTAAACATGTTCTCACAACTAAGCCCCGAACGCGCCTGTGTACTTGCTCTAGGCCTTGTTGCCATGGGCTCCCTTGTCGCCGCTGGGCCCTGCGACATCTACTCCTCCGGCGGCACGCCCTGCGTCGCCGCGCATAGTACCACTCGTGCTCTGTACAGCGCCTACACCGGCCCACTCTACCAGGTGAAACGCGGCTCAGATGGTGCCACGACCAACATCGCGCCGCTTTCTGCCGGCGGTGTCGCGAATGCCTCCGCCCAAGACTCCTTCTGTGCCGGCACGACCTGCCTCATCACCATCATTTATGACCAGTCCGGCCGCGGTAATCACCTCACCCAGGCTCCGCCCGGCGGCTTCAGCGGCCCGGAATCCAATGGTTACGACAACCTGGCCAGCGCGATTGGCGCACCGGTCACGCTGAACGGTCAGAAGGCGTACGGTGTCTTCATCTCGCCCGGCACCGGCTACCGCAACAACGCCGCCAGTGGCACAGCTACAGGCGACGCGGCGGAGGGCATGTACGCGGTCCTTGACGGGACCCACTACAACGATGCCTGCTGCTTTGACTATGGCAACGCCGAGACCAGCAGTCGTGATACGGGCAACGGCCACATGGAGGCCATCTACTTTGGCGACAACACCATCTGGGGCACTGGCTCTGGCAGCGGCCCTTGGGTCATGGCCGATCTCGAGAACGGCCTGTTCTCTGGCTCCAGTGCTGGCAACAACGCTGGCGACCCGTCGATCTCCTACCGGTTCCTCACTGCGGCCGTCAAGGGGGAGGCAAACCAGTGGGCAATCCGTGGCGCCAACGCTGCCTCCGGCTCGCTATCGACGTTCTACAGTGGCGCGCGCCCAAGCGTGTCTGGCTACAACCCGATGAGCAAAGAGGGTGCCATCATTCTTGGCATCGGCGGCGACAACAGCAACGGCGCCCAGGGCACGTTCTACGAGGGCGTGATGACCTCCGGCTATCCGTCCGATGCCACGGAGAACTCGGTGCAGGCTAACATTGTAGCAGCCAAATACGCCATCACGTCGCTGACCAGCGGCCCGGCGCTCACCGTCGGTTCCTCGATCTCGCTGCGGGCCACCACGGCCTGCTGCACGACGCGCTATATCGCACACAATGGCTCTACCATCAACACTCAGGTCGTCTCGTCGTCCAGCACCACCGCCCTCAAACAGCAGGCCAGCTGGACGGTTCGCACCGGCCTTGCCAATAGCGCCTGCTTCTCGTTCGAGTCCAACGACACCCCCGGCAGCTTCATACGGCACTATAGCTTTGGGCTCCTGCTCAACGCCAACGACGGCACGAAGCAGTTCTACGAAGACGCCACATTCTGCCCGCAGGCCGGCCTCAACGGCCAGGGCAATTCGATTCGATCCTGGAGCTATCCCACCCGCTATTTCCGCCACTACAACAACGTGCTCTACGCCGCGAGCAACGGCGGTGTTCACACGTTCGACACCGCCGCCTCATTCAACGACGATGTGAGCTGGGTGATCAGCACTGGCTTCGCTTGAGTCCTGGTCCAATTCCTGGGCACTATGCGGTTGTGAACTCTACCCCTCCTCATTTTGCTCCTGCAGAATGGCGGTTAGTAGTGCAGTTGATGATTGGCCAGCTGGTGCGCCTGTGGATATCTAGTTGTGGAGATTAAATCTTGTTAGTAAATAAGTCTTTATAACTAAAATATATTCAAGGTAAATGAGGCATGATTACGCTGGCGTTTCTTTCACTATTATTTCCTCATAATCAAATCTTGATTTTACTACTGCGAGAGACTAACTGACCCACCTTGTAGATTAGCTGTTTTTATAATACCTTTAACATGCGCAGGTTACTGCGTGGAAAGGGGGCGCTTTACATTGAATATGCTTTGGTGTTCAAGAATCTGATGTTCAGCCAGGCTGTTCAACAGCATATCCATAGCAAACTCATCAAAGATGGAAATGCAATCTGTAACTCCGCACCAAGCATGGAAGCAATCCCGTACGAAGCGGTCGACCCGACCTCAGCATCCACACCAGCAGGGTCCAACATCAACATGCGCGCTGGCGCGGTTGTTGACGGCCTTTTGCAGTTTAGCAGGATCCAGCCCGACCACAACCTGTAGCAGATGCTGCTCGTCAATGCCGTACATGCCTTGCGCTTGAGAGCGTCCTCGAGCGTGTCGCTCTCTGCCACGACGCCAACACCCAGCACCATCGGAGATGGCGGCCCGGTTACTGACTCGCCAATTGCGGCCAGTGAGTCCAGGTATGTGTTGGCCGCGGCATAGTTGCTCTGACCAGGGGTCCTCAGAATTCCCGAGACAGAGCTGGTCAAGAGAAAGAAGTCTAGCGGGGCGTTGGCCAGGACGGCATGAAGCTTTTGGGCTCCGGGTACCTTAGCCTGGATGGATTATCTCTCATCCTGGTAGGTCATCGAGCGAAACAGTCTATCCTGCAAAAGTCACAGGGAAGTGAACTAAGCTGGTGATACCTGGAATGATTCAGAGTCAGGTTCGTCTTCCTGCTTTCCGCAAAGGGATCGGGTTTGGCTGGTGAATGCCGCATTTTCTGCTCCTGCATTGACTTTTTCAATTTTATCAAATAGGAGTAGTACAGCATGTCAATTATTAGTGCTGCTTAAATATAACATGTATTTATACAGCGCTGCCACACTACTAGCATTTAGTGGTGGTATTCTATATACTACTATCATGATACTACTATTCCATATGCTATGCTACTACTATTTGATATTATATCATACTACCAGTATTGAATTGTCTGAATCAGGCCTCCGATCTGGAGGTGCTGGATGATATTAAGATCAGAGCTTATGTTTGCAGCCTATACGTGGAAATAGTGGCAGTAGGTAATAGCTATAGGTGACTCATTTTGACCAATTTGTACAAAGAGTCCTGTATATTTATAGCCTGTGCTTATAAATATCATGCCATCAACCACCACACCACGAATTTTCCAATTCATCATCTCTGCCATACTTTTCATATCACTCATGCAGTTCAGAGTCACTGATCAATACATCCTTTGAACATAGACGTCATTAATATACACCAGGCCCTGAATCTCCATTGAATGTGCTAGCATATCTCTTTAGAGCATCTGATTGCTTACAACTCAATAGCCTAGACCGAGCTTTGACTGCGTAAGGCCTCTGATCAAGCACTTTTTTTTTTCTTTGCATCAATCCAGCTCACCCACCATCATGAACATCATCACCCTCATGCAAAACCGGCCTCGACTTACGGGTGTGGTCTCCTTAGCTGTTGCCGGCAGCATAGTCGCATACCTTGGCAAGCGACGCCTTGACCGGTCATGCCCAAGAGTCCCCATCACGCAACTCCCAAAGTCAAGTGCATGTCGCAACCTTGTGGAGAGTGGCGAAGCAGGCCCCAAGACTGTATGGGGCATGGAAAAGTCAGCTCTGCTGGCCTCATGGTCTGGTGGCGACAAAACCCGCTGGGTCCCCTCCTTCGCCGCCCTTCAAGCTGATGTGCCCATATCCCTGCTCGCTGGATATGGAGCATTTCACAGCGAACATGACGGCGACAAGGACGACGCACATCATCTTATGCAGAATCTAGTTGCCGCCTTTCTGGATGCGCGGGCCGCAGGGCCGGAGGCGTGGTTTCTGGACAAAGAGGTGCCGCCATTGTCCTTTGCGCCTGGTAGCCTATTATTCGGCGATCAAGCCAGCCTGGGAGCCTTCATGCTTGGGACCTGGAGTACAACCCGGGAAACCTCCGTCCACCCTCAGGCTCTGGGTCCAAAGGCCCCCGAGCCTAGCTCCGAATTCCCCTCAAACAGGGACGCTATCCAAGATAGTCCCACAGACACAGCTGGAGCTGTGATCTACTGGAAATTTCCCGACGTGCTGGTCCGAACAGTGGACAAGGCAGCATCGTACGGTCTCCCGTGGCGATTTATGGACGGCGGATTCCAAGAATTTATTGTGGAAAAGGTGTCGGATGAAAAGGCGAGGGTGACATACATAAGTGTCGAATGCTCGAATCTCCACCCTCGCGGCCAGTCTACAAGGGATTTCAAGATGTTTCCATGGCTGGCTTATGAGGCTCACGTATTGTATGCACAACTCCTCTGGCATAATACTGTGATGCAGCTTCATAAACCACACAAAAACATCGGATAAACTTTTAGACTTGCATTATGGTAGACAGTGTTAATAAAGATAACCCTCCGCTCATGCTCCTTACGCCTTCATGCCCTAACATCCCGTAGATATCTAGATACTTAGATAGAAAGCCAGTGGCTCACTGTCTTGCTGAGCATACCTCCCTACACTTTCACTGCATACGGAACCACTGCCATAGAAATCGATCTTGCCGGTCTGGCTGTCCACGTCGCCGCCGCCGCCGCCGAGGCGTTGAAGCGTGGTTTCGGAGGCCGTCTGTCGTTCAAGGAGGGCGACGTGCGGGAGATAGACCATGATGGCGAGTGTTCCGAAAACTGAACCCTTGACGTGCTTCATGATGGGCCTTGACTTCTGGCCTCGGGACATGTGCGTCATTACACTGCAGCGGTTCCGCCAGGACTCTCCCAAGGCCCGTCGCTTCTTCCTGGGCGACACAACCCGGATCATGCTGGATAATGCTCATTCCAAGTACGCCGCCACCGAAAGCAACCTGCCTCTCTTTACCCTGGGCTTTGAGCTCGCCACGCGATGATGGGCGTCTACCTACCGATGATGGAGGAATGGGAAGGTGTTTTCGTCGAAAGCGGATGATGTTAATTCTAACTAGTTACAGCGGAGGGGTGTATATCTAAGGAGGGGGGGTGTGTCCGTAACAGCCTCCTTTGTCTTTATGTCAACAACTTACCTGATTGAATGATCAGGGATGTTGGTGAAGATGTAACCCTGAAGCTGTCGATCATGATTGGGTGAAAGGTAAGAAGAGGATCTATATATCGAGTCCTTGGCACACGTGTCTACTGGTGGCTATGCCATTCGCCTTCAGCAATGGTGGATTGTACACAAGTCCCAGCGACAATCATCACAGGTCTGCAGTTATCCCCACCATTTTCCCGTGCCTGACGACATAGCCTGCCAGTAATTGAACGTATTGATATTGCTGCAGTCCTAAGGCGTAGTGCTAAAGAATCCTCCTCCTACACGAGGCCGATTGACAATATTTGACTCGACCGCTCGATCTTGCTGCGATACCACCTCTCTTGCGTCTTCCCTTCGCTTATTTGCAAGTCAAGAAAAAGGGAGGCCATAACACTATACTCATGGAGGGGTATATACATATAAAATGGTGCTGTTTGCCTGCACCATCGCGCTGTAGATTTCAAGTTGGATCATGATCATGACTTCATTCCGTTCTTTACTGCCATCAGCTATGATCTTTTCAAGAACTGCAGCGTTCTTCGCACTGGTGTCGGGCGTGTATGCCCAGTCGCAATATACGGCTACAGGCACTGCAGCGGTTGCTGCAGCCCAAGCTACCGCGCTGACTCTGTCGCCTACTTCCAACATTGCTGGTTTGACCTTTAACCGATTTGTTCAGATCTTCCTAGAGAACCAAGACTATAGTGCCGCGATCAAAGACAGTGAGTGATTGATCATCTTGGGCTCATTCACAAGCTCTATGTTAATCGCCTGACTTCAAAGCAAACCTGGCCTACCTCGCTAGTCAAGGCATTACCCTGACCAATTACTTCGCCATTACCCATCCCTCCCAGGTATGAGTGGCCAGAGGTATCAACTGTTATTTTTGTCCCCCTTCACATCACTGATGTTAGCTTGCAGCCTAATTACGTTGCCGCCGCTGGTGGTAACACATTTGGAATCACTGACGACAGTACACATTACATCTCTTCGAGCACCAAGACAATCGTCCATCTCCTGGAGGATGCCGGCATCAGCTGGAGCCTGTACCAAGAGGACATGCCTTACTCTGGCTTCGAGGCGAACTACAAAAACCAGAAAACTGGGGCAAATGACTATGTGCGCAAGCATAAGTATAAAAAAACCACCTACCCCAAGCCCTTTTCGCAAAGAAATATGTGACTAACAACTCTCAAGTCCGCTGATGAGCTATAATTCAGTCACCTCCAATACAGATCGGCTGGCTAAATCCAAGAACTTCACCATGTTCTATAATGACTTGGATAACAACAAGCTGCCCCAGTGGATGTTCATCACACCCAACATGAGTATGCCATCTACCTAAGTGCTTTATTTCGAAACCGAAAGAACCACTAATGCGCTTTGACTTGACTTCAGCCAACGACGGACACGACAGCTCCCTATCTGTTGCGGGATCCTGGTCCCGTAACTTTTTAACCCCATTGCTCTCCAACCCAAATTTCAACGTCGACGGCACTTTGGTCATCTTGACCTTTGATGAAGGTCTCACGATTGGCACGAACCAGATCTATGCGGTACTCTTGGGCAGTGCTGTTCCTAGCACGAAGGTTGGAACCAAGGATAGCACCAAGTATAACCACTACAGTCTGCTGAGCACCGTGGAGCGCAATTGGAATCTGGGAAATCTGGGGCAGAATGACGCGACGGCTACCCCATTTTTCTAGTCGCCTGATCTTTTGTGGGATCTATTATAAGGGGAAAGAGAAGCGGGAATTCAGAAATATAAATCTTCCTGATTCTCTAACATTCATCAACGGTAACAGAACCAGGTTTCCCCGGTACTTTGGTAGACTATGCCCCCAATTCCGTTATCTAAATCTAGACTCGTACACAGTGTATACCCGTGCTCCTCCAAGGTCTGTAGGAGATCAAGAACTATTAGCCTGCTCTGAACCCCACCTTTCCCACTTGGTAGGGCCCAGGGCGTCCCTTTGAATCTCAGCTCAAAGTTTCCGGACACGAAGTCCTTGGTGCATTTTTCCACTCTACTGCCAAATGTAGATATGATAGCGGTGGCCAGTTCACTGGATGCATTTAACAAATGCAGAAGATCGACGGAATCAAAAGAAACGCAGAGCCAGGACAGAACTCTAGGCTCTTGGAGGTGAAATATCAGACTATCTATCACTCGTCAGCACATTCTTCTATAGGGACTCACTGCCTTGAGGTCAAGAAAGTACTTACCCTTTTGTCCAAATGGCGCGTAATTTCCGATCCTCCCTACTCTTCCTCCTGTGGGAGGAACCAACCATCCTTCCTTCGCAAACTCATTCAATATCCCCATAATGGCAATGCGAATTGCGATCTTCTCATCGTCCAGTCCGTGGGCGAAGGGATTTCCACGCAGCTTAATTTCCAAGCTATCGTCATAGGCTTGGACGTCCTGAATACCCTTTGGCCATAGCTGATTTAAAACTTCAGATATAAGGACGGTGATGGATTCAGGGAAGCGCATCAAACGGATACGATCTGTCCATGCAAGAGATAACATGGCAAATCTGGTGCCGCAACCTTTGAAGGGGGCCTGAGATTCCATCTGGGCGGCCGCGGAGTCGGGCGCAGTTGCCTCATCATAGTTAGGCGGCTCGTCATTCATTTTGTGTGATACAGATAGTATGCGGATAATGATGGAGGAAGCAAATCATTGGGATCTACTGCCTCTTTAGTTTTCCTTGCTGCCTGGCCCTGGAGGAGGGGTCGAGGGGATGAGGCGTCAGCCACAATCCAACACCAATAACCTCAAACTGCATGCCAGCCAACCAGTGTAAGAACATGGCGCATGACTGTGAGATTGGCAAAAGGCAACTCTTTAATGTAAATGCGGGGTCAAGCGGCCAAGTTATGGCATTTTGTGGCTTGGGAAACTGTCTCACATACCGAATCTTATCCAAATGGTAGCTTATGATTCAATGCTAAAGTGAAAGTAAAGCAATGTGTAGGGTGATGTGTAGATCAAAGAATACATGTCAGGGATGTTCAGAAAATGAGTGATATTCAAAGCCAGAAGGGGAATAGGTTGACTGAGGCCATTTTGAAGTGAAGTACTCTGTATGTTGCATAGGCTATCTCTTAGACTATGCATTCTATTGGTGTGATCATACAATGGGTTCTGGTTGAAGTGCTAGTTGTGATGGATAACTATGGAAAGTATCTTGGTTATTAAAGGTGGTTTTGGCATCGCAGCGGCAAGTCTATATCTAAAAAAATGATATATGACTATAACACCTGCACTTTATAAGGCCATCTAGTGTGGCAGGTAGAGTCAATGGGTGACATTGCCGCCGCCCAGGATTTCTTGAGTAGTCTCCTCGAAGATCATATCATGGATAGGGGCTATGTTTGTACTGGACCCTGATGCGGGAATGGCTTCCTCTGGCAGCTGACGATGACTGTGGATTTAGACCCTCAATATCCATTTACCGACAGCAAGATGGTGATCATGCCATTGGGTTTAGTACTGGTTTTTGTTTATGTAATTATCTACTCTATCAAGTATATGTTACAAAGTCTACACTAAGGTCATTACCAAGTCTGGCTGGTTGCTACATACTCCCTTTGAGGATGGTGTGTGCTAATTCCAGCGTAGTGAGGAGGGTGTTCCCAAGGCAAAGTAGCTAAAGGAGCTCTTTATTCTTGGTGGTTTGCCGCATGCTAATCTGTGTGATAGAGTTTATGGAGCAGGCACAAAGCTGGTGCAGTCTTTTGGCCAGTGTGTGGTATCAAAGTGAGTCTATAAGGGTGTCCCATGTCCAGACTTTGTACAGACGCTTGTATAATTAGAGAATGAGGCTAAGGAAAACTCCTATATACATAAACTACGCGGTGCCTATGGTCACCTCCACCCCACTATCAGGCAGCTGGACCTCCCATCCTCCACGCGTTGACTGCGTCTCAGTGGAGGTGACTATGTAGTCATCCTTTGTGCCAGGACTCTCAACCCAGACAACCACTGATGTAGCCTTGGACGGCCCTGGGATAAGCCGCACTCTCACCTGCTTGGCATTCGTTCTCGCAAAAGATAACTGTTCAATCCAGCCCGGACTAGTGGTGATGTAAACCCCCATGGACGCTACATACACTCGCCGGCGAACTGCATCACGCGGCTCTACCGTCACCACCTGTCCATCCACCGCGAGGTTGCCGCCGTACGCCACCAGCCCGAGATCCGGATCCTCGACGACGTAGGTTGCGGAGGCGAGCATGACGCCTAGGAAATTGGGCCCGTAGTCGCCCGAGTAGTCATCGCCCGCGAGAGTGTCGGGAAACGAGTGGAAGGCGTTGTACATGGACCCGTCCTGGCGAATGTTGGTCAGGGGACCAGTGATGCCGCCGTAGCCGACGCGAAGGAGGTATGTGTCCGTGGGCTGCTGGCGGAATTGAGCAAGGAGGGGGAGGGCATTGAGGCTGGAGCCGTAGTGGTGGATCATGCGTTCGATGCGCTGTAACTTTCCCGCATAGCTGAAAAGAATGTTAGAAAAGACAGCGAGAGCAATCCAGGACAAAGCATTGCATACATAAAATCCCAATAGCGCCGGGCATTCCCATTCCAACCCCAGTGAGACACAGTAGGCATGAAGCCCAGAATGCTATTAACAGCCTTGGTCGCGGCGTCGGTGAGATTGAAATAGCTAGTCGCAATTTCGCACCATGAGATTGTGTCCTTCAAGAGAGAGCAGAAGTGGCTTACTTGGTCCAGTAATACACGCCCTCCTGGCCCGTCGAATCCCACGCCATCTCACTGCCAAACGGGGCCGATTGCGAGTTCCACGCCTCGGCACGCAATTTCATGGCCGTCTCCACGGCGTCTGCTTCCTTGGACCAGCCTTCGCGGCGCAGATCTTTGAGAAGTTCACCGACCACCGTCTCTCCCATCAGGCCAAGACGCGAATATCCCACCAGCCCATTGCCCGCGGAGTCGGTTGCAAAGCAAGCAATGGTGGTATTATAGGCCCGGCCCAGATACCACTGCCAAGTGTTTCGTTTCAGCACCCCCGGCAGGTCACGACCGGCGCGATACAGCGCCCAATACGCGCCGATGACGTGGATATAGTCGTATGCGCGGTCGGTGGAGTAGGAATCGGCCTTATTCCACGACCACCAGTTGCCCCAGTCGATGGAGCTGCTGTACGGGTAGCCTGGCACGGCGGACGGCTCGTAGAAGAATATGCTTTTGCGGACCAGGGAGCCCCCATCCTGGATAGTGTGGAAGAGCACCTTGGTCACGAACTCCTCCAGCTTGGCAATCTCGTCGGGATCCGGATGGCCAATCTGTTTCATCGCCGTCGCCAGGTAGATCACTCCGCCTTCGTCGCTCAGGCCCGCGATCCAGACACGGGCCTCCTGGAGGACGGGACCCCGGACGGAAGCATCGTACGTGACGATGGAAGGGGCGCGGCCAAAGGGATCCGACTCGTCGGTGAACCACATTGACGAGGTGGAAAATTGGCCCAGACGAACGATGGTGTCTGGGGCCGTGTCGGTAATGAAGTAATGGACCGCCTGAGTCTTGCCATCGGCGTAGGTGATGGTGAGCCGAGTGCGGCCCCAGGCGGATCCGGTGGGAGTCAGCAAGAAGGTGTTCGACTGCTGCCGGGTGATGGCTAATGCGTTCCCCTCGCTGACCACCTCAGAGACGTCGGCCGCGGCGAGGATGAGCAGCTGAACGGTGAGGTCTCGGGGCACCACGTATCCGGTCCCAATTGTCACGGGGGTGTTGGTGGCTCGGACTGCCTTCTGGATACCGCGGATGCCGTCTTTCACCAGGGAAAAGCGTAGCCCCACGGTTGCAGACTGTCCGGCGTTGAGGACGAGCGAGGTGGCCGGATTCCAGGGTGTCACGTTGGCCCATTCATTGTCGGCGTAGGCCTTGGAGCGCGTCTGCCACTCGTACAGTCCCTCAAAGGTCTGACTCCCGTATACGGTGGAGTCAAACACGGACTCATCCAGATTGCGCCACGCCTCAAATGGGGTGCTTGTGTTGCCCAAGGGTGTCACTATCAATGCTTCCCCCGTGCCAGAAGTCGGTGTGACCTGCAGATAGCCAGCGTCCAGCCCAATGTAGGGGTCGGCCAGGGAGCACTTGGCTGTCATCTCCTCAGGGCTCCGGTTGGTGAAGATACTGTTAAACTCGGTCGGGAAGCCCAGACTGCCGATTTCGAGGCGATGCTTGGCAGTATTGGTGAGAGTGAAGGACAGGCCCAGATCGCCGTCGACGTTGACCCATTTGCGCACGACCCGAAGTGGCGATCCAACAGGCAAAGTCGGGGTCAAGTCGGCGGCCGCCAGTCCGTCGTCAGCCTTGACCACGGTCACAGTCTTGCGAGCCTGTGAGGAGTCACCCGCAATCCAGTCCGTCGCCCCAGCGGCGCGGTAGCGGAACGTGATGTCCCCATTGTGATACTGGCCATTCGCGGCGCGGTTCTGGAGATAGTCAAAGGGGAGAAAATCGAAGGAGGTGCCCTTGGGCTGGAGAGATGCGAGAACCTGAGCATCTTTGACGAGCTTCAGGTCCCAATTGGCTGTGGAGAGGGAGATATATCCATGTGTGAGGCCGAGGTCGTCACTTTGGCTTCGGACGGTGAGAGCCAGCAGAGAGACGACAACAGAGAAGGTTGAGAGACCATGCCAACCCATTTTATTATTGCGAATCATGGAACGAAGACCGTTGAAATGCCCCTTTTCTTTTCTTTTTTCTACTTTTTTCCTTTCTCGTTTCGGCGCATGGCTAGCTTTGTACTTTTATCTTATATTCCAGCTTGGGCTTGGCATGTTGTAATCATAAGGCTGATCTGGGGCATTGTTCCTTTGAATTAGAACCATCTGGGGTCTTTGGCCTTCTTCGGTGCTTCGACATCCGACTATTGACGACTTTTCCTGGTCAGGTTATGTCTCGAAACTGGTCTCTCCATGCTGATCCCTGACGATCATCCAGTCCCCAAGTGCTCCCATGCCATCAACCTTCTGTTCTTGTATAAAGACCGGTGGAGGACGAGGACAAGTGGGCTTCATCGAGACCCCGCTTGATGAAACACGGATGAATTCCCCATTCGTGGAGGTATTCCTATTAATAAATAATGCATTAGTTTGATTGGCCTTGATGCATGAGCACTGGGACGTTACATGGAAAGAGGTTCTACAGGCCTTTTGCAAGAAAGCCAATGAATATACACAAAGAACCAAGTATATTGTGCTGAGCTGTTTGCTACTCACGGGCAGTGTACCAGAATAAAACTAAGCTGATATGTTCTAATTATTATCCCTGCCCAGCTTACCAGTAGCACTACCACTTTGAATGCTTCTAGAGATAGTCCTCCTCTTCTAGGCAATCTGCTGGTCTTTTTGCAGTTTCTTAAGGTCAATGCCCTATCCAAGTAAGTTGTTTCGCTGAGTTCAGGAACCCATGGCCTCTAGCCTCTATGATTAGCTATTCATGTCCGCGAGCAGGGTAGACAGCAGCCAAGTCCTGTAGTGCTCATTCTTACTGATAGCATACTATTCATGGGCAATGCTAAGTGTCAAAGGAAATCGACCAATGCGAATGCATAGTGCGAGGAGGCAAGGATGCCCAAATCTACGCCAAAATACGCGACCATTTGGGAGGAAACAAATTGCAGATCATATTGGCCCGGAAGTCTGAATCTACCTACAATAAACTGAATGAAAGGGGTTCGGAATGTTTGACTTTAGTGTCTAGCAGTCCGCTATGGGCCACAGTGCTGAATGCCTTGTCCATCAATGAGAGGTCCTAACACCTGCGACATCAAGGGTACCAAATCCGGTTCCCGCGAAGAGGACCTTCGGATCTGGGTCAGATGCCTAGCGCTTCAGTGTGAGCAGGCCCGGACGGTATGGCAGCAGATTGTAGGAGCCGCTGGAGCCAGTCGCTCGCCCCTGGTAGAGGAACTGCAGGTTGCACGGATCAATGGGCATTGTCTGGTCGGGGCTGCTCCGAATGAGATCGCCGCTGCTGATGTCGTTGGTCCAGGTGGCGCCGCTGTTGGCCTTGCCGGCGAAGGGCGCGGACTCGCTCGTAGCCTGCGGTGTCCACGAGCCCCCGAGACTCGTGGCCGTGAAGGAGCGGAAGTACCTCCCGTTTGCGCCGATGGACTCGACGATCATGAGGTATTGCTGCTGTCCCTGGACCCGGTAGACCTGGACGGCTTCAAACAGGTTGTAGGTCGAGTCGCTCAGAACCACTGTGTATGATGTGCCAAAGCTGCTGGGAAAATTGCCGATGGGCATACTGGACCGGTAGATCTTGCCATCGTCCCCGGCAAAGAATAGGTACATGGTCGTGTCATCGGCGATCAGCGCCGGGTCGATAGGGCCGCTGCCGGTGGTGGAGAGAGAGCCAGTGAAAAGCGGCTGCGGCGAGGACCATCCATTGGGATTCGTGGGATCGCTGGATGTCATGTACGAGAACGGGCTCGCACCCCATTCATAAGCAAGCACCCAGATGTTCTTCGGGGTGAAGTAGAAAAGACAGGGCGCAACAGCGCCCGTGTTCATCACCTTCTGGCTCGCCGAGGCCATGCCAGAGGTCCAGTCCGAGAACAGGCCGAAGGTTAAGGAGCCGTAGCTCCCTGCAGTGTTGACGTCCGACGCGTACACGAGATGCTGGCCGTTGTACGGAACGTGGCTGAAATCCTTCAGCGCGACGAGTCCCGATTCGGGGTCCGCCAGTGGACCGCTCGATGTCCACGTGTACACCGAAGGAAGACTGCATGCAGTTGATGTTGAGCTTGATCGAGTCGTCGTGGTGGTCGACATTCCAGCAGTAGTAGTAGTAGCACTGCTACATGGAAGACACTGAGAATACCACGGATTGGAGTAGGTGCAGCATGCCCCCGAAACACAAGTAGTGGCTCCAGTCCATCCAGTTCCACCGCCTGAAAGCAACTGTTAGTGTCATTGTTCCAAAGGTACAGTCTAGGCTCCGTAATAGCCAGCGTTAGTTCATTTCCACTTACATTGACCCCAGAGCGATGCTTGGCCAGATACCACTGGCAACACCAGGAACAGAGCAGAAAACCAATTCATAGCGACAGAGGAGGGTCTACTGATAGAAAGCCAGGCAAGATGGATGATAGTGTTAAGGCCAAGTCTACTCCGACTTATCCTCTTACTTATAAGAATCCGGGAACCACTACATGCTGTTGTCCGGCAAAATTGAGAAAGAGAAGGACCAAAGCAGCAGTTGCTACTCCATACATTGGTAGGTAGTAATTAGGCTGATAGGAAAGATCAACTCTACTCCGTCTCTTCGCGCTGCGTCTGAAGCTCCTAGTAAACTCAATCCGCGTTCGAGATTAAAAGGCAGCTAGTCATCCGGAGTGAGAGCAAGACGTGTACATGGTGATTCAGGAATGCTGAGCCCGAACCCTTTACAATTCAATTTACATGCTAGACCCAACAGGATAGATCGGCAGATAGGTTCGGTAGTTCGAAGGCTCCCTTCGCCCTCCATATCCTTGAGTATAGCAATTTGCAAAGAACAATATGCATCATTCGGTGGCCGTCGGCAGGAAACTGGTCCTTCCGTTTTACCGCCTTGGAATCCCTGTTCTGCATGGTCTATATCGTGGAGATAATGGTCAAATATGGAGAAACAAGGTTCACACCATCTGTTTCAGTCACGAAGCTTGAATTAGTCAAGCCATTGCAATATAACGAAGTATAATACTCAACAGTACTCAGCCAGGCTGTAGTATGCTAATACTACGATGGATGGAAAAGGTCTGGAAGCCTCCTATCCTCCTGGGGCCAGGATATGCTTCCTAATACGGGCAACTCCGCACCAGGCGGGTCTGGTGATGGTCCCAATTGAGAGAAATCCCGTGCTGGGGCAATGGCTATAGTAAAGAGTGAGGGTATGATAGAGGGAGGGGTTGGATCCTTAGCGCAAAAGGGCGTCACCGAATAAGGCTTGCTTTCATTTGCATTTGCGGAAGATTGAATCGTCAGATATAGAAGGGTATGTGGATATATCAATATAATATAACAAGGATTGCCTATCCAATTCCTCCGCTTTGACGGCAGTCAGTATATTTACCGAGGGATAATAGCCTAAAACACTGAAAGCAGGTAAAGTAGTCTGCAGTTCTGGCCAAGCGAGTGATTTATATCTGGTTAGTGCTTGACATGAGACTCTGAGTATTTTCATGTTTTATGAAGATCTTCATCACCTACTCTGGCCACATTTCTAAGGCACAAAGGATAACTGTATTGGTGGATAGCAGTAGAAGTCTTAACTGGTATATATCATCGCCTTCTTCGCCTCCCTGTATGTCCTCCCAGTCGCCTCCGCTGTTGGGCCGATTGAAGTTGAACCACCTCTACATGGATATTGTGGTGGAAAGAACAAGAAATTTGGATTTTCTAGTTGCCCATACGACAAAGTCTCTCCCAGGCGCTGTCAACGTCGCGTTTGACACCCAACCAGTAGAATTGTTCAGCCAATCGTTCCGTATACATTTGTGCAGACTTTCCCGGACCATAAGCTTCGAGTCATTGATGCGTTGTCATGAACGTCATGGGCGTGAGCCGTAAGATCCGTCATTGGATCTGTCCTACGCTTTGCCCTTGAAGAACGCATTGACCTGCTCTTGAACCCCGCGGGCGATTCGACACCCTCGGGTCTCAGTCGTAGGATGGGCGCGGTGCTGATGTATAATAAAAGACATAGTCACCAAGTACTTTACTCGTTCTAGATGATCAAAGCAGTATCACATCTAGCACGTTCCAGAGGCTCTGGCTTGTTTCTTACCGACACCTCTGCGACTCGCCTTAGACTCGAGTCAAAATGGCTCAGAGACTATGAATCATCGAAAATTCGGCGACATGAGGGACTACATGGGACCGTCTCTCTTCCAGCCGCACCGAGCTCGCCAGGCCATCCGGGACGCTCACGACAAAAAGATCCCGCCGTTGATTGGGTACTATGCTGGCCTTGCAGCCATTCCCATCACGCGCTGGATCGCGCCGATGGGATTCGACTATGTCTGGATTGACTGGGAACGCAGTGCTATGAACATTGAGACCATGACCACGGTACCTTGTCTGCTGCATGTATGGAAGGAAGTACATAGGACTAACTAATCTTCACATGCAGATGGTTCATGAAGCAGCATTTATGAGCAACGGCCGTACAATCCCTTTTGTCCGGTAGGTCATGGACTGCGTTCAGAAATGGTGCCTTGGATTGCGACTGACTTCTGCTCCGCGATTTGCAGAGTGCCTGGACACGACGAATCCACCATCGCATATGCCCTCGACGCAGGAGCCTCCATTGTTGTCCCCCATGTTGACACTGTCGAGCAAGCGAAGCATGTCATAAGCGCCGTCAAATTTGGCCAAAAACACCAGGGGATTCGGTCCGCGCCTCCCTTTCGGTATGTGCACCACTTGACCGATACAGCGCTGCAGCCGGAGCGAGGTCTCTGGGAGAGCTTGAACAGCCAATCGGCGCTCATGATCCAGATAGAGACGTTGCATGGTATCCGCAATCTGGACGCCATCTTGAGTGAGGTTCCCGACATTGATGCGGTCTGGCTGGGGAGTCTGGATACCCGAGTCAGTATGGGTTTGCCGCGGGCCATGGGATTCAAGGAACGGAGCCCGAATGGCTGGAGGCCGTGGAGCAGTTCCATGCAACGGTGAGGAAACATAACAAACCGTACGCGGGTTTTAGCTTTGCAACGGGTGAGGAGCTGCGCAAAATCACCGCGAATATGGCCATGTGCATGATCACAGCCGATACGACCAAGCTGGCCGAAATGGTGGGAGAGCTGGCTGCTGCAAAGGAAACTCTTGCCATTAGATAGGGTGTAGTCGATTAGGGGCTCTACTTGGTGGAAGATGTAGTCTTCTTAGAGAAACAAGGCATTTCAGGCTTATAATCAAAAATCGACGGGCTGTCACCGTTGTATGAATAGCAAAGTTACAGTAGCTGAATCAGTAGAATTCAACTTAATTGAGGACACACTGACCTTCATTTACGGCAAGGTTGCATTGGGAGATTCCCTTTTGCAGCTGAGGACTGACAGAGAGGAGTCGTAGTTCAAGAAGGTTGTTGCGTGATACTGGGGAGGAGAATATATATGGCATACATTGTGGCTGTCTTGCAAGGCATATAATGGCTATGGATCTAACATTCTTAAGATCGAACAGTGCATCTCACGGCAAACCCTTCGTTGCTCAATGCTTCGGAAATTCCGCGCCCCAAGTTCCATTCCTGGTGACGACGGGTTGGCACGCTGACATGACCCCAACCATGCGAGACCACTGTGTTTTGCTGGGATTCCGCCATTTGTGCAGAGTAGATCGCTGAATTGTCAAGTCCCCGGGCTTGATGATGCGTGTCTCTCCAGAGGACAGGGTGAGTTCGATCTCGCCCGCGACCTGGATGACAAAATCCAGGCTCACCGTCCGATGCAGGGGACTCTCCGAGTCTGGGGGCGTATCGATGTACCAAACATTGGCCCCGCCACCCTGAGTGACCAGCGGAGGAAGCTCGTTGAGCGAGGTCTCGTAGAGCTGGAGGTCGGTGCCATTAGTGAGCACCACGGGCGGCCTGTCGGTGGTATAGCCCAGACGCATGAGGGCACCACCGACATCGTTCACGACGGGAAGGGACTCGTTGACGGTGTTGGAGAAGAAGGAGTTGCCGTCATCGTCGTTGTCGGTAATGTAGCGTTTGGGGTTCGGAAGAGCGTTGTCGGCCATGATTGATCCGTGTGCGATTTTGCTGCGAGAAACGAGTTGAGGCAGGTCAGACGAAGGTATGTAGCCGTGGGTGATACCCAGGCAAATCAGAGAGAAATATAGAAGAACGAAGCCGAACATCATTCGGAAGCAGAGGCACCAGGGTTCGCCGTCGGGATTCACGTGCAAGTGGAGGGGATTCCTGCAAGCATCTGCATGCAAGTACGGTGTGCGATGGGACCCTGATAAATGCATTATCAAGCTTATGACCAATACCTAGACGCCGATGGGGATGTCGACATCCGACAAGACAGGGCCTTGCTCACAGCAGCCAATTGTGGGCCGTTCCGAGGGAAGTTCCCATCCCGAGGCCTGCCTTCTCACTCTCTCACCCTCGGGAGTGAACAGCCCGAGTCTATGAGTTTATACCAGTCGGTGGGTTTCAGTGGCCAATACTTTCGCGGATGAACCTGTTCAGTTCTCTTTAACCGCGGGTGGCGAGGTAGTCAACGAAACCTGCCGCGGCCGAGTGATATCGGGAAGAAGACGTGGCCAAACGAAGTCAGACCAGGCCGTCGTTCCCCAGTCACAGCGATAGGGTTCGAAGATGGCTAGGTTATCTCTAGAGGGCCGTTTATGTAGGAGGAGAGATACATTCACAATGTAACTAACAATAAACAACATACATTTAACCATGATAGAATACGGAGTAATCCCCGTTGAGTCACTATGACCAAAGTCTAGTCTACATCATTCTGATACACTCAGTCTGCGGTCTCCTCGTCCTTGGGCTCTTCCTGTGATGCGTTACTGCTCTTTGCCTGCATATGGGCCATCAACAGTGCCGCCTCGTGAGCGTATTTACACTTCATGCGAACCTTGGCCCCAAAGCGGTACATGACAAAAGGAAACGGCAGACACGCCACGGTCAAGAATGCCGGAATCGAGGACGCCCAATGGATTCCCAGATTGTTGAACATGGCAGTCGTAAACAAGGGAAAGGCAGCTCCCACGAACGCCCTCAGCATTGCGCTGGCCGCCAGTACGGAAGCAGCGTAGATGGTGTACGCATCCAGTAGATAGACAAGGATGGCAATGAAGACCAGCACAGTTCCAAAGCCAAAGGGGGCGCTGAGGATAACGCTGGCGGACCAGTGTATGCTGGGTGAATTAGTCCATGCAAAGGCAAACATCCCCACTGGGAGTGCGACTGCTCCCACCATGGCCGGGGGAAGGCGAGACTCTGGGGTAGCCTTGTACCCGAGCTTTTGGTACCGGCGCTTATCGTCGACGATAGTATAGACCAGACCCAGAAGCATGCCGACAGCCAGACCGAGAAACGGCAGGCTGCCGACTCCTGGGTTCCAACCCCCAGTGTTTCTGGTAGACAATCGGTACCGCAGGCAAAAACATGTAGAGGGTGCCGTAGAGAATGGACATGTAGATAGAGGCGATTAGAACAATGGGCTCCTAGAAGAGTAGTACCCACGGTCGTTTGACCGTTTTGGCAAAGAGCTCCTGCACACGAACACCCGCCTGACTCTTTTCGAGGACACTGATGTATCGTCTCCCCGTCCTCCTTGATAGATGGCGAGCTCTTCTGCGCAACAAGACAGGGCCGTAGGTCTCTGGCAGAAGGACGATTCCAATGATCCACACCACTCCGATAAATATACAGCAGACTCCTTGTACCCACCGCCAACCGACTGTGATGGTTACGAAGCCACCGATGATGGGACCAAGGATAGGACCCATGAAAGGTGCTGTAGCGAGGATTTGCGAGGCAAACCACGCTGAGATATGGGGAACAAGTCCGCGATGACCCCGCCAGCATTGGTCAGAGGTGATGCGCCGAACGCTCCGGCAAGGAAGCGAAAGACCAGCAGGGACGCGACATTCTTGCAACCAGCACCAGCGACCACAAAGGCCGTCATGAAAAGTGCGCCACGACGAACACAGTCTGTCGCCCATACAGCTCGGACAACGGCGCCCACAACGCCGGCCCGATTGCAAATCCAAGGACAAAAAGGGCGACGCCTGCTTGGAACAGCTCACTGCTGGCATGTAACTCTTTGGTGATCTGACCGGCCGAGGCCGAGTAGGCTGAGGAGGTGATCATCCATTTGCGCCAGACGGGAAAGTTCATGGGATTGCGAGGATCCTGATGCAGAAACTCAACGACGTAGGGATTCTCTGGCGTGCCTTGACCCTGACAGCGACCATCAGGCCGAGTTTCCTCGTCCGTTTCCTTTGCTGGCTGGAAAGGGTTCCTCATGGCTTGCGAAGTTCACCAGAGATCCACACAGGACGCAGCAGCAAACCGAAGAAAGAGATTCCACCCCTTCTTGGATTCTTTCCGACGCTGTTCCCCTCATCATTATTAATGGACGGTTACTTCTCGAGGGTCAAGTCTCTCAAGGAGTGAATTGCTCGGTGGTTCGGAGGGCAGGATACTACCACCGTATGGCTTGTCGTTCCAGAGCAGCCATTGCATACCCCGTAGACCGTGTGAGAGATAGCCAAAAGGGCAAATCATGTAAGACCAAGACTGTTCCCCATGGATCAGCCGCCGATCCTTTGTCCTGCAGCTCGGTATGTCAGTCAGCAGTCCCGAGATAGCTCGGAATGTCGAATGATTGGCTATGTGTCAGCCACTTTGGGAAGAGATGTGGTGTTACTCCCGCAGTGCGTGGAAGCTGCAAACTGCATTCTCCGTGTCTTCCGTTCCTGCTGTCATCGAGTGCTGTTCTGCAATGTGCATCTTGCACATCATACGGCCTAGGAGTCGTACGACTGTCCGACAGTAACACTGCAGATCGACGTATGACAAATGCTCGCCTTCTAACCTCATACTGAGCAACGTTTGGGCAAGATGTCCTCGGCTTCACCAGCCCAGCCGAATGGCTCCCTACGACACAGAAGATACAAGGCCGCCCTTGCCTGCGCGACCTGTCGTCGTCGCAAGGTCAAATGCGACGGTCTCCGTCCAGGTGCTTCCGCATTCTCTTCTGACCCGTAGCCTCTCATCAAACTTCTGAAGTTGCAAATGCTGATGAAGGGTATTTTTAGCTTGTGGAAGATGCCAAACGAAAAGAGAGCTTCGGGAAACATGCACTTACATCCCTGCGTCAGCCCGCCGTAGCAGTGTTGTCGACCATCCTTTTTCATCAGCTGCAGCATTTCCACCACTACCGACTCCTGCTTCCGAGCAATTCGATGTCGTCGGCACTCCAAGTGCTCACGGTCCCGGTGATCCAGGAGAATTTTCTTTCGAGGTCAAGGCTGCTGTGGATGCCAGACTGGGGCTGCCGTCCTCGAAGAAGCGGTGCCCTATCCCTCTGACGGATGCCCCATTATTTGGCGTGTTCTCGTTTCCAGAGGTTGTAGATGGCGCTGTGGATCCTGCCGACAATGTGCTTCCCCCACGCAAGCATGCTGACCACTTGGTGAGCCTGTACTGGCGATGCCTGGATCCTCTGGAGCCGTTGCTGGATCATGGATCTTTCTTTGCCGCTTACCAAGCACTATTCGCTGGCAGGGAGATGGAGTGCAATGAACAAATCTTTCTCTGCACCCTCAATCTTGTATTTGCATTGTCTACCCAATTACAGGAACACACTCCTTCGGAACAGCGAGACAGTGCCGGCAGAACCTTTTTTCTTCGAGCCTGGCATCTGCTGCGTCCGGAGATCGTCCTCTGGCAAGCCGGCTCATTGGAGACCGTTCAATGCCTGGTTCTTATGACCCGATATCTTCAATGTACACCAAATTTGCAGCAGACGTGGATGGCACTGGGTTCAGCTGTCCGGATTGCCCTGAGCATTGGCGTCGACCGCTCAGAGAAGCATGTGTCCGGGTCGGATAGGGAGAACCAGTTGACCCGGGATGTTTGGCAGCAGTGCGTGTTCATGGACAGGTACGGAGAAGTGTTCCTGCATCTGAAGACCTACGGCTCTGCTAATTCTAGGTCAGAAGCCTTTCCTGGTCGCTTGGGCGTCCTTCCACGGTACCTAGCGTACCCTTCTTCACGGTCGACTCATTCCGACATTTTAGCAACCTACCTGACTCCGACAGTGAGGCGGTCGCCGTAGTCTCTGAGAAAATGCAGCAATTGACGAAAATGACCGGTTATATTGGGCTTTCTCAAGTGCTCGCCACCAGCAGTTTGGCAGAGGGCCTCGAGTTGACTGTGCTAGCCCAAGCCGAACCCAGTGCTGTTATGCAGATCGATGAGTCTCTGACTGGAGTAGAGAACAGTCTCCCTCCCATTGCATTGAATGCTGCTAGTGACGAAACTGGCAGTCTCATCGACCGACGGTTGCTCCTTCTTCGTCTCCGGTGAGTCCTGTCAAGCCTAATTGCAGTAGTTCTATATCCGATGCAGAGCTAAGCCTTCGCTTTCCCAGTCTTGCGCATACACGCATCATGCTTCTTAGACCCATCATGGCTCGCTTTTGTATATCGAATCTGCAAGCGCCAAAAGCTCCCACATCAGCTGAAGCGGGTTTGGGCGACCGCTTCAGCCAAACATGCGCCACACTGTGCGTTGAAAATGCACAGAAGCTCGTCGCACTAATTCAGGAGTGCTCGCGATCAGACAGGACCGGACTCGTCCCCTGGTGGTATCGTATTTTCTACCTCTACATCGCAATGCAGCATTTGATAACCGCGATGCTGCGACCTGACGTCTTCGGGACTGCGGTCCTGGAGCCCTGGAACACGGCTGTCTCGGTACTCGGTGCACACGAGCACCTCAGCCCGTCTGTCAGGCGATGTCTGAACAGTTTTCAGATGATGTGGCAGAGGGTCATTGATATTCACCGTCCACCCACTCAAGACGCTCGTCCATCTCGAGCCGATCGCAATATGGGACTCCACGACGTCTTTCAGCATCTTGGATTTGATGCTCAGATTCCGCTGTTCGGGCTGGAGGATCCAGCGTGGCTGGACAATGTGGATTGGATTACATGATCTTGCTCTAAGCGCTTCCACTCAGTATCAAGTTTGCTTTTAGCTATTCAGCATTCGTCTACGTATGTAGTTGCTCTTGACCTGGCAAACGATGATGCTTAAGGTGGAAGATATTCTTGACAACAAGTGAGTAATCGCCCAGATGAGGATGGGCACTTTCGAGAATGTTACAACAACCTCAATATCGTGCAGCGAAGATGTATAATCCTATATCTCCATGTTTGAAACCCGTTTTCGAAGACCTACAGAAGATTCATACATTTCAACTCGCAGAGGAGGACGAAGGTGTTAGTGACAATACTCATTTGCACTTATTCCTAGAAGATCTATGGAATAGGGCTTGATGGGCCTGACCCCGGTTCACAGATTCCCAGTGAAGGATATGTTCTAAGAGGACGCCCTCATATCACCATCCACTCACGATTTCCATCGGATGAGAGACATTCCGTCATACAAAGGCAAGACCAGATTGTCGATTCTCGGGTCATTCTTGCAAAATGCACTCAGCTTTTGCATCTTTTTCCCGCACTCAATCCAGTATGGGACCAGATCCTGTCTCAAATGCTTGCCGGCGTCCTCGGAGATGGCCAACCCACGGGAGAAGACTGGACACAATATACATCAGTACTCACTCATGCCTCGCATCAGTGTAAAAGGGCAACACTCACCATTATCACAGATAATCAAGCCATCTTGGGCTAGGAGTTTCTGATCGAGCACGGTCTTGACGTAATCCTCGTAGCCCTCTTTCTCTGCGTCGACAAAGACAATGTCAAAGGTCCCAGTGAGCGTGAGAATGGAGTCCTGTGCGGGACCTTCGAGCAGAGTCACTCGATCCTGAAGCCCATACTTCTCGATGGTTCGTTTGGTGGCCTCGATCATCCGGGGCTCGATTTCCGTCGTGATGATCTCAGCCTGCGTGTCCACGGTGGCCTCCTACCAGGCCATGGCACTGAACCCGGAGTAGCTGCCAATCTCAAGGACTGCTCAGGCTTCAGTTAGTCAGGTTCCTTTTCTTTAGTTCGTAGAGGAGTTCAGGGACGAGCGAGGTACTTCGCTGGGGCTTCAAAAGCTGAGCGAGAAAGTTGTTCGTGGCGCCCTGAAGCTCCGATGACATCTTGTCCGAGTCGTCGAATTCTTTGCACGTCTAGTCCCACAAGTCCTTCATGCTCGCTGACACGCCGTCCGAGTACTGTAGACAGTACTGCTTTCATGTTCTCCCATTATGGCCTTTTGTTTGCTGCCAGGGACTGCAACAGATGGTCTCGTATTCAGGTGTGATGTGCGGTGATGCAGCTCAGGTGTTTCCCCTTATACATTTAAGAATGTGTTCACATAATGTGAGTATCACAGCTGACTCTTCTTTATATAGCTGGTGGTTAAGGCATTGCATCTGGCTTTTGAGATGGAGTATCCTTGGGATGGTGTCTTGGATTACTTTCTCATTTGATTCACCAGAACTAGGCTTCATGGCACCTTGAGCACAAGCAACCAAGGAATACCCCTTTTTACAAGGACCATGCTCTAGGTATACTGCAAGCATATTGATCTGCAATGGATGAGAAATTTTTCTTACTAACGATCTAATTTTGGCGCGCATAGATTGGGGTTTCCAGCTGATTGTTCCCCTCGCAGCCTGTGAGTCAATATCATATATCGGAGAACTAGCGAAAGAGAATCCAGACTGCTGGAGAAGATACGATTGGTCTATGGACTAGAGAATAAGTTATTTTGACTCGCAAGGAATGATTCCTCATCGGATTTGACCCACTGGGAACGAATACAGGCTTGGCATATCAAACTAGCATTGACTGTGCCAATTTGGGAATCAGAGAGAAATCCTGCCTATAATATAAAGGGGGAGTCGTTGCTCTCTTAACAACTCATCTTTTCATTCCAATTGTACGCTTCTAGGAAAATACTCAGCCATGCCAACTCCATCAAGTCAGGTCTCTGCACCAATGCCGACCATCACGGCACCCTGTACCCTAGACACATGTCCCCTTGACTGGGCACTGGTTCGCTACATGCCCAGTCTTCCAGGAACTGCTCTATACCTGGTTCTCTTCCTCATCATGCTCCTTGTCCAAATCTACCAGGGATTCCGCTCCCGCACCTGGTCCTACCTCGCTTGCATGACCTGCGGGCTCCTTCTCGAAGTCGTCGGCTACGGAGGACGTCTCATGCTTCACGCAAATCCATTCAACTTCTCTGGTTTTCTCCAGTCAGTAAACGCTGCTGCAATCCCCTTTCACCTGTCACCGTGTCAGACTAACTGCAGCTAGGTACCTCATCTGTCTCACCATCGGACCTGCCTTCATCACCGCAGCCATCTACCTGTGTTTTCGCCGCGTGATTATCATCTACGGTGAGAGCTTCTCGAGGATCAAATCCAGAACATACGCCATCGTCTTTGTCACCTGCGACCTTCTATGTCTCATTCTCCAGGCCGCAGGCGGGGCCGTTACTGCAACCGCAGGACGGGAGCAGGATGGCCTCCGTCACACCGGGATCAACATCATGATCACGGGTTTGGCGGCGCAGGTTGCATCGCTGGGGGCATTCATGGCGCTTGCTATCGATTATCTATGGAGATTGCGCCGACAGCGACAGTCCCAATCCTGCATGGCATCGTCGGGTGTCAGCTGGAAATGGAGAGGGTTCCTCTGGGGTTGGTGATCCACATCTGCAAACACACAGCTGTTATTTGAAGGGTAATTCTGACGGAGAGAGTAACTCTAGGATTGGGCATCGCAACGTTCCTCATCTTCATCCGATCGATCTTTCGTACGGCGGAATTGAACGGCGGGTTCAGCAGTGACCTGGCCAATGATGAGATCGCGTTCATGATCCTCGAGGGGGCGAGCATGATCGTCACCTGTGGCTGTTTGAGTATATTCCACCCGGGACTGAGTCTAAAAGGGCACTGGAAGGATCCCACTTCGTGGCCGTTGAAGGCCCGGCAGGACGACGGTTTTCCGTTGGCTGAGACTGGCGAGGGGGATAGACATTAGGCACACTGCACACATTATAGGAAGGTGGAGGATTTTACCTAGAGCGGATAAATAGTCAGCACTGTCCTGAGCTGCTTGAATCGATCTGTTTGGTCGAGCGCTGTGGCAATTGACTGATCTTTGAAAGTGTCTGCCTGCCAGTGCTTAGGACAAACTTTATTGAGCCCAGAGACCGGCTATTTAGGTAGCAGGGCTTCGATTGGACAAGAAATTGAAACATCCCCGTCTTGCCAGTCGCCAAGCAGAATTTGTCCAGTGTTATTGGTCTGATCGTATTGCTCCTCCGGAACAGGTATAACGTGGACTAAAGTGGACCAAGATGTATCAGACATATATGGAGTATCTCCCTTCTTGTTTTCAGTGCATAGAACTTTCTACCTGCGTTTGTAGTCTTCATATCGAGAATTCTATGAATATACGCAAGCAACAGGCAGGTGCAATGCGCAGAGCTCATACTAAATCAAGGACAGGGTGCCGAACATGCAAGTATGACCCCTTTCCCGGTGGTAGTCAATCAGACAACAACTTCGATGTACATCTGATAGGATATTCGCTGACTTGATCCTCCCGTGCTGCTGCAGAGCCCGCCGAATACGCTGCGACGAGACATGGCCCTCCTGTAAGCGTTGTGCGACCACAGGCCGTCGCTGCGATGGCCCTTCTCTTACCCAGACCAGCCCAGTCACAGTCTCATTCGCTCAGACATGGACGTTGACACCAACGGTCAGACTGCGACAACTCCCCAAGTTATGGGACGAAAGCGAACAAGACACTCGGTATGTGCAATACTTCATCGAGTGTCTCTCACGGGACACGCCCAGCTGTGGCGGCGAGTACTCGCACTGGCGACCTCTCATGATCCAAGCCATGCACCAGGAGGTTGCCGTCCGTCGAGGTGTTGTCGCTCTGAGCGCGCTTATGCAGGAACGACTGGCGCATGGTTCGTTGGGAATACATGGCTTCGATGCGCCGCCCCGGAGCGGACGGTATCTTTTCGGGCTGAAGAAGTATGGCAGGGCGTTGACGTCCTTGCAGAAACTAGTCAAAGATATGGGAAGTGACAGATATCTCATCCAAGTGGCCTTGCTCTGTGGGATTATCTGTATATGGTTTGAGATTCTCATGCGGGATTATCTTGCCGGGTTGAGTCACCTGGAGATGTGTTTGAAGATTGTTCGCAACGCAGGCCCTTTTGGGAATGTCGACTCCGAGATCCAAAGAGCATATGTGCGAATGGACATACAAGCATCGTTGTACGTGGGAATCCGCGCCCCCGTCACGGTCCCCGAAGAAATGTCCCCGATCCCCTACGTCTTCGACTCGTTCAACCAAGCTGAATCATGCCTGATGGAGGAGTACGCCCGAGTGGTCCACTTTTTCCGTAATGTTGCCAGCTTCTACCGCCACCACCAACCAGGTTGCGTTCCGCTGGAGTTCATTGCATACACACACACCCTACAAGCACGTCTTGAGCTCTGGAAGTCAGCATTCGGGTACTCCTATTCCTGTCAGAAGGCGCAAGGGAGTCCGCAGACTTCTGCGCGGGCTTCTCTTCTGCTCATCCAGTATTACATCGCGCTGGTCACCGCATCTACCTCTGTCTATGCCGAGCAGACGCTGTATGATCGGTTCCTGTATGCGTTCAAGCGGATTCTTCTCCTGGCGAAATCATCAAACGCCTTCCAAGTGAGTGCTGCTGCAACTTCACTTGTCGGCGTTCCAATGGAGATGGGCGTCATTTACCCGCTGTACTTTGTCGCAACCAAATGCCGCGACTCGATAGTCCGGCAAGAGGCCATCGACTTGTTATCCTCGGCGCCGTATCCAGATGTGGTCTGGGAGGCGCCTATCCTGGCGTTGGTGTCACAAAGGGCAAAGGAAATCGAGGAGATTGGACTGGATGGAGATCAGCCGATCCCCGAGTTCAAGAGGATTCATAGCCTTGGGCTGGATATTGATCCCGAATCTCGCCAGGTGCGAGTGGAATTCCGTAGACGGTCCAACGGAATGGACGGGGAGTGGGATGAATGGAGGGAATCGCTTAGCTGGTAGACACAAAGCACTCAGGTGATGAGAAATCGAATAACTTCTGCTGCCAATGTTGTGTCTTCAAGGCTCTTCTTAAGTCCGTGGAGTTAAGCCTCAGCACGAATACCAAACGGTCAGACTGGACGCACATCGTCCTTAAAGCCTCGGAGATTATTAACTTAGACATATAGTCAGTGTTGATTATTGTATTTCAAAGCTATAAATCTCCCTTCTCCCCGCCAGATGTCTCGTCTAAGCACCACATCCTGCATTCACAACATGCCCACCTTTCAGACAATCCTCATCATTGGAGCCACCTCGGGGATTGGCGAAGAATTAGCTCGCCAGTATCATGCAAAAGGCAAGAAGGTTATCATTTCGGATCGCCGAACAGAAAGACTTCATGCTCTGACGGCTGAGCTACCAGGGTTGGGCTCCATCCGGGTATGTGCAACGTCTATCCTATAACATACGACTGTTTAACACAAGGCAAAGATGGATGTGAAGAATCTTCCAGCTCTGCCAGTCAAAATAGACGAAGCATTTACGAGGTACCCAGACATCGATGCAGTGATCGTCAATGCCGGCATCCAGCGTCTCCTGGACTTCAACAGCACCGATGTATCTGCGAGCCAGTACCCAACCACAGACGCCATCACCGACGAGATCACAACCAATCTGACCGGTCCGACCGTCCTGGCACGCTGCACGATCGAATACTTCAAAGCATCGCGAGCCAACCACCCTTGTCTTCTAGCCTTTGTGACCTCGGGTCTGGCGTTGGTCCCGGCCACCATGTTCCCCGTGTACTGCGCCACCAAATCAGCGCTGCATCACTTCGCGGTGCTCCTGCGAAATCAGCTCAATGATACCCCTATCGATGTGGTGGAGATTTTGCCCCCGTACGTGGAGACCGAATTAGACAAGGATCACATTGAGGAATTGACCAGACGCATGGGTGGGACGAAGCCGCAGGGGATGCCGGTCACGCAATACGTTGAAGGAGTTGTGCGAGGGCTGGAGGTTACAGAGGAGAATGGGAAGATTCTGAAGTATGTCGCTGAAGGGTTTCCTCGTGCTGCAGTTGATGCATGGGTCACGGCTATCAGTCCCATGGCGCAGATGTTGCATACTGAGCTATGAATCTCTAGACAGCTGAGGAAGTACTCGGGTTGAGAAGGTCATCGATTGGGAATGTTGAATCCTGTCTGAGAAGATGGTTCTGATACGCAGTCTCAAAATCGTCTCCTTGCACAAATGCGTCCCAAGCATCCTAGTCGATTTCTATTAGCTTGCTCCCTGCCATACCTGAACAGAAAAGAAAATAGAGAAAACGCACCCAGTTCAGGTCAAGGATGTCCATATTGGCGTCCCTTGCATTATCTTCATATGTCTCAAGATGTAAACTGGGAATAGAGGTAGACTGGCCACTCGTTAGAGTGGGATCGGAAGAAAGGCCTTTTTCGCCATCGACTGAGTCTGCCAGGTCAATTGCTGGTGGATGACAATCTGGAAGACCGAGTTTCGGGCGTAACAGCTCCAGCATCGTGTCAAGCACGAGTCCGACCTTGCCTGCGTCTTGATTCTCACCTGCCAGGTTGTTCCAAATTTGGCGCGAAGTGTCGAGGGCCCGGAATATCTCCTGTGGACGGGCATCCATCTGCGAAGGACCCTGCTCTGTCCGAGTCGAGTATTGCAGATATAAGCACAGCACCATCGCAGCCAGGCTAAAGTTCGCACTGTCGGGAGTGACGGTGTATCCATGGAAGCTGCTCAAACACCCTCCCGGCTGAGCCTCCCTGTATATGGCGGCTTGATGTTGGAGCAGTGTCATGGACGAATCAACGCTTCTTTGCTGAGACGGAGCAAATGCTGTATCTCCCCGGGCTTCCTGAAGATACTTTCGATGCAATGCGGTGACTGTTTGGTGGTAAATCGTGTCGAGCTGGACCTTTTGCACCATCAAATATGCAGGCTCGTGTGGCGCATTCTCCCAGTTCTTCAGTTGCAAATGGGGAGGAATCGCCTTATACGCCTCAACAAGGTCGCGATCCAGTTGTAACACCCTCTCATAACGCTGCGGCTGTACGCAATTCAAAAATTCGACGACCCGTCTCATTACTCGGGTTATGTTGTTCTTGGCCAGCAAATAACCGATTGGGACACTCGCTGAAAACGGTCTTGCGGATGGCAATTCGGACATTTCTTCTTCCATGTCGGTATCGAGGAGATTGCGCGGTGGGTCCGTATCGAAGTCCTCCGTTCGGATGGCAGCTGGCATGCCAAGATGAAAGGAGGACAGGCAGTCAATCTGGGCGATTGTGCTCCAGATCCTGCGGCGCATCTCTCCCTCAAACGGCGTCGGATTGGAGAAATGGGACGGATCCCGGTGCAAACCCAGTCTCATGGCCAGGCGCACGATCGAGCCGATGGGTGTGATCAATCCGGCTCCCCATTCTTCACGATGAGAGAAACCAAAGATGCTGCGCGTGACCATTGCTTGGAGCGTCTGGAGAGTGGTCTGCTTTGTTTTGATGCGCTCCAAGCACTGGCCAGACTTGCTGTGGTAGAGTTTGCCGATCGTCTCAGACATTCCCGACTCGTCTTGCGCATCAGGAAGGAATTTCATTGCCAAGCTGAATATCGAATAGAGCAGAGCTAACCACGATAAAGTAATGGACGATGGGTTCTCCCAGTATTCTTCGTACTGTTTACAGTCAGTGATGACTGACTAGCTGCAGAGGATGGCTGCAAACCTGCTTCATAAACGTCGGATAATGAATCGAATCTGGTTTTCTTCATTAGACAGTTATGGTTCAGGAAACACCATTAGAAAGCTTACACCTTGCTGGACCAACGAAAGCGTATGGAGCAAAGAATGCTGATATCAATCTATCCGCTGCGGAGCGAGACGGCATGACTGCTAGGAGCTCATCGTCCAATTCAGGATCGGTTCCATATGGATAACTGCTCATATCCTTGGGTAACTCATCTTGGATGGGAGATACCGCCAGCTAGAGTTTTGATCAGCATCTTCGGCATATTCGCATTCGCATGTGCTATGGTACAGGACAAGCATACCTCACCGAGGACACTATCCCAGTGACTCCCACTTCGGTAGAGAAGTCCGTCAAAAAGCCGGCCAAGGACCGGGCTTGTGGCCCTGCTCTCGAATTGAGATGCGGCGCCATTCACTTCCTGTCGTCGACTGGGACGGGTTGCATACAGGCAAAGGTTACTGGATCCCCGTATCACACAATTGTGGCAAGGCTGATGACGATCACACCGCAGCCTAAGCCGTATCAGCTTCATAGAGAATGTCTACACATGTTAGAGCACATACTTGCGCACCCGGCAGGAAGCACAAGACAGCGGGACTCGATTGCGTTTGGCGGGGCTGGTTCTTGATGCAGCTGGGACCGTGGGTGATAATGGATCCATGTCGCCTGGTTCATCGGAGTAGGTATTATTCTATCGCCTTGATGAGTTGATTCTCGGCTCTCTGGTCAATCACTGAAAGAACCATATCTAAAGACAAGGAGGAAAGAAGAAAATCCATGATGAGATGTGCAAGGGTGGCTGAGCGAAGTGGGGATGGCCATGATTGGTGGATTTGCATAGCCATATATAGATGGATATATATTTTGATATAGGCTATCCAGCCATAAAAGATTAAGAGGAAGTTCCCAATTAAGAATTTGTCGGCAAAACGGGTAGAATAGGTACTCAACCCATAGCAGGTTCCATCCCTAGTCGTGCTCTCATAGTCTGCACGAGGTGGAGATCATCAGGGCGACAACGTTGGGTTTTTTCTCGTCAGTGAAGATGTTAGCATGTCTGAGAAAGCCATAAATGTGATTACTCGTGTTATATTATCAGCAATAGTAGGCAAGCCATGTTCTCTGCCTACACACATCTGGGTATTGGATTAGTGTCTGCTTACCATAACAGCCGAATCGGATGGAATACTAATCATTTATACATGCTATTATAACTATGGAATCACTAATCAAGCCTTCACGGCAGACGTGGACCTAAATCAGTGTATGATCACTAAACAATAATGAATCAACAATCGCAGGGGAATTTCAACACCCGCCACCCGAGGTCGTCGAGTTACATATTTAAACAAGGACTTCATCCACAATATTCCTTTGCTTCAAGGACAGTATCCAAGCAAAATGCCTTCTGGTCTTATCTTTATCACTGGTGCTACTGGTTTCATCGGCAGCGCTGTCGCCCTCACAGCCCTCAAAGCAGGCTACAGACTGCGCATCAGCATACGCAAGGAGTCACAGATCCCCAAACTCAAGAAGCTCCTGGCGCAGTTCGAACACCAGGTAGAGTTCATTGTCGTGCCCGACATCACTCAGGAGTCTTCGTTTGCAGGGAAGCTGGACGGAGTCGACTATGTGCTCCACCTCGCCTCGCCTCTTCCCCATGGGACGAATAAAGAAACATACTTTGGTCCGGCTGTCAAGGGCACCACGGCCATTTTGAGAGAAGCCGCCAAAGTCAGCTCTATCAAGAGAGTCGTGATTACTTCGTCTATTGCGGCACTTATCCCTCTCACAGGGGTCCCAGAAGGAGGGGTCATCAGAGGTCAGTATCTGTCTGACTCCAGAATAAGTATCCGGCTGCAACGGGGTAGACGCTGATTGACCATGCACAGAGAACAACAATTGGGACCTGGCGGTCGATGCAAATGCCGACTTCACGGGCCCGGATGATTCCGCCACCTCATTCGCACTTTACCACGCCTCCAAGCTGCTGGCAAACAACGCCAGTTGGGAATTCAAAAACACCGAGAAGCCACATTTCTCCCTCGTCACTCTCCATCCTGCTTTTGTCTGGGGACACAATCATGTGCAGGCTAGCGCGGAGGAGGTCAAGGGTGGTACCAATGGGATGCTCTTTGGAACTATCATGACCGGCAAGCCAGCTGGAAGCGTTACTGGGGTGCATGTCCAGGACGTGGCCGAGGCACACATTAAGGCCCTGGATGAATTGGTGCCGGACGGGTCCAAGGTCTTGTTGGCAGGTCAAAAAGCATCGTGGAGTGATGTTGCTCGCATCGTGAAGAGAGACTATCCGGAGATTGGAGCCAAGATCACGGAGGATATCCCGGGACAATCTTATCCTCTGGATACAGCCGAGGCGGAGAAGGTCTTGGGGATGAAATGTAGGTCGCTGGAGCAGATGATCAAGGACGTGGTGGAGCAGCAGTTGGGGTTTATGAGACAGGCGAACATGTAGACAGATGAAGAGTTCAACTGTAAGATCAGCTCTCAGGTCCAATTGAAAGGGAGCAAAGACTATACCGCTCTTTGGCCTAGTGGAGCTATCTGCCAGAGATTAACGGCTTTCAAAGGAATACGCGAGAATGGATGTCATGCTGGTGGGCAGGGTGATAACTATGATATTGATGGTCGAGTGTGATACACTGATCTATTCTACCGCTGTAGATGTCTGGGATATTAGGTTCAGTCAATACAAACAGGAAATGTTATTAGAAAGATCTGATTTCGGCTGTTCTTGACTCTGAGTCAACGAGACCTAATGGAAGTTGTCAAGCGTCGACACATGCAATGAAAGCAATATACTCTGTCCATTTGATGTCCAACCAAATTCAGGTTCCTCAAGTATAAATCATCCAGTATCTGTGTCATCCAACCCAGGTCGTTCTCCGGCGATCAACTCCCCCAGCAGAAGATTCTCGAGCCGCTGGATAATTTCTGCGCGACTCCAGGTGCTCGTTCGTTCACCAAACTCCCAGCTCGCCAGTCGCTGCAAGTGTATTAGGCAAAGATTCGACCAAGATATGCTTTCGGCTCATCGTATAAGTCCGAGTCGTAAGGGTCTCGTCATCGGAGGGATTCGCAGCGTCAGAAACCAAGCAGTGCTCAATGGGATCAGATTCCTACCCTCTACAATAGACAGCTTGTCTAGCACTCGCTGCACATCACTGGCAATGAGCCGGCTGTGGTGCCTGGATCGACTAGGGCGATTGCTTATACTCTCTGCCAGCAGGACAAGTGATTCTTCTCGGGACTTTTTCCTACTCAACGCTCCCAAGAGGAACAGAAGATGTTTACTCCACGATTGAGGCGCCATATGGGACGGAATGGCATGCACAAATGGAACCTTCCAGTTGCTTTCAATCAGGTTCATACTGCTCGCCTTTGCACGGTCCGAACGCTTAAACCGCGCTATTATGGGACGCACTGTATTGCGATAGCCGATCAGCTGCCGATACTGCTCCAGAGACTCATACTTGGAGGACCAGAGGTTCCTCTCACAGACATGGGTCCAAGCAGCAGAGATCAGTTCGGCAAACCGTTCGTCGACGGCAGACCCTGTGGTGAAAGTTTCAGTGAGCAAGTCGAGCTATCGAAGGTCCGATAGACCTCTCAATTGCCGCTCCAGCGCTCGGGGGACGTCTATGGACGGATCATTACTGATCAAGTGTCGAAGGACGTCCATTTTCCTTTGGCTCAATTCTGTCCTGATTCCTCCCTACGCTCTTGTCCGGGGCAGCTTTGCAGCCTCTATGGGCGTATAAATGTGTGGATTTGTGCTCGTAAGGACTGATATTCTAATATAAATCAGGAAATGCTTCAGAGCCATCAAACCCTAAGGATAACAAGGGTTTGTTACCAACGCATCGATCGAATCAGCGGATCCATGCACTATGCTCAATCTGACGACTCATTGAAATATTCGGCAGGCATCACCTTTGCCTTGGACTTTGATCATCGTGCATTAGTCTGAAGAAACCGGTTCTGATCGCCCCAGATCGTGCGGCATGAGATGATCTGGGACACCAACCGCCAACACGATGAGGCTGATTCTTCATCATGAGACTCTCTCAGGGTTGCTAACCACTGTACATTTTGAGGTCTCTTGTATCTGATGTCAACAGGAATGGTGCGCTCAATGTCAATCACTACCTTGATTTCTTTGTAGATCACTGGTTGGTAAGTGAACGCTAGAGGTCACGGTTCATAGACAGCCAAGGCAACGGTTGCAAAATCCCATGAGGAAAGCCCTTCAGCGTAGTTTGCGTTGCACAGCATAGGGTGGGGAGGTAAGGACGTACCAATCTCGACGATCGCGATTCGACGAGACGTTGAAAAATGATGAAGAATGGATGTCCTTGCGTCCTCTCATTTCCTGCGGCCAGACTCTTTGGCAACTTCTACCCTCCTGTCCGCCTATGATATCTACACAATCAAGGCCAAGCGAGCACCATTTCCGGGTTTGATATGACCATGTTCCACGGCTTTCGTGGGTCAAGTCTCCTGCAAGGCTTCTCTTTTCATGTCTGAGCAAGCCCCATCATGTCCTGCTTCGCCTCTCAATATGATGTCTTTTGCGACAACAGTATTCATACGCACAAAGCTTTGTCAGAGACCATGAGGCTACCCAACCTCCTATCTCTGTCAAAAGGCTTGGATAGCTAGCTAGTTCAAGCTGCAGCTGTGGCTTTTCTGGCGCCGTTGTGCCGGCCCATGGTACATGGTACTCTGGGGTGGATCAGAGAATTAGGTGGTAAACCTTATGTTGCAGGTATCTGCAGACTAGAGATTCTTCCTGACCAGAAATGATTGGCGGATCGGTCACAGACGAGGAAAGAGGCGATGCAGCACGTTTGGATTTGGGGCGCAGGCTTGTGCAACCATTCGGAAATCCCGTCGTAATCCTGCCGGAACAGGAGAATTATGACCCCTTTGAACAAGAATGCCGTATATCTTCAAAAGATGAACTGTCAACATAGACTTAACAGACGATTCAGAGATTCTCGTAGGACTGTGTCGAGGCTATTCACGATGCAGTCGCTAAGTGGCCATGGGGGTCAGCTTGTCTGCCAACGCTCGAAGCTGCTGGTTTATTGGTCAGATTGGCGAATAGGCTCTCTGGCTGTTTGGACAAAGACAACGTCTTTTTTGCAATGACATACTGGGCATCCACACATTGGTCAGCCAACATTACTTGAAGGCGCACTATCGACTAGTTTTAGTCCCATCCGTCTGGGACATTCCCTTTAAGATCAGCAGCATGCGAAGTGGGAACATATTTGGGACATACGGACGCAAGGTCTGGTAAGCATTGATCTGGCTTTCGACCACGGTTGAACAACTCAGCGCCAGCGCGCCGGTGCAGACACCGGGGAATATAGGCCAGAACGACCTTACGGTTGTCGACCTCGACCGCTCCCTGCCTTTATGTCTAGATGTATGTCTGGTGAAGAGGGCCATGACCATGACGAATATTATATCATTCACTGTATGCAAGTCCTCCTGATAATACAGTTGCTACGAGCTTCCCTTTGGTAATGGACGCAACGGTGTCTCTTCGCCTTCATGATCAACCCGCTGCTCAAAATACTGCTCCACTTGAATGGCATTGCGACTTATCGACCGTAACTCTGTGACCGCACCGTGCGCCTTTGTGGCAGAGGCCTCCGTGTGGTAGTCCATCTGCACGCCGCTCCCGTTGTAAAGCGGGACCCAAGGTCGATGGGATTGCTCTGCGTCCCTGTAGGGCTGCGAATTAGGGTCGACCGTGTGAGAGGGTTGGCCATGGGCAGAGCTCTTGAGGTTCCGAAACATGGTCATTACTGCACGATAGATGACGGGGAGATTGGCGCAGAAGATTCCGCCGAGTGGCTCCCACGCGGAGAGGATTCCTAACGGCACCCCAGCCCCTGCATTGTTAGACGAAGGCTTGTGGGGACATGATGATGGGAGGACTTACAGGTAAAGTCGGACGAGCCCTGCGAGACCACGACAGAAAGACGGGCTGCACTAATGGCACACGTTCTGCCCGGACAAAAGAGTGAGTTTGTTTCTCATAGACAAGGTGGATGGGAGTACTAACGCCAGTCCGACAGAGAAGAGAAAACTAAGAGCGATCTTCCGATTACGAGACATCTGGAGCTTGAAAATGACGGGCAAAGGCAGGGCAAAGATCCAGATATCGGTGACCAGGTTGGTGATGTTGGTGAAGTAGCTGAACGCCACTAGGTCGAAGCATGTTCCCGGCACATCCGAGTCCCAGAATCGCGAAATCGGGCGACATTGCAGGCCCAGGACAATTTCCATCGTCATCAACCACAGGATCACAAAGACAGCGGTGGTGAGGACTATGAGGCGAAACTTGAAGGTCACGAAGATGCGATGGTATAGCGCCAACACCGCGAGTTTGGTGCTGGCAATGGCTGCATTATAGAAGTGGCTGAAGATGTAGTTGCCCTGTTTGTGTCAATGCGTTACTCGGTTACTCGTTGACAGAAGAGGCAGATCTACCATCATGAACGTTTCTATCTGCTCATCCGAAAGGGCCGCTTTGTGACGTCCGAATCCATAGGGGGGTCCTATCATTAGACATCAGTCGGCCCGGTACCGCCTGAAGAGAAAGTCAAACCAGGGACATACCATAGATCAATCCACTGACACAGACTGCGGCTCCGACAAACTATGATCGTCGCAATGCCAAGGGCTTGTCAAATTCCCATGTCTCACACGGACCATGTTTGTACGTGGTGGCCGGGACTTACCGTGGCCCACACCATCAGATAATCATCAGAACTGAGACCTCCACCTGGGCCTCGTAATTTGACCCAAAGACGCAGCCCAGTCGTCAACAGCTCGAGGGGAATGGGGACGGAATAGGCGACTGTGACTTCGGTAACTCGCGATTGCGCCAGGAATGCTGCATCCTGAGCGGCTCTCCACGAGAGATTCATCGCATCCAGGAACTACATGTCCGACAATCAATCGGTAGGGTGGGAAGGAGGGAGAAGGCGAACAGGACGGAAGAATAAGCGCACCTGGCCATGATGAAGGCTTTTATCCCCTCAATCTATATTAGTGCGGTTCGGGCGAGGGTTGCAGTCAATTCTCACCAGCAATGCAGTCAGTGTGCAGAATCCCGGCTAGGATTCTTTTTCCTTCAAGTCGAACCGGAGGGAACCCGGGATGGAAGAGGCCATTCATGCAACCGCGGACGACCGCAGCTAATCAGACGCTTTCGGGCTCATCTCGTGGCTGAGTTGGGCCAATCATGAACAAGGCCAAACGAATCCTTCGGCACTATTGCATGATCCCTGTCGATTGCACTGTCGTTTAGTGTCAAGTCTCATTGGGTAGACTCCTAGGCTCACTCGGAGTCGGGGGAAAAGTGCCCATGAACTGATGATATGAGAATACGAGATTCAGAGTTCCTTAGCATTCCACTTGGTCAGGTCCGGTCTAGGTGGCTGGTATGATAACGGATAATGATAGTAACAGATAATACAAAGTGGTAGGAAGCTGCCCCTGACTAGTAGTGCACTATTTTCCTATCCAGATTAATCCCGCACTCTCCGATCCACCAAAACAGGATATATCATATATCTGATATATCTCCGTCGTTTCGTCTCTCTATTCCTCCCGATATCATATTTTCAAGTCAATTGAATCGGAAGAGCCCGATGAAACTCGATCTTCGCCTGCTGTTGGCGGCTAGTCTGGCCCCCATCGTGGGTGGCTCCTCGTCTGGCCCCATCGTCGACCTCGATTATTCGTCTTATCAGGGATATTATGAGGCCACCACCGGCTTGAATGTCTGGAAGGGGTGTGTATGATTGATCTGACTCCAACGCAGCAGAGACTAAAATCGGCCCGCAGCATTCGATATGCATCGCCTCCTGTCGGCCACCTGCGATGGCAACCTCCGGCGCCTCCAGCCAAGAATACCAGCCAGATCATCCCTGCCGTCGACCAGCCCCCCCTGTGTCCCCAATCGGGCGCTGCAGGTACCCCTGCCATCTACGGATTCAACTCTGGCCCTGGTGACGAGGACTGTCTATTCCTCAATGTCTATGCGCCCCCTGGTGCCTCCGATCTCCCCGTGTTCGTTTGGATCCGTAAGTTGCTCCTTCCCCCCGGCAGCTCCCACGTGTTTATCCGCTGATCCCAGTGATCGACAGACGGTGGCGGCTATGGGCTGTTTGGCGCTGTGTATGATCCCAGCCCGCTCATGAACACCAACAACAACGGATTCATCACGGTGGAGATTCAGTACCGTCTGGGCGCATTTGGGTTTCTGTCGTCGGCTGAGGTTCACAAACATGGTACCCCTAATGCCGGTCTCCTCGACCAGAGATTCGCCCTAGAATGGGTGCAGCAGCACATCGGCAAGTTTGGCGGCGATCCCAAACGAGTCACCATCGGCGGCGAATCGGCTGGGGCAGGTGCGGTAATGCTGCAGTCGCTGGCCTATGGAGGAAAGGAATCGGATCTTTTCCAGAATGCAAGTCTCGCTACTCCATCTGGGGTGTTTTGAACTGACCCGCTGTCCTCAGATCATCGCAGCGAGCCCGTACTCACCCCCCATCTATCCCTATGACGGTGCCATTCCCACCGCGTACTACGAGCAGTTTGCAGAACAGGCCGGCTGTGGCCCATTGACTTCTACCAGAGCCCAGCATAAGACTACTTTTGACTGTCTGGTTGCCGCGCCAAGTGAGACGCTGCAAAATGCCAGCGGAATGGTCTCCGAGTCCGGACTCTTTGGCACCTTTGCCTTTTTACCGGTTGTGGACGGGGATATGATCCGTGAGCGACCATCGGTGCAGTTACTGACCGGCCAAGTCAGCGGTCGGCGCATTCTCGTCGGGGTATATTCTTCCTCTCATATTCTGACCTGCTTTCGGAGTGCTCCGTTGACCGATTGAAATAGAATAACGCCAACGACGGTGTCCCTCTCAGCAACCCCAACGTAGTCACTCGTGCTGCGTTCAACGACCACATCTCCAAAACATTCCCCGGACTGACTAGAAGGGACCTCACGCGGCTGAACCTTCTCTATGGTACGGCAGACTCGCAGCCAAACGACGACGGTCCTCGATTTGATACCCTGGGCACCACCGGTCCGACTGCGAACAACCAGTCCGAGATGGCTACGGGCTTACAGCAGACGGTCTTCAATATCTACGGCGAAACCACCTTTGACTGTCCGGCGCAGTGGCTGGCCGAGGCCTTTGGCGGCGCTTCTCGACAGGCGTGGAAGTACCAGTACTCCGTGACGCCGGCGTACCACGGTGCCGATCTGAGCTCCTACTTCAACCTGGGGTCCTCCTGGCCCAGTGCCGGATTCAACCATGCTTTTCAGAAGCTGTGGGGCAACTTCATCATGAACAATAGCCCGGTCATTCCTCTCGGCGATGCGACCGCCAACAACAGCCAAGCCGTGGTTCCCGTCGGACGAGATGGTCATCTGAACTGGCCACAATTCCGTCCGACCTCTCCCTGGCAGATGGATCTGAATACCACTGGAGGTACCGTCAGTCAGGTTGTGGTCACGCCAAACCTGACCTACTACGTTCGGGAGGGGGACGATGTCGTCAATCACTTCCGTTTGGCCAACGCGTACACCTGGGAAGGGGGACGCGGACTGCGCTGCGCGTTCTGGCGGGCTGTTGCAACTCGGATTCCTCTATGATGTGTTCTATGTGCGGGGGGCAATCTTTAGAGATCACAGACTCGTCTCGTAACATATGTTGTACATAGCTATCAGAGCAAACTCCGGGGACCGAGAATAGAGAATTTGAACCTGACCACATAGATTGATTTTCGGATTCATTATCATTTGCCGAAAGACATTCTGCCCTGCCACCTACGCAGTCGCTGTCCAAACAGCTGCAACACCAGCATGAAGAACAGCGACCCGAATGTAATGGCCGCTTGGATCCCCAGCGCCCTGGCTGGACCAATGCCGCTGACCCAGTCGATCTGAATATACGTGGCCATGAACCCTCCCCAGTTGCGACTGGCCGTCACCCAGGCCCCCACCTCGCCGGAGCCCTCGGGGTAACAGTCGAGCAGGTATGCGTTGATGGCGGTGGTGATGATCATCATACTACTACACTGCAAGGCTGCGAAGACGGCAATGACCATGTAATGCCAGTGCCGCTCAAAGGCAAACCCCAGCACGATTAGACTGACACAGCAGAGAACAGTAGCGGGATAGACGATGATTAGGCGCGCCTCGGGGTGCAGCCGGCCTTGGTGTCGATTCATGTAAAAGGTCCCCACGGCATCGTGGAGATAGTGTCCGATCAGCCAGCCGATAACGACGCCGACAACGCCAAAGAAGTAGAAGTAGCCTGTTGAAGGATCAGTATCTCGAAAACCGCGCAGTGAAAAGGAATGTACCAATGCCGCGAGTGGAAAAGCCGTAGTCATTGGTCAGCCAAAGCCCGATGGTCGTGTTGACCCCAATCACCCAGGCAAAGTTGAGGAAGTAGTAAATCAAGATAATCAGAACCGGCACTCTGGTAATGGCCACAACCGGTCGCATGGCGCACTGGAGGAAGCTCCTCTCTCGCCACAGCTGGGCTTGCTGGGCTCCCGTCAGACGGGCGACATATGACCCTCTCGGGATCTGCCGACCTTTGCGATCAAACAGCGTTTCATCGAGAAGGAAGACTAGCACAAAGGCGACGGCTGACATGCAGGTACACAGCCAAAAGGCCCAGCGCCAGGACACATCCGTCACAATGAAGCAGGTCAGCAGCGGGCCAAGGTAGGGGCTCATGATGATGAAGAACTCGATGTAGTTGATGACTTTGGGGTGTTCATGGAAAAAGAACAGGTCTTTGATCCAGAGCAACGCACCCCCTTGACCGACACTGCAGAAGAGCCCGTTGATGATCCGCGCCGCCATGTAGGACTCGAAGCTCGTGGCCACAGCGGACCAGGCACATGTCCCGACCATGACAGCTTGAAAGATCAGGAGAACGGGCATGCGGCCGAAGAAGCCTGCGAGGATCACTACGATTATACCACACGACCCGATGGTGAACAGGTTTCCTACAACGGCGCGTTGGACACTCGCCTGCGACAGATTCCACTCTCTGTATGACATATCAGCGGATTTCTTTTGCTTGGGTATCATGGGACCCTACATGGACTGGGGAATGATAGTGATGATCGCCGTGCCCCCAGTATAGTCCGCCAGGAATGCGATATACGCCATGACCCAGACAATCAGCCATTTCTTGCGCGGACTCCAATTCAACGGATCGTCGGGCGTATCCAAGGGCTGCGGGATGAGAACGTAACGGCCGTCGGGAGTCGTTTTCAGGCCGGCTGCATTGTGAGGATATCGCCTTGGATCAACGACATATCCTTCCAGGGCTTCTTCATCCTCGTTGATTCCAGCCAAAGTAGTCGGTACGGGCTGTTTGTCGTCCATCATGTTGCAATTGCTGCCAATGCAAACGGAACTATTTATTCACACCTTTCTTTATTCGTCAGGCTCAAGTGTACTTGATCTGGGGAGAGAATGAGAAAGTCCTACAAGGTATTGGAATGTTGGCTGGGAAAAATGGGATTGTGCGATTTGCATATTCCTCGGGAGAATGGCTCGACTATAATACAGGCTGCGAAAGCAGGGCTTGTTTAATTTATCTTGATGAAGTGGATTACGAATTGGCAATGAATGAGGGGAAGATTGCTCGGTATGTGTCCAGAACAGGAAAGATAGCTTCATTATCCCAGCAACATATATGAGCACTTGTCCCGGGTCGAACAGGGGTGTCCTTTTCTCACAGCCCCACGGCACAATTACAGTTGGTTTTCAAGAAGGCTTTGAGAAACAATACTAGACAAGTGAAATGCAGACCCCTGCATCTTATAAGAACTTAGACATGGATGGGACAGGGGACTATTCCGTGGTTGCATTCCCAGTCCACTTCCCACTCTCAGAGGAGTCATTCTTACACGTCCCATTGGTCGTAATCCATCGCACGTAGAGATTGCGGCACAGTCATCTTGCATGGGTAGTCCAGGAGTAACAAGAGACTGTTCTCAGGCCCTGTCCCATATCCCTGTGCGGGATTGAAGGCCGTGAAAAGTTCATTTCTTCTGAACAGGCATACCAACAAAATGCTACTGTGCAGGAGATCCAACCGGTCTGGATTACAAGATCTCTGCCATTGAACGCGTCTGCGTTTTCGTCGACGTCTTAGGGCTGCTTCAGGCTCACTATGTCTGGGAAATACGGAGGACGGGGTCCTATTTTGCTTGGAGTGACCTGGGCAGAAGCAGCGCTGGCTCTGATTCTGTTCGGGCTACGTGCAAAGACTGCGTCTCTGTGTCCACCAGAGGGCGGTTCGTTTGGGATCTGTGGTCTGCGATGGGATTTTGTCTGGGTGATGTTTGCTTATGTATGCCGGATCGGCCACAGCTCATGAGGATACAAACTGATATACGGCAGGCACTTGCCTTTGTGGCCCAGTGCACCATGACCGTGAGTGTCACATACGGCCTCGGAGTGCACCAGGATCAGCTCTCGCACCCGGAGATTGTGGCCAGCAATTACTGGAGCTGGATTGCTCAAGTCCTGTCCATTCTTGATCTGGCAATCGCCCGGTGTGCCGTGATTGCTTTCCTCCTGGCCCTGCAAATGCATACCCACCGCAAAGGTCGCTGGGTACTGCTCACGGTGGGTGCCATTCAGGGGCTGATCAACGTGGCCGAAGTCGGTGTCATATACCATCAGTGTGATCCACCTCAGCGATTGTGGGATACAGACGTTCCAGGGACCTGCGATCTGATCGGAACCTGTTTGCACATCGGATACGCTCAGGGTGGTATGTCTTCCCTTTCACCTCCTACAAGGACAAAACGTATTAATGAAGCCAGGAATTGGTGCGGCCTCAGACATCTTCCTGGCTTGTTATCCGGTCTATATCATCGGACGACTTCAGCAAATGAGACTCTCCCTCAAAATTGGACTGTGTCTATTGATGAGCGGAGGTATCATGTACGTACCTGTCTGGCATTTGTGTCATCATCTGCTAATATCAATGTCTGTAAAGAGCAGGAATAGCCGGAATCAACAAGACAGTCGCCATATCCACCATCGCCGAAACCAATGACCAAACGTACGCTATTGCCAAGCTAAACACCTGGGTTCTAACGGAGATGTGGTTCATTCTCATCTTTGGGTCAATTCCTGTCCTACGCCCCTTCTTCGTGCGATTCTCTCAGAGCATCAAGAGTGCCGCGGGATACTCGAGCTCGCGCAGCCGCTTTCATGCCGATGACGAACGTAGTGGAAGTCGTCCCAATGACGAGATATGGATAGACCTCGATGATCGACAGCATAGCCCCTGGATGGCTCATGGGCCTCGTACGAAGAAGAGCGTGTCTGTGGGGGTGCATGGAGGCAGTGAGGAGGGTATCTTGTCCACGGTGTATCCTGATCAGATCGTTGTTACGAAGAGAACTACTGTGACAGCAGAGTGTCACTGTTAGATTTTCGAGATATCTATAGTATCGAAGCAACTCAACCGCAGTCGTCGACCTCATCAAGGTATATTCATACATGATGGGCTGATGCTACTTCAACTACCTGGCACTCTCGTTCCAAGACCTACCGATTTCCACCAAAATGGCTCAGACACACTAGCAGGGACAGTTGGAAGCATCCCTGTCTGGCGCCTTCTAGTACACCCACTGTCGTTCCTCTTCGTCCAAACATCGTCCATCAAGTGGATCTTGAGCGTGCCGCTTCCATTGTGTCTTGTCTGTGGACTGACAACCGGGATAAATTGTGGTGCCCAGTGCCCTGCTCCTCCTATTATTGCTCTGTGTGCCAAACCTCAAGCGTTTCTCGAACCTTGCTCAACAATCTCATTTAGATTCTCTTTCTCTGTCAGTTTGGAGGCAGAATGACCATATTTGACGAGATAAAACATGTCCAGACGCTGGCTGCGGCCGAGGCTGCGGGTGATCCCAATGCTCACAGTCAACTGCAGGCTGCTATTCGCAAACTGCAATTGGCAGCGGAAAGGCCGATTGACACAACTTCTCGAGTGAACTTCCAAGTGAGTCCTCCGATCTAAGAATAAGGGAGAAACGCATCCTGACAAGCAGATTATGCAAAATATCTGCGTTCGAGTGGCAATCGAAAGGAAGCTGCTACACACGATCGCCGGGAGGAATGGCGAGCCCATAACATCGGCCGAATTGTCGCGTGTGACTGATACGGATGAGCTTCTAGTTGGTGAGTGCATCGCTCCATCTGCAGATTGATACTCATCCGTCAGTCCGTGTGATGCGTGTGTTGACCGCAATTGGCTTTGCACTCGAGACTGCCAACCAAACCTACGCAGCGAACGAGACGACCTATTTCGGAGTCCTCCCTGGATCAGTTGCCGCCGTGAAGCATCAGTGAGTATCTCCATCTTCACAAGGATGAGTGACTGACTTCAGCAGCTTCGAACCCGACTTTGGCATGGTACCATTGCCCTTTTGCTCCTCTCCAACCGTTCTGGCTGACCATCTAGGGAGCCAAACTGGTCGAGTACATGCGCGGTCCCGGCATTTGCCAGTTCGCCGATGAACCGGGTCAGGAAACGCTTTTCAAGTACGCGCATGGATTTGACAAGATCTTCGGCATGCTCGAACAAAACCCGGAGCAAAAGCAGGCCTTCGATGACTACATGGCGTCTCGACGCTTGATCGACCAGCCGCAGTGGTTTGAAATCTATCCTGCTGCCGAAAGACTGGTGAATGTGCGAGACGGTCCAGATTCTGTTCTACTGGTTGATGTGGGAGGAGGACCAGGACAAGAAATGTCGCGCTTCAGACAGCGTCATCCAGACATTCCGGGGAGAATCATCCTGCAAGATCTTCCTCTGACGCTCAACCGGATTGAGAGGATACCAGACGGGATTGACCCTATGGAACACGATTTCTTCAATCCGCAGCCGGTCAAGGGTACGACACATTCCATTCTTTCCAGGTCAAGTAGAGGCTGACAGGCCAAAGGTGCCAGGGCTTATTTCTTCCGGCAAGTGCTGCACAACTGGTCCGACGCCAAAAGCAAGCAGATTCTGTCGCATATCGCCGATGCCATGGAGCCGGAATACTCAACCCTGCTGATTGACGACTATGTCCTGCCGGATACTGGTGCCGAGCTGAGAGCAGCTGAGATGGATATTCTCATGTGGCTGCATACCGCCGGTCTCGAGCGAACTGTCTCGCAGTGGAGGTCGTTATTCGATGCTGTAGGCCTCGAGCTGGTGCAGATCTGGAATACCGACAAGGGCGATGAGTCGGTGCTGGAGGTGCAGAAGAAGTCTCTGTGATGCAAATTGCCAATGCACTTGTCTTGTTTTCGGTTCTATTGGTCCAATCTGAAAAGCCAGGTATCATCTTAGGTAGGTGGCGTGTTCATTGGTGTTTGAGGCTTTGCAGATAAGCACCAATCCTACTCGCACCATCATTTGCCTAATTCTGGACTTATCCTACCCATGAAGTTGCTGAATGGACCTGTCCTAAAGCAGTGATGTTTCGTGCCGTTTCGCAATCGCATTGCAGCCTAGACCAGTGCCAATAGCAGACCTTTCTGAGTTCCTAGTATACTGCTATGAGGATATACCCCGCTTCCTTCTCCCTACAATATACAGTCCTTTATCCCGACATTGTCTCGTCCCGGATTTCAATGTTTACCATATTGTATAAGCAATGATCCCTCGATCTGGAGTATGTCTAAAAGCATGACTGCAATTCTCCCCAAGCCCCTCAAGAAAGGCGCCACTATCGCCTTTGTCTCGCCGTCTCTTCGCCTGAACGATGTCTTTCCGACGGCTATTGAGCGCGGCAAAGCCTATCTCGAGTCTCTAGGCTTTCAAGTAGAGATCCTCTTCACCAGTCTGCCAGCTGATGCCACCATTGCCGACTCTGTCCGGATGCGATGTGACGAGCTTCATAAAGCTTTTCTGGACAGCACAGTAACTGCCATCATCTGCACCTGTGGAGGCTCACATGCAAATGAACTGCTATCTTCTCTGGATTATGCTCTCATTCGATCCCATCCCAAGATCTTTGTCGGCTATACCGACATTACCTTTCTGCACTTTGCCATTCAGACTTGCACTGGACTACGCACATTTTATGGTCCCACCGTGCTTTCTGATCTCTCTGACTTTCCAGCACCCATGTCATTCACTATTGATCACTTCTTGCATGTCCTTTCTGGACAGGGCAATCCCGTGGGCCCTCTTCCACGGTCCGCGATCTGCACAGTCGAGCATAATGATTTCTTCTTTGGCAATGAAGCATCTGAGAACCGACGCGAGACTGTCGATACACCCCCATGGAGATGGATTCGCAAAGGTCGTGCAACGGGTCATCTGTACGGTGGTACGGTAGTATGCGTCGTGCGCCTTCTGGGATCGCCTTATGTTCCAAGTTCCTGGAAGGGAAAGATTCTGTTCCTGGAGACTGCCATGGGCGATGATATGCATCGTCCATATAACGTGGCCAATTTTCGCAAAAGCCTCGCCGATCTTGCGCTGGCTGGAGTGTTGCGCGATATCAGCGGACTAGTCATCGGACGGGGATACAAATATGACGAGCAGAGGCAGGATGATCTGGCGGCGGTGATTCTACAGGTCTTTGATGCCATCGTCGACAGGGACCGAGATGAGGAGCTGCCGATCTTGATGAATGTTGATTTCGGTCACACAAGTCCACTTCTCACCCTGCCTTTGGGGCGCTTGCTCGCTTGGATTCTGACTGCGATGAGTTTACTGTCCTGGAGCCGGGGGTTCAAGATCATATTTGACTGTATCAATGAGAGAGAGTCCGATCTTTATCATCTCTGGTTGTAGTCGGTAGTCCTACATTGAGTACCTCGACTCCTCAGCACGCGACTTCTATACTACTATTGCCTAGGCATATCAACTCCACCAACCCGCCTGATAAAGCCTCATGATCCTACTCTACTCCTTCCTTTCCAGACTCTTTTCCCTGGATACAATCAAGTATTTCAGGCAAATCAGGCGCCAAGGCCTTGGCTTTGGTTCGTCTGTGTTGCCCCGCCTGAATCCTGAGGCAGCACCGCAGCCTAAATCACAACGCGTCGATATAACGCGACGGAAGTTTCAGTCGTTGCGATGAACAGAAGAGTCCCCCTATTGTGCTATACAAGATCAGGCAAGCTCACTCAATCCTCCGCAGTCGCAATGGCCTCTCAGCAGTCGCGTTTCGATTTGCCGGGTTTCTCCTTACCCCTGAACTTCACCCCCGGGAGGAGTGTCATGTTCGCAAATGGACTAGACAACTATTCCATTGGGTAAGGCAGTTGTGATTCCGCAATTGATCGGGCAAAGCTGACAGAACCAGACGTTTGAATACACATCGAGAGATATTGATGATGCGAGCAATGAATTCCATCACCGACAAGCCAGACTGGGACAAGAAGGCACGTAGTCCATGCTATCAACGCACTCATACTGACCTGCTCAGGTGTTCAATGATGAGATCACTGCCAAGTGGCGCAAGGAAATTCAGGACAGTGGGGAAGATGTCAGCGAGCGAATGATGGAGTGGATCATCAAAGAAGCACAGTGGAAAGCCGAGGTCTTCCACGATACCAAGCACATCGTCGCATTCGACGTAGGCGTGGTCAAATCGGATATTGCTATCCCGGAAGAATTACGACAGGCCCTCAAAGAGGCCGTCCGCCCCCTAGAGGAGATTCCTGAGGACCAGAGGGACTACCATCCCGGAACGGACGGCAAGGTAGTTGACCTGGTTCATCCGTCATTATTCCCTGTGATATATGGCCGAACGCGCATCCTGCCAGATCGACTCATCAGTCTCAAAGCATTTGCAAACCACATCGGTGAGGGCAAAGTGCTCCCTGTCCGCCCAGAGGAGGAGTCTGTCACGGCGCAGAATGACTGGGATACAGGTACAGGAGGCACCCCCATCGACCCTACAGCCTCAGGTTTCAATGGCTACCCTGTGACGTTCACTTTGGACCCAACGATGAATGTCAGATTGCATCATACATTAACAATCTACATCCCCAGCAACACCGAGCGCTATACCAAGTCATCGAAAAGATTCTGACAAGGGTCGTTCCAATGTGGAACACGACCTTGACTCTCATGCAGGACGAATATAAACGCATCGAATACAGTGAGGTAGACTATGATGAACATCCAGAGCCCGAACCAGAGCCGGCGGACGAGGATGAAGAAGATAGTGACGAATACTGGGACAAACACGCGGCATGGCAAGAACGGCAGCCCATCAAACTGCCAGAACCAGGAACATTCATCCCACACACCGTTGATGAAGGCAACCAGGTGAACCTCCGCCAGGAATTCGCCGAACGAGGACTCCAGGTGATTATGAAGCTGGCCAACATCGAGCTGACGCCGGAGAAGCCCGAGTACGAAGGAGGCTCCTGGCATATCGAAGGGCAACTGGTGAGTCTGCATTACGGTTGATTGACGAGCCTCATGATGCTGAATGATGAACAGAATGATGAACAGAATGAGCACATCTGTGCTACAGCCATCTACTACTATGAAAGTGAGAATATCACGGAGAGCACTCTCGCATTCCGTCAACGGGCAAGGAGGAGTAATATTGAAGAGATTTACTATGAACAATCACGGCACGAGTTTCTTCAACAGGTCTTTGGCTTTGGCCCCGATGTCAGCGGTTACAATGAGAGCAATATCACCCAGCTGCTGGGCGGCGTCGAGACCCGTCAAGGTCGTCTCCTTACCTTTCCGAATATCCTCCAGCATCGCGTGGCGCCCTTCTCACTCGCAGACCGGTCCAAACCGGGCCATCGTAAGATTCTGGCGTTTTTCCTTGTGGATCCGCATCAGTCTATCATTTCATCAGCGAATGTGCCACCTCAGCAAGAGGACTGGTGGAAAGAACGGCAGGAGCTTGTTGGGCGTTTGCTTGGTGAAAAACTGCCTGCCGAACTGCAGATCATGGTGAAGGAGGAATTCAATGCTTACCCCATCACGATGGAGGAGGCCAAGCAGTACTGAAAGGAGCTGATGGAGGAGCGTTCTTCCAAGTTGGAGGCGCAGAACGAGAGATTCGAGGTGGACAACTTTAACTTATGTGAACATTAACATCATCCAAGGTCTATCTGCACAGGAAACCAAACGCGTTTGTTTATCACATACTTTATCTATCGAACTACTGTCTGTTTTCTATTCATCGTCAACATTGGACTTTGGAATCGTAGAACTGACCCTCTTCCTGGATTGAAAGCGACTCGAAAGGTCCTTCCTTGTTCTTACGACGCGCATTCTTCTTCCGCTCTCGCTCGGCTCTCTTCTCCTCTTTCTTCTCCTGCTTGATTCGCTTTTTCTCCTGTCTGCTGACCTTGGGAAATTCCGAGTCTGGTCCTTGCAAGACGCGACCGGGATGAACGACGTTCAAAATGGCCAGGGCGAGGAACATTGGCGTGGCATCCAGGACATATTCGTAGGCCTCGTGGGTCAGAATGGGGTTGCTCGGGTCTGTTCCTCGAGCGTACTGGCACAGTCGGAAGATGATTCGGATCTACCAGAGCCGGTCAGTCTACTGTTGTCGTTCAGGACAGCGGTCACATACGGTGATGAGAGTCAAAGAGCCATATATCGCCCAGAACAGCCAGCGCCAGGAAGCCGAGCCCCGAGTGGTCTTTTCCTGGTCCAATGCCCCGCGGTTCTCCATCTGTGCCATGCGACGGTGGAGATGAATTGCCAGGCCACCGAAGATCAGCACGAACAACTCTTGTAGTCCGATACCGCCCATGTAGATATGGATACCGAGCATGATGGTGCTGTTGGGCAAGTCGTTCTGCGTCGTGATGCCGGCACCGGCTAGCTGGACGAGAAAGGCCAAGATATCAAGCCACACAAAGACTAATCCGTATCGTTTGGCGGTGATTCCACCGAGCCGTTGGTCGGGGATGAAGAAATGGATGAGGCGGCCTAGGGTCATGTAGATGAAGGCATTGATCCCTACAGGCTCTTGTCAGCACATCCCTTGAGGTGATTGAGAGTGTCCGGTGCGTACACAAAGGTGCCAAAAGATATAGAAGCGTGTGAGCAGTCGCATAGGCCTCGCTGTCCTGGTGTCGTGTTTGTAGAGTCCGGAAGACAAATGCAAGTAACTCCCAACTGGCTCCCATGATAACGACCCAGGCATATTTCTACATTTGTCAGTAAAGGACTCTTGGGTTTTCGATGCCGCGACCAACCTTCTTATGGATGAAAGCTTGCACTATGTGGCAGATGAACGTCAACCCGAACAGTATCGTGAACAAAATGGCGGCACCAAAAGACGGAACATAGAGCAGAATGGCATCACAGGCATCTGGAGGCAGGTAGCCATATTTCCCTGGCTTTGGATGTGTACATGTCTCGGTGGCTGATATTGCTGAAGCCGTAGCAGTGGGGGATATCGTTGCGGTGGTGCTCATGTTGACAACCGGGGTAAGGCCTTCTGCTGTTAGAAAATTTCTTTCTTATTGATGATAGTGTATAGAGCATCATGGCATTAAATATAAGCTTATAATATCCTTGACTTCTGAGGTATTGGCCGTATTGTGACTGCCTGTCAGGCAGCCAAATATACGAAAGATCTGGCCATTGATAGACACGATGCTCAGCCATATCAGCCTCAATCATACTAAAGCATACTAAAGCATACTGATAATGACTTTTGCCAGATCCATCAGATCCTTTGAGGTTGACATCTGATACTGTGAAGGAGTAAAAATAGCCAGGCTGACGGCTCCGAACAGACCAATCATGATGTGTCTGACAGGAAATCCATCTCTCACTCTGAATGGACAATTCGCACTTGCTCGCATCCGCTAACTGTTTTGGTCTTGGAACCCAGATGATCTAGCGTCCGTTTCTCAACTTCGGTCTGACATGGTGATAGGCAGCCACGTTCCAAGGCTTGGATGCTTGGACACCACCGGCTCGCTCTCTCTAGCCAACTCGCCCTTGGCATATTGACGTGACAGTGCGCTGGGAGTATATCTGTCGGGGTCGTGGGACGCCTGATGTGAATAGAAGCCATGCCTTTACGGACAGTAGTCAGCCGGTCTCGCGCCGGCTGTCTGACATGCAAGTGAGTCGACCAGGTGTAGTCACGATTGAAGCAATACATAATCATTGTGTCGCTAGGATACGAAGAGTGAAATGCGATGAAGAGAAGCCCAGCTGCCGACGATGTCGATCCACTGGCCGCAAGTGTGACGGATACGCGAGCCCCTCGTCGACCACTCCTCGCCAATCGACCGATCTACGCATCGTTCAGTATACTTCCCAGGTATCCGAGCCAATAAGGATGAGGATGTTTGCTTCGTTTCACCAGCCGCTGGCGGATCATGACTACCGTGCGCTGGAGTTTTTCCACTTCCAGACCGTCTCCTGCTTCGGAGCCAAGGCGGGGGACTTTCTTCTTCGTGCAGCCTATCATGATGCGACGGTGCGAGTGGCTGCCATTGCGCTAGGGTCTCTGCATCGCATCTTCGTGGGTGACGGGGATGGTTCGGCTGTGGCGCAGCCGCGATTGACTCAGTATGCCTTGCAGCAGTACAACGCTGCCATCCATCTGGCTCTGAACCAGATCCCCGTCACCGAGAGACAAAGCAGTGACAGCATACTCATCCTGTGTGTGCTGTTTTTCTGCTTTGAGAGTGTACAGGGCCACTTCCGAAACGCCGTCCAGCACGGAATAGCCGGCCTACGGATCCTCAAGCAACGGGAAGAGCGCTTCGTGAACGAGGGAAACGTCGCCGGTCTTCCCCCGAGCGTTGTTCGCTTGTTGTTTGTCACAATAGAGAATCAAATGCTCGAGGTCGACTGGAAATCGTACCTGCCCGTCTCCATCCAGTCAACCCTTCTGTCTCCATCCCAACGGCCTCCAGTCAATCTGGAAGACACTCCGTCCACGCTCGACCAGCTCAGCGATTCCTTTCAGTTTTGTTACAACCAGTACCTCAAGTTTCTATACCTGTCCCAGGCGCCCGAGGGCGCGGAGCTGTCCAGAACGCTTCAGCAGAACCAGGCATACTACGGCCAGATGCTAAGGCACATGCAGACCTGGTCCGAACAATTCGACTCGTTCCTCGAAGCGCATGTGCAAAACGCCCAGAGTGCAACCGACTGCACGACAATCAAACATCTGAAGATGTGGCGGAAGATCATGGGCATCTTCCTGCAGATGGATGCGCCGCCCGCGCAGGGTGGTCTTGATCAGTTCTGCTCTGAATTCGCGGCGATCCTCGGTCTGGCCGAGGATCTGATGAATTCTCCCTCGTGTAAACCCCCTGCTGTATCAAATTCAAACAGGCCTTCTGTCAAACACGGTAAGCCACAACGTCCAATGGCCCAACCAGGTCGACAACCGCAACAGAATACCCTCCCTACCATCCTCCCCAAGCCCGAATCATCTCCGCCACCTTCCTCCTCATTCTTCGTCGTCTCTCTGGGACTGATCCCTCTTCTCTGGATTGTCGCGACCTCCTGCCGGCATTCGCAGATCCGCCACCGAGCCATCGACCTGATGAGCCGCAGTCGCCGGCGGGAAGGGGTGTGGGACTCGGTGCTTTTCTCCACGCTTGCGAGGAAAATGGTCCGGATGGAGGAAGAGGCCGCGGGATTCGCCCAGGGAGCCACATACGAACCGGCGGATCTGCCTGTTTCTGCCCGGACCAATACGGTTGCCGGCGAGTTTGGCGAGGGACGACAGGGGAAGATCGAGTTTCTCCGGGAGGGCGTCAAGCTGCGCGAGGAGACCATCCAGTGGTGACCTTACGATTACTCTATCATAGACGTGCATGATATTTTACTAGATGGATCAATTTTTGACCCGAGACCTTGACTACTCTTGTTAGCGTGAAAGACCCATACGGCTGAAAGGTACCGAACTGAGGCTATATGCTTGATAACCATCGTATAATACATCACAATGTACTCTGTTATGGACATCGGAGAGGGTGGATATAGACAACATGAAGGCTGCTCGGTTTATATAGCAATTGTGCAGGTGTACGAGGTTGTCGAGCTCTCAGCAAATGCGGAAATCAGACCCTCAATAGCCGAATATGCACCCAGGGCGGCCAACGCCAATGCACCCAAGCAGTAGAAGATGTTGAACACACTCATGGCCAGTTCCTTGGGTCTCTGCGCGAAGAATCCCCGGAAGAAGCGCCGGATGCCGTGGTCGTGGCGGACGGTGTGTCCCGTAGCGGGATCGAAGCCCTCGCCGTCTCTCAGGGCGGCGCGCTTCACCCAGTACGTCACCGCGAGAAGGGGCGGGAAGGTGTAGGTGAATTGCAGAATGCAAAAGGCAGCAACCACCGAGGTCAGACCGGAGAAGTTGGGAATACCGGCGGCGAGCGCAAAGGCGATGCCCCAGTAGACGGGGACCAGGATTGCCCACAACAACTTTCCGCCTCGGGTGGTCAGAGGCGGGCAGCGGAAGAGCTCAACGAAGATTTGGTTGTACAGGACTAGACGGTCAGTTTTGTAATGAGATGCGAAAACAGGCGGTAGAACATACCCTTCAGGCCGATGTTGCCATACAAACCCGCCGCAATGGCCGCACTGACCATGGCAAAGACGTTGCCGGCCGTCTGGATGTTGTACGAGCTGATACCCAGGTAGCTGGGGTTGACGTTGTACTGGCCCTGGTAGCCATACATGAACAGGCCGTAGAACATGTACCAGAAGTAGATGAAGGCCTGAGCCGCCCACATGCCCGTCAGAAAGTCCTTGGGCCGCTTCATCTCCGACATGAATTCCGGGAACACCATGGCCCCTCCGTAAGCGAACACGGCTTGCATGGCGCCATTGAGCGTGCCAGTAAAGTCGCCACCAGCCTCAGGCAGGCCGCCGGACGTGCGAACGGGAGGGTAGACGCCATTGACCGGTGTGATGAGGTCCTTGTTGATGGCAGCGCCCGCCGACGACGAGGCGGCCGCGTAGTTTGGGGGCGCGTTGGCCGCGCCCCCCATGGTGATGAACATGCAAATGAGGTTGAGCCAGACGGCCGAATTGGCGAGCCAGCCGAACTTCTGGAGCGTACGAATCTGGCCGACGAAGAAGCCCAGCAGCGCCCACACCAGGCAGCAGATGATGAAGCACAGCTTGCCCTTGGACACCTGGTAGAGCGCCTCACCGTTGGAGATGACGATCAGACCGACGTTCAGCAGCAGCTGGATGCTCTGCAGGACGTTGAAGAGGTATCGCATCCACCGGCCATACAGACGGAAACCGAGATCGCCGAAGCTGCGCAGGGGGAACTGGTACGAATCGAGACCCATGAACGCTTCCCAGAGGAGATAGCCCGAATAGGCGGCGAGGCCACCAAAGACCGTGTACAATGCAATCCCGGGACTATTTTGTCAGTTTGGTCACTCATAGATAAAGGAAAACGGAACTTGGACGCACCCCCATCCCATAGTCGCAAAGGCATAACCCAGACCGAATGGACCCAGAATGTCGGTGGTGATCAGATAGAAGATGGCACCGCGGGTCGCCGTCCGCAGCGCCCGGGAGGCATTGGTCCATTCCTCGTCGGTGATGGTCAATCGGGCCGCTGCATCGCTTGTGTTGAGAGTGGTGGCATCTTTGGAGGTGTTCTCGGTCACCTGCTGGATGCCTTTGTCCGACTTGGAGGGGAAGATGATGGACAGCCATCCCCGTTCCTTGTCGCCGCTGGGATGCTGATCTTCTTCGGCACGGGTCAGTTGGGCGTAGTAGTAGTACTCCTCGAAGGTAACACTCGAATCATGCAACTTGCGGTGCTGCGGACGCACAGCAGTCGTGCCGGTGCCGTAGTCAATGGCATCAAGGGCATCAAGGGCATCAATGGCATCAAGGGCGTCCCGCTCTTTCTCGTGCAGACGAGGATCGCCCCTATCAAGGGCGACACTCATTGGTTGCGCCATGACGGATGTTCAAAAGAGCTGAAGAATGATGGAGAAATGATCCTCAGAAGGAGTGTGACTGTGTGAGGGACGGAGAAGATCCCTGGGAATCTAGGCTATTTAAAAAACGCAGCCCTTGAAGTCGGTCTGGTGGACCATTCCCCAGATGGACTTCTTCCGCTCACCAATGGCATTGTTAACAAGATAGACGATTCGCCTCCTGCTGATAACGGAATTTACTGAACCTAGGTTCTCCCCCTTAGCCGAGCCGTTGCACCCGTGGCTGGCAATGCAGAAATTGATCGAAGCAATGCCGAGGACAGCCAAGACGAACCGCAAAGGCTTGACATTGCTTATTTGCCGTGGAGGGTGGGCCCGTGGGTCTTCTCGTCTATCGATATGGCATAATAAGATGGTCTAATACTATCCAATTCGTCAGCATGAGCAAAGTTTTGCATCCACTATCAAACTCCGGTGGCTTGAACTCAACCATGCGAATAATCCCTCAGTCTTCAAGCCACTCTTAGGCTGGAAGTGTCACTTGTCACTGTCACTGTCTGCTTATCAGTCTGGGGTGGGCTAGACTAAAAAGGAAGGTGCTTAAGCACTTGCCCTGGGCCACGCGTGCAGTGCTTCTAGTCCTATGGGTCTCGTCTCCAAACTCTTCTCTTTCCATCGGAGAGCCGGAGGACTTTTATATCCACCGTCAATCAAGCCTGATCCAGTATGAGGTCATGCTTATTGCTGCTCCTCTAGGAGATATCTATTCGTCACTAGGTATTGAGATGGTGGTATATCCTCAGCTCTGAGCCAATTCATCCAGACACCCCTCCCCCTGTCCGTGTCCATGTTTCCTTCCTTGACTGCGAAGACGATCCGAAAGGCGCATACAGGCGGACGCAGTACCTCTTCCTCACCCGCACGGACCTCGATCGACCCGGTTTCGAAGGCCCAAATGCGTCTGCTCGCCATGGGGGGGATTGTAGAATGGAGCTTCACAATCCTTTCCTCCAACCACTCCCCTTTGTGTACGACGACGCGGTCAACGGCAAGAAGGCGGCAATCAGCGAGGATGCGCCCGTGGGACACTTCCGCTACATCCATCCTGCGAAGCTATGCGGACTGTATCCCCGCAGGGGCGCGTTGATCCCAGGGACAGCCATCGGGATCCTTCTCTGGAACCATTTTCCATCACCAACAGTCTACTGCATCATAGCGTTGACTATCCGTTCGAAGGGAGGACAGTATCTCAATGGCCGCGATACACGTTGCTTCGAGGGGTGGTAGGATCACGACATGACGGCATCGTAGGACGGAAGGGATACAGGCAATTCGTGCGACGCGACCGGAGTGAATTTTGCGAAAACCAGTGGCCGTGGGATGTAGAGCATTTCTGAGGAGGAAGCAGGATTTGGATGAGATGGCAACCTTGACTACTCAAGCTGGTAGTTGATGGAACTCTGGTTTGCAGCAGGAGACGGAGATGGAGATAGACGGACAAGGTGTGTTTTGATGTGACGTAAGGATACATGGTACTGAGTACTGATTGGTTTATTCTGCAAGTCACGTGTAACAACATTACAAGCACTGTATTGGTGCCTGATCATGATTTAGTCACTAGCCTGAGGACTCTCTCAGCCTCGTAGTCACCGAAATTAGCAGCTCTACACTGCTCATCTTGGATGATGAATCTGGAAGGACTCGATTCTGTAGTAGTCAGTGACCAATGGATTCAGTCAATCGCCCAAAGCGGAAAAAGCATTGTTGGAATGCGGCATCATCTATGGCTTAAGCAGCTTGCAGCTTGGACGAAAACGGACTGAAACCAGACAATGGCTGCAGGAATGTCCATTGTGGTCTTGCGCCACTGGGATGAAGTCGATATAGACAGAGAGGAAGAAGCATGGTAGTTGCACATCTCATTCCCTCTACTGTCTGCCATACAGACTGTCCTCGATCAGCGTCCCTTATCTTGCTCAAAGACCAGAGTCTGGCCGATCACCTCCTCCATGGCCGTCGCCATGACGCTGTGGAACTCCAAGGTCGTCAAGATCATTGCCGGGTTTCTGTTCAGCATTCTGTTCCTCAATGCGCTGGTCAGCAACGGGGTCAACTACACGGCAACGCGACAAATGATCCGTGGCGGCCATCGTCGCCTGACGGATGATTCGCTGTACGAGGCAACCCAGAATGAGACCCTTGGAGTACGCCATCTCCCAGTTTGCTATTGTATTCATGTCTAATTGTCCAGTTCGAGCATGTCTATGCCATTGGTCTCAAGGAGCGTACCGACAAGCGCGATTTCCTCGCTCTGGCGGCCTCGATTGTCGGCTTTCGTGTTGACTGGTTAGAAGGAGTGAAGCCAGAGGATGTCCATCCAAAATCGCTTCCAGAGGTAAATCATCTTTGCTCGGTCGGGGTCTTGCTAACACTGAGCTAGGGAATGAACATGACTATCATCAAGCCTACCGTTGCAGCCTGTTGGCGAGCTCATATGAATGCCCTTCGCACGTATGTGTCCTGCACTCGGGACGATCAGCACTAACAGCTTGCAGAGTCGTGGAAAATCGGCACGCAACTGCCCTGATTATGGAAGACGATGCCGACTGGGATGTCTCGCTCAAACAGCAGCTTCGTGAATTCGCCCGAGGACTCCGGACGCTTTCGCGCAGCAAGACCGCCTCGAAACAAGCCCCTTACGGTACAGATTGGGATCTTCTCTGGGTCGGGGGCTGCTCAACCGCTGCCGGAGTCAATGAGACCGAATTCTACGCAATTCCCAACGATCCGACGGTTCCAGGGATGAACCGCCGCAGCTTCTGGGTCGACCGGCGGGGCCCCCTGGACAAGTGGAAGCACCGATTTCCCCAACTCCCCGAGGAATCAACCCGGTATATCTATCGCGCAGACACCGGCTGCTGTCTATACGGATACGCTGTGACCTACGAAGGCGCCCGGAAGATACTCGCCTCGTTGTCAGTGGACCACCTGGAGATCGCCGTGGACAATGCCCTGGGCGACATGTGTGGAGGCAAGAATCGTCCTCGGATCCAATGCTATGCGCCCCATCCGAATCTGATCGCGACGCATCGACGCGCGGGCTCCTCCTTCAAGGACTCGGACATTGAGGCCTACGGACAGGACAACTGGCATCCAGCGGAGGCGTGGGATCTGGTCTACAGTACGAAGCTCAACCTTCAGCGCTTGCTGGGAGGCCATGAGACGGTGCTGTCTCAGTGGCCGGACGACCATCATCCATGGTCGCAGGCTGAGTTGAAGGTGAAGGAGTTTCAATATCCGCAAGGGTTTCATGTTGCTGTTTAGCCGATTGTTCTGTATGCTTTTTTAGATCAGGTAGCTGCACAATGTGAAATAGCACTCTCTGCGGCCTATACCAGAGAATCTATCCATATAGTTAAATTTGTGCCTGCTCAAGGACACAAAAGAATGCAACATCGAGGTTACTTGTACCATGGTCAACCGCTGCAACCCTTCCGGATGCAACAACGACCACATTTTGGGCTCCCAGCGCTGATCAATAGCTATACTCCTCTTTGTCTGATCAGATACTGGAAATGATCACAATGTTCCATTTGATTGTACGTATACAGGGTCGTCGGTGACATTGCTCCACTCAACCAAGAAAGCCTCCCAGTTCTAGGTCATAGTTGACTTCCATATAGTGTTGTCGGTAAGCCTCTCACTGCTAATTCTCTGGCATATCTACCCAAAATGTCTTACACAACTACTCTTTCCCAGAAGCTCCCAGAGGAAGCAGTTCAGCCTGTCAGTTCGTCTCTGTCCGATTACGATGCGGACCTCTCGTCGTCCAGCTACACGGAAAGTCCGGATATTGAAGATCGAGAGAAATATGCAGGCATACGAGCAGGTAAAAAGAAGAAGGGCAAGGGGACCCCCGGTCTTCGCTTCATGGTATGGACTGCAATCAATGTTGCTTCCACAGTTGCCATAGTATGTACTCAAATCCTAGAAAACCCTCAAACTGATCAGTCAAGGTGTTCACGAACAAATACATCCTATCCGATATATCATTCCGCAACTGCCAGGTCGCCTTTGCTGCATACCATTTCTTCATCACCGGGGCCACATTATGGGCCATCTCTCGCCCGCAGTGCGCCGTCTTCATACCAAAACAGGTTTCTGTAGTGCAGATTATCCCACTGGCTGCAGCGATGTGTATCCAGGTGATTCTGCAGAATCTTTCGCTGGCATATTCCTCCGTCATGTTCCACCAGCTGGCCCGATTACTCTTGACACCGGTCGTGGCCTTACTGAACTACATGCTCAACTCGACCACGATACCCCAGACGGCCATCTCCTCTCTGATCCTGCTGTGCTCCGGCGTCGGAATCGTTTCATACTATGACTCCCTCTCGATGGACAACGCGAGCACTGCGAGTACCTCTTCGTGGGGAACGGTATTTGCCCTCGCAGGCGTCTGCGCCAGTTCAATCTACACGGTGTGGATCGGACAGTATCACAAGAAGTTCCAGCTGAACAGCATGCAGCTTCTCCTGAACCAGGCGCCGATCAGCACCGCTCTGTTGCTGCTCACTGTTCCTTTCACTGCGACGCCGCCGTTGGGGGCTGTTCCAGTGTCCATGTGGATTCTAATCTTAATGGTATGGATCCGCTCTTCTCTCTCGGTGCTTTCTAACAGTGCCGTAGAGCGGCGTCTTTGCTTCCTTGGTGAACCTCTCGCAGTTTTATATCATTGACTTGGCTGGACCCGTCAGTGGGACTGTGGTCGGCCAGCTCAAGACGTGCATCATTGTCGGGCTGGGATGGGCTTTCAGCACCCATCCAGTCTATTTCCAGAGCATTGTCGGTATCGTCCTGGCGTTGGTGGGCATGAGCATGTAAGTCTTCCAGCTTGGTAGAGAACGCCGGACTAATGTGTTCCAGATATATGCGGATCATTATTCAGGATCAAAGGTAATGCACTTATGAATGTTAGCAAGGACCAGAGAGAGTTAGAAATGTTCATCCAATCATTCATCTGTATAGCAGTCTTGCATATCCCATCTCCAATAGAGTCCTACCTATAGATGGCCGTTGCATAGCAGCAAATGCGCCAATCAGGTGCATTCTTAGCCTAGCCAAGGTACCCCTCAATCCCACCGCAAGTGACAAGTGACAACATCCTCCAATTCAGCCCATCTATCGCTCCTCAAGTCCACTCCACATAGATAGAGACTATAGACCATGTCCTTTCTACGGCTGCCAGATGATATCATCCTCCTCCTGGCCGACAATCTGTCAAGAGAGAGGGACCTCAATGCCCTTGCGCAGACTACCCGTCGATTTCACCGGACGGTAAACCGATACCTCTACCAATATAATATCCGACATTTCCACAGCTTCGCGCTGCGCTGGGGCGTGTCGGTGGGCAATGAGGCCACCGTTAGACGATGCCTAGAGTTGGGCGCACCGGTCGATTGTGAGCCCACGACGGACCCCAATGGAGACATCGGCAGCAATACTCCGCTGGTGAACATTGCATCCGAAAAAGGCTACGATCGTGTCCTCAAGCTCTTACTGGACCATGGCGCCAACCCGAACGAGGATCGTCAGTCTCCTCAAGTGCCCCTTTCTTTGGCCATTCAAAACGGACATGACGCAGCTGTTCGAGTGTTATTGGCCCGGGAAGGTACAGACGTTACCCTGCTTTCCGCCTCGTTCAGCCAACAACCGCTGCATTACGCTTTGGAACGAGGATCATTAGAGTGTGTTCGACTCCTGCTCGACCGAGGCGCAGACCTCCAACAATATGAGGCTCGAGGCGCCCGGGCGCTTCATCCGGCCGTGAGAAGTGGGAATCGGGAGCTGGTCGAGTTCCTCCTCCTTCGAGGGTGTGACCCACTCGTCTGTTGTGGGTATACGGCTCTATCCCTGGCCGCAGTCATGGGCCACCTGTCCCTGGTCCAGTATTTCCTCGCTCATGGGGTGGACCCGAATATTCGGGACCGGGTCGGATTCACTGCTCTCGGTCATGCGGCAAAGGAGGGCAGCGCAGAGGTCGTCGCGGCTTTGCTTGCCTGGGGCGTCCAGACGGAGATTCTCGGAGAGGATGGAGAGACGGCTCTATCCTGGGCAGCCAGAGGGAATCACGAAAAGGTGGTGGATCTCTTGCTGAAGCATGGAGCACATCCGAGCTCGTCCAACTCTCAAGGCACATGTCCCCTTTACTGGGCTGTCACCAATGACTCCATCACCATGTTCAAAGCGCTCCTGGCCTACGGTGCCAGGCCAGACATTCATACTGTCGCGGGAGAAACCCTCCTCCATATAGCAGTGCGGCAAGACCATCTGCAGCTGCTTGAGATGCTCATCCATCTAGGCATTGAAGTCGATAAACCGGACAAGGAGGGCCGGACGCCTCTCTCCCTGGCAGCCGTGTGCGGTCGTGTCGAGATGATGGAGCTCTTGCTCGCTAACGGCGCAGACATGGCGATCCGCGACCACAATGACGAAACACCATTGACCAGAGCCCTCGATAGATATCAGGATGCGGCCGCCGAGCTACTGCTCAGACGAGGCGCTGATCCGAGCTACGCGACTGCCAATGGCTCCAAGGCACTCTTCCACGCAGCCGAATGGGGCCTTGTCCGGGTCACGCAGTTTCTACTAGAGAACGGCGTTGATCCCGATCCCGTAGATCAACTCGACAGAACCCCCTTGCTCCTTGTTGCCACCGACGGTTTTAGTGAGGATTGCTACAAGGTAGCCGAGCTGTTGCTCCGGACTGGTCGAGTAGACATTCATGCCCGAAATGCGGAACAGCAGACGCCCCTTCTGTGCGCGGCCTTGGGAGGGAGAGCCCAGCTCGTAAGAATTCTGCTCGCGTACGGTGCAAACGTCGATGATAGGGACGAAGACGGATACACTGCTCTAGCGACGGCTGTGTGTTCCAATGGAGACGAGGAGATATGCAAGATTTTGCTCGACGCCAGGGCGGACATTAACTGCCGTAACAACGACGGGCGGACTCCTTTATATCATGCGGCGAATGCCAATCGGCGTATTTATGAATTGTTGCTTGAAATGGGCGCAGAGCCTTTATAGGTCAGCATAATCGGATGCCTCGCTCCGAATACAGCTTGAATAGATCCGATGATCAGTGAAGGGTGTTCGGCTTCTAGGGATATACTGACCTATTGCATGGCTCACAACACTCAAACAGTAGTAAAAGGAGTAGAAGCAGGTATCAGCCTGCGCTTGGCTCATCAGAAGACCAAGCATATGATCACATCCACAGTTGCATAACAGCAGAGACCAAGCCTAAACAGTGCCCCTGGGGCGATATCTCCGAAGATCTTGGCACAGTATTTTCAACCAATCATATCTGTTAGAAACTCGCCTAGGGAATATTCTTCCTGGCACTAGCCTGAATAGGCAGTTCATTGGAGAGCTTAGCGGAGACAAAAAGGCTTTTTTCTGAAGTCATAGTGGCAACTGGCAACCACAGATCTCCAAATCACCATATATTCAAGCATAGAGTCTATATACCGTATGCAAGGTCACAGGCTGGGCTATTGGGCTATTCTGATACTCATTCTCAATTATCAGCACTTCAATACCCTATAGATCATCTGTCATATTCATACATTGAAGACTCAAGCTCGTGCCAAGCAGATCAGTCCAAGGCACAGACATTATGATCAATTCTTTTATGTAACTCGTACCAGATCTTGCTCCTCCAGACACTCAAGGTCCACCGACTCCAATGATTCATGTCTCATTGGCTCCATTCTTTCTTCTTGATTCCAGACCACATGGGGAAACCCAGCAGCACACGAGCCGCCACTGATTTTTTCCCTAGCTAACCACGTTGGGTTATTCAGATGAGAAGTCGACAGTGTGGATCTGCGGTATGATATCTGATCGCCCCGTGTATATATATGGCCTCATATCGTCTCATATGGCTTGTCTTGTGCTTGAGCGGTCACTTCAACAGCCGATCACATATAATCTGTCTAGTCTTCCACTGTGATTGTTTGGTGGCCACGGTTGGATGATACTGAATCATCCTGAGAATGTTCACCAATGACCGTGGGGACCAGGATACTGACACACTCTCAGGAGTGAGCTCAGACGTAACCATAGTGGACTGGGATGGCCCAGATGATCCGGAAAACCCGCTGAACTGGTCCAAGGCGCGGAAATGGCTCATCACCTGCGTCTCTCTGCTCATGACGTTTGTTGCGCTCATGAACGGCACCATCATCACTGTCGCCCACGAAGCCATCAACGAGCGATTTGGTATCAGCGACGCCGTCTTTCCGCACTCGTACTGGCCCGTGACCTCCTGGGCTCTCGGAGGCGTCTTCTTCTCTCTGCTTGTCCTCCCCATCATGGAGGACTTTGGCATTCGACGCACCTTCCTCGTGACGCATCTCCTGTTGATCCTCTTTGTCATTCCCCAAGGCGTGGCGCGGAACTTTGAGACGCTCATCATCACTCGTTTCTTCGCGGGAGGCTGCGTCACCGTCATCGGCAACAGTGCTGCCAGCGTGATCGGGAATGTTTGGGAGACCGAGAAGCAGCGCAGTAAGCCCGTCAGTCTTTGGATCTGGGCCTATCTGGCGGGGAGCAGCGTGGGCCCCGTGATTGGAGCCTCCATCCTGCAATTCCTGTCATGGAGGTGGATCTCCTATCTGCAGCTGATCTGGTACGGGGTGTTGTTCCCTATCAACTGTTTGGTGTTCAAGGAATCGCGGGACGCGATCATCCTGCACCAGCGGGCGAAGAGATTACGCGCCAAGGGTCAGAATGCATATACCCGTCAGGAACTACAGGCCGAACCTCTCAAGCAGCTGCTGGTCACGAGCATCCAGCGACCCCTCAAAATGCTGGTCACCGAGTACGTGGTCTTCTTCTCGACGCTGTGGTCCGCCTTTACCGTGGGCACTCTGTACCTCTTCACCCAGTCGGTCGAGCAGGTGTTTGTGGGTCTGTATGCCTGGGGTCCCGTCGAGGCCGGGTACGTCCAGGCCGCCATTGTTATCGGCGAAGTCGTCGGATGGCTCTTCTCGATCCCCTCGGCCAAGCTATACTTCCACTCGGCCCGTCGCAATACCGAGATGCCTGGTCTCCCCATCCCCGAAGCGCGGCTGTACATGTCTGTGGCCGGCAGCGTGGTTGGCATTTCCGGAGGCATGTTCGTGTACGCGTGGACCTCGTATCCGAGTCTCCCGTGGATCGCCCCCGCGGTGGGATTGTTCCTGGTGGGCGCGGGGAGCGTCGTGGTGGTCTCTGGACTGGCGGATTACATCGTCGATGCGTACAGCAAGTACGCCGGCAGTGTCATGGCGTGTTTCGTGCTGGGGGAGAATACCTTTTCGGCCTTTCTGCCTCTGGCGGCCATGAGCATGTACAACACCTTGGGGTTCCAGTGGGCCAGCACGCTGCTGGCTTTTATCAGCTTGTCTCTGGTCCTAGCTCCGATTGCGTTTATTGTTTGGGGGAGGAAAGTGCGCGAGAAGAGTCCGTATATGAGAGAGGTCATAAAGGAGAAAAGGGCGCAGGCAGGCCTGTGAGCAGTGCCGTAAGGCTATACCTATTGCATTGTAAATATGCATAGACTCTGGTATATACATATACAATTCATGCAACTAATTCGAGTTGTTCTGCTTCGGTGAGGTGAATGAGGAGCAAAAAAGAATGCCTCCGGGGAGGATCGAACTCCCGACCTTGAGATGGCTCAGAAGTGCAACTTCCGATCATACAGGTTATATGAGACTCACGTGATAACCAACTACACCACAGAGGCATTGCTTACAGATACGGGCCTATTTTTGCTCTATGACAATAGAACGTATGATTCAGCTTCTGCCATTTTGTAGCTTTGATGTTTTGAGCAAGATAATGGATTACTGCTTTCTGACGAGTTCAATATTTCTCTTTTCCAGTTGTCTGTGGTGTTCCAGAAAATTATACATTATCACCTCGGTTTCCTGTCACCCAAGGTACTCGTCATATGGAGATCAACTGCTAAAAAACCCCCTATAATGAGCTCAAAGATTCTGTGAAGGTTTATTGTATACTGTTGACATCAGACATGGTCAGGATCCGAGACACATCAGACGATCGGGCCGAGATCGTACAATGTCGTCCGACATGACACCAAAGTGGATATAATCAAAACACAGCAGGTGAAAATAGCGAGTATTGAGCAGACAGTAGAGACGATTCTTGTTGCTGTGTTGTTGATATCCAGACAGAGGACTTGAGCCCTTTTATACCTTTTTCTCGAGCACTGCTGCCTCGCTGTTGTTCTGAATGAACGCTGACCGAGGGTCAGGCATCCTCGGAGCAATGCGACTGACATGGATGTCTGTCCGAGTTGTATGATTCTCATGTTGGTGTCTTGTTTGATCCATGACACGAATTGTTTCTAGCAACTCTGCCTGTGTCTGTCTCTGCGCCCTCCGCAGCGAGCCGTCAGGGTAACAATCAGGCGTCCTGTGCTGAATGTCTCCTCCAGCCTGCATTAGCTATACTGACCAACAAGTTCGCCTTTCCCTCACTGGTTGTTGACGTGGATAGAGTGACCCTCATGCAATGAAACCTGAGACTGACAGGAGCGATGAACCGACAAAGAAGGTCCTCTCACGTAAACAGAGAAATGTCAGCGTACTGGTTTAGCTGGGAATCGGGACCGACAGGATAGCATTACATATCAGGCGGATGGACCAGGAGAGTTGAACAAGTTGAATAAGCCGGACTGTCCAGATCAGAATTGAGAATCTCGGACGGGCTGGAACAAGATCGGACACTTGATTGGAAATGGACCTATTGAGGCTGCCCATGATCGACAGTCGGAAACAACCTTATTTGGGCTGAGACTATGTAAGGGGTTGAAGTACTTTAATTGAGTATGTAATCAAACTTTGACATAGGAGAGACACAGACTGATAGACAGATACTGCACATGCACTCCAGAAGCAAGAGACTCATATATTCATATATTCATAATTCATAACTCATAAACAGGGAATAGTAGGTAGGCTGTGCTTGCTAGAAGCAGTCAGATTGGCCAGGTTTCAAGGGCGTAATTAGCAGCCTATCAGACCCTGACCTATTTGGCCGCTTAAACTCAGAGTTTCACAATTTCCTTCAGGGGCGAATAAGATAGACATATTTAATTAATGCAGAGTTCATATATCTATTAATACTCTTGACTTCCACTGCATGTGATGTGACTTCTTTCTGTCATTTCATGATTCTATCCACTCTTTCATCTGGCCGAGTACCAGCGCATTCTGATCGCAGCACCTTAATTTCTATTAATTTTATACGTAACGCTCTTTAATGAAGTCATCTACTCGTCAATAATCCCATATGAATCTAATATCCCTTGTTTTTGGCTTACTAGCCCTCCTCCTCCCCGTCTCCGCCACCCGGCTCATCGAATCTAACGCCCTGAATATCTGTCAGGACAGCTCGAATTTCACGGCAACCTATTTCAACGTCGTCTTCACTCCAGATAATCGCACCCTGGTCTTCAGCTTCGACGGCGTGGCCTCCATCTCCGGCAAAGTCACCGCCGACGTCATCCTGTATGTCTACGGATATGCGACTCCCAAGAGGACGCTCGATCCGTGCAAGTCGGACGAGACGAAGGGCTTCTGTCCGATGAACGCGGGACCCATCGATGTTCCTACCGCCTCGATCCAGGTCGGGGAGGATGTCATCAAGCAGATTCCTGGTTAGTTGCTCGTTCTTGGCCTATTTTCTGGCTCGTCTCATGTGTGCAGGCATCGCGTATACCGTTCCTGACCTCGACGCCACCGTCCGAATCTATGTCAACTCCAGCGCAACCGGGCAGAGCATTACCTGTGTCGAGGCGCGACTCTCCAACGACAAGACGGTCTACCAGGCCGGAGTCGGATGGACCACCGCCGTCATCTCGGGACTGGGGCTGGCAGCGTCGGCGTTCACCTCGACACTGGGACATTCGAACGCCGCCGCTCATCTCGCCGGGAACACGCTCGCCCTGTTCGGGTTCGTGCAGTCGCAGGCCATGTTTGGGATGCTGGCGGTGCACATGCCGCCGATCGTGCAGTCGTGGACGCAGAACTTCCAGTGGAGCATGGGGGTGATCCGTGTGGGGGTCGTGCAGAAGATCGGAACGTGGTACCAGCGCGCGACGGGGGGGACGCCGTCGACGCTGTTGCTGCAGCTGTCGACCACGTCGGTGAATGTGCTTAGGAAACGGGACGTCGCGGAAAGCCCGACGAATGTGATTGTCCGGGGCATCAAGCGCGTGGGTCTCAAGGCTGCGATTGAGGATACGAACCTGTTCCTGACCAGCATCATCATATTCACCTTCTTTGCCCTGGTGATCATGATCATCGTCCTGCTCATGAAGGCGATCTGCGCCGTGCTGGCCAAGAGAGGACGAACCGGTCCCGCGTGGGGATACTTTCTCGCTGAATGGGACGTCGTTGCCCGCGGGGTTCTCTATCGCCTGGTCTTCATCGGCTTCGCCCCGCTGAGCATCTTCTGCCTGTGGGAATTCACGCAGCATGACTCCTCGGCGGAAATCGTGATCGCCGCCATCATCCTGGCATCGACCGTCGGGGCGTTGGTGTGGGCCGCCGTCAAGATCATCCTGCTGATGAGACGATCGACAACGATGCACCGCAACCCGGCCTACGTGCTGTACTCGGACGCAGCCTGTCTGAACCGCTGGGGCTTCCTGTACGTGCAGTACCGCGCCACCGCCGCCAGCTTCGTCCTGGTCACGATCGGCTACCTCCTCGTCAAAGCGCTGTTTATCAGTCTGGGGCAGTCGGTCCCGATCGTGCAGACGGTCGCGCTGCTTGTCCTCGAGGGACTCATGCTGATCGGGGTGAGCGTCATCCGCCCGTGGATGGACAAGCGGACCAACACGTACAACATCGCCATTGCGGCGGTGAATTTCCTCAACGCCATCTTCCTCCTGTTCTTCTCGGGGGTGTTTGACCAGCCGGGGATCGTCTCGGGGGTCATGGGGGTGTGCTTCTTCGTGATCAACGCGGCGCTGACGCTGATCCTGATCCTGCTGGTGATCTTCGCGTCGGTCATGGCGGTGATCTCCAAGAGCCCGGACACGCACTACAAGCCTATGCAGGATGATCGCGGGTCATTTATCCAGTCCAAGGTGCGCCTGGGGACGGAACTGGATGAGCTGGGGGCCGCGGCCCGGGGGGACATGCGCGAAATCTCTTATCCGATCAAGTCGTGATCTACCGTCTTTGTATATACATGAATGAGACTTGGCAATTGCATGACTGAAAACACTAGACTCATCAATGCGGACTATCCTCGTTCGAGTCGAAATGCTCGCGCGCCCATGGACTCCGCAGCCGGATCGCCCGGCCCATGTAGAAAAACACAAACGGGATCGGCACGAGGAGGACGGCCAGGAACCCCAGCAGACTCGACGCCCATTCGTAGCCCAGCTTCTGATACATCTGGCTCGCGAACAAGGGGAATCCGGCGCCGACCAGGTTCCGGACGAGGATGACCCCCGCCAGCGCCGAGGCCGAGTACGTCTGATAGCTATCCACCACGTAGTTTAGGATGCTCAGGATGACGATGTAGATGCCCGCGCCGAAGAGCGAGGAGGCAATAATCGGCACGATCCAGTGCACCGAGCGGTAGCTTGTCCAGCCGAACCAGAACAGACTGACGGGGATCAGGAGCGCCCCGCACCGGGCCATCCACATGCGCGCCTCGGGCACCCCCTGGCCTCCGTTGGCGGCCACGCGGCGCAGGTAGTACCGCTCCTGCAGCGGGGAGAAACAGAACGCGACGATGGGGCCGATGGCCATGCCGAGGAAGGTAAGGCCTTGCTGGCCGACGGTGAAGCCGTGGCCCTTGCCGGGGCCGAAGACGAGCGGGAAGGCCTCGTTGAACAGGTAGACCAATCCATACAGGAAGCCGTTGTAGATGGCGGAGAACAGCGTGATGGGCTCGGTGAAGAGGAATCGGAACGGCCGGGTCAGGGTGATGGCGAAGAGAGTGTGCAGGCCCTTGCGCGCGTTGGCGTGGAGGTCCGTCGTCGTCGCCGCAGACGCCAGATTCTCCTGCGCCATCTGCCTGCGGACCCGCGCGGCTTTGCGCTGCAGGATGATGCTGTGCCGCGTCTCGGGGATGGTGAAGACGAGCAGCACCCAGAAGCCGCCTGTGATGGCCATCAGCACCCAGAAGATCCACCGCCAGCCCGCGTTCAGCCCGATGTACCCGCTCATGATCAGTGCTGTCGGGGGCCCAAAGGTACTGCTGAGCCCGTAGACGGCCATCGGGCCGCCGCTGCTGTTGCGCTCCCAGAGATCGCTGACCGACCCGCCGGTGTTGGTCAGAGGCGCACCGCCCGCACAGCCCGCGAGGAAGCGGCAGACGATGATGGTGCCGATGTTGGGGGCGAGGGCGAGGGGCAGCTGGAAGGTGAAGAGGAGGAACCACGAGACGACGTAGACTGGTTGCCGGCCAAAGTACTCGGATAGCGGGGCCAGCAGAACGGGACCGATGGCGAAACCCAGCACGTACAGCGAGAGACAGAGAGTGGTGACCTCGGAGGAGACATGGAACTCGTCCGCGATGCCGGTGGCTCCTGACGAGATGCCCCCGGCGCACCAGCAGCTGCTTCTTTGTGAGGAGAGTCATGAAGTATGGACGAGGAAACGTACGTGAGGACGTTGAGCATACTGACGAAGAAGGTGATGTACCATTTCCGCAGTTTGCCCCAGTTCCGGGGATTATCGCGGTCGTCGTGGGCGAAAGCTATACAGATTGGTAGAGCTTCCTCGGGGGCATGCCTGGCCCGAGCCAGGGCTTGCTCTTCAGAGAGGACCAGCGTCAGGTCCTCGCGGTGGGCATCTTCAACTTTGTGAGTGGCATCGAAGCCGACCTGGCCTTCACTGGACGCCATCTGAATGATTAATCCAGGTTATCGAGTCGCAATGAGGGAGAGGAACGCTTATAAGAGATTGGCTGGCATACTCGATAGCTGCTAAGGGAATAAAGATATGAAAGTCATATAACTAATCATTCTCCAGCTACGGGGAATCCCCGAATTATCGGCACACAATTGCCACTGACGAGCCGGGGATCCACCACCAGGCTTTGTCAAGCTTTGATGGCATTGCTTGGTTGGACCAAATGGATCAATGGGTCAGGCCCACTACGTACAGTCCTGATCTGCATTCCCACTGAGTTATCTCAGTCCAGGCGAATCATTTGATGAAAGCATGTCGCAGTGTCCCCACGGAGATAACGAGGCCTGGATCCTGATAGACCAATGGCCAGCGAATTCGGAGCAAGAAAGTGACAGAGTTATTTACCTGGATTGTTCATCTTATCATGTTTTTGACGTCTGCCGATGCCGGATATGCATCACCATTCGGCCGATACTGCAAGTTATAGACCAATTGACAAATCACTGCAATCAGGATGAAAACTCTCCCAGCCGTCTTCGGTCAATGGTCTATCGACCTCCGCTGCCCACGGGCAAACACCTCTCGGCACGGCAGATCCAACGTGAAATCCTCTGGATTTCCCTCCCCGTGAGTTCTTTCAACGCCTTCTCCGAAGCCAAGTATACCAGCCGGCCGATGTTGGCCCAGTAGATGGTTCCCGACAAATAGCACACGGTTCCCAGGTGGACACCATGGCGGTAGCGGCCAGGTACTCCCGGTCGTAGTTTCAGAGGCAATCCGTGCCAGCTCACTTTCGGCGTGTCGCACATGGGAGAGGGAGAGAGAGGACATCAGCACGGTAGTATTATCCGGGCCTAGTAAGAAAGCGACAAAGGGGCGTTTCTGGTGGAGGTCTTGGGCGGATTGCTGCAGGACAGACAGGTAGCCTCGCTGTTGGAGGGTTGACTGTCGGTTAGGGTATTATTCTGTCTGATGTAGAATATTATCTGAGAATAGATCATGGATAGATTGAGCAGAGTCGGGCATACATTAAGTAGGGTTTACTGGCAATGGACTCGACTGTTGATATACAGAAGATAGAATTGCATCTCATGTCAAAACTGCAGAATAGAGAGCGTGAGAGAAAGCTGTCCAGCTTGGATGAGTTCTATCCCATTTTTGGTATTAGGAGTTGAATAGCCTGTGCATGGTACTCCCGTCTGATGAGAGTAGCTTATATGCTTATATCCTTGTCTCTAAAGAAGAGCCACAAGATTAGTGTGCATGGCCTTCTAACATGGTGTCAATCTATATGCCTTGATCTCACTAACAGCATGATTAATTCCTTGATATACACATTGCCGGCTACATCTTAGAGACACTATTACACTACTAGGACTGTCGCAGAGACAACTGACATCTTAGCTAGAGCTATGGGCTCTCGCAAATCATGCTCTCACATTAGATACAATGGAAAACGGAGAATACCGTGATTCAAAATACTCCATCTTCCTTGAAGGATGGTCGGTTCTGGATGAATCATTCTCCTGACCAACACCAACTATAGTGAGTTTGTTCTCAAGTACATCTTCTTATGCTAATACGGCGCTGACTGACGCATCCTCGGTGACTTCTTTGAATGGAATCAGTTTTGTGTTCCTGGTGATCAGATGCTACAGGCGCAGTCATTCCGAGGCAGGACTAATCCTGCATCTTGATCCTTCAGCGTACCTTGAAGCAACCTGCTTGACCGTTGTCTAAATCACTCAGTCGGCATATCGAAGGATCCATTCATGTGGCATCTGTGACAGCGGCCTATGTACTGGAGATGACGATATTCGACAGACTGCTGGCTATTTGGTTCCCTTCGCAACACTTGCCTGACTCGCTCAAACTTCAACCCAGCTCAACATTTTACCCCAATCACGACATTCTTCTCAAAAATGGGCTTTACTGATCCATGAACAAGTCCGGCGCCAAGCTGCAAGACAGGGTGGCGAGTCACACAAGCAGGCGCTCCGTCGCTTAACTTCCGATACAGTGCATCTCTTGAGGTTACATCTCCCCGAGTCTAGACCGAACACGCCATAGCCGATTTAAATCTCACCAATCGCAAGGCCTCGCGCAGTTCGTCATGGATGAATTGGATCATCTCTGTCCGGGGAAGTGTGGGGTAAGCAGGGGGTGATTGGGAGGATTCATCTATAAATGCTGACGGTGGCTTGGGGCCAATATAACTTCATTGCCTAGGTGTATCGAGTCACCCATGTGAATTATTGAATCATCCACAGTTCTCTGGGTCTATTCTGCAGACCATCTGCCGAGATGGATTCCTCAGACGCATCTCGTGAGCCTCGATTGGTGGATTTAACATCCCAGATGAGGACTCTTCAATACCGAGGATCTGCGTTCATTGTCTCATGATGGTGGTCTCCAGACAGCAGAAGTCCTCAGGCTGGAAATCTATATAAACCCCATCGACCCCGGGTATCCAGGCCATCACTCACTCAACTCAACAGTCAGACAGACAGTCAGAAACTCAGCAAGATGCAATTCAAACTCTCTACTGCCGTGCTCGCCACCCTCCTCGGCGTGGCCATCTCGGGCCCCCTCGTGGTCCGCGACACTGCCACGATCCTCAGTGACCTGAGCACGATCGACAGCGACATCAACACCCTCACCCAGCATTTCAATGCCTTCACCGGCGACCTGAGCCAGGCGCTGGCCGCCCAGGTCGTGGAGCAGCAGCTCGAGAACGACATCGACAAGGCCACCACCGACACCAAGGCCACGTCGGCCCTGTCCAGCGCCGACAGCACCAGCGTCACCAACGCGCTTTTGGCTCTGAAGCCGGATATCGTCACTTCTCTGGATGCCATTGTTGCCAAGGTACTTCCCTCTTTCGCAATCTTTCTCAATCTCTCTCCGACTGACTGTTCTAGAAAACCCAAGTCGACTCTGCCGGCGTGGGCAGTCTCGTCCTGTCCGACCTGAATGCGCTGCAGACCAAGACGGACGCCCTCTCGTCTGCCCTCCAGGCTATTGCCACCACGACCGACAAGTCGACCATTGCCTCTGGCACCGCGGACATCGATGCCGCGTTTGTCAGCGCCATTGCGGTCTTCTCTTAGATCGTTCCGAGTGGGCAGGAACAGGACTCTTGTAGCTAGCAGTACATAGCCCATAGCCACATGAATGTGATGATGAAAGTCTAGTCATGGACTGGACTGTCTTGAAATGAGCCGGCACTGCCACAACGTAATCTCTTCCTTGCCATACGCCCGGAGTTTATGTGCGGGGAATAGGACATAGAGCCGGAGAACTTCCTGTCCTGGAAGTCGGCACCCCCTGGTCAACATTGTGGCTATTCATGCACGGACATGGACAATGGCAGCCCACGAGAGGTTTTCACCAAGTAGCGATATGAGCTTGAAATGTTAATTGTAGGCATCTATTGCTACCAAGCAAAGACGAGCTGGAATAATGGTAGAGCTGTCATGATACAATGCTGCCAGTGGCCAGCCAAAACGATACGGTTGGCGACAGTCTAACCTCTGCGACAGGGTGAATGCCATCAGGATAAGTTATACTGTAGTGCCGTCAAATAATCGAGATATGTGCATGCACAGAACTAACTAGCCAAAGCAAGAATCCGATCCGCCGCATGCTCAGCCGCCACCACGATATACGCCGAGGGGTTGCTGGTCACCATGCCCGGGAAGATACTGCCATCCACGACGAACAGGTTGTTGGTGCCGTAGACCTTGGTGTTGGTGTCCACCACCGCCGTGCCGCCATTCCGGCCGTCGTCGGTGCCCATCTTGCATGTCCCTGGGATGGTCAGCATATGAATTGGCAGAAGGAGGCCACCTACCCAGCCAGTGGTTCGCGCGTCTGGTGCTCGCTGTGATTTCCATCTGATATGGGTTAGGATCAGTGATGCCTTGAACAGGTCAGGTAGACACACCGTCTTGACAAACTCCGCTGCCGTGACGTTGGCCGCAGGATAGGTCCAGTTCAACCCGACGCTCTTGAGCGCATTCTGCAGATTGACGATTCCCTGGATGACAGCGTCCACGTCGTTCGGGTCCCGCAGGTACGGCAGCGTCGACACGACCGTGTCCAGATTTGCAGTGATGGTCATGCGTCCGCGCGACGTGGAGCCCCGGCCGAGGTATTGGCTCATGGTGACCGCGTCTGGACCGTCAGCCTCTGCGTTGGCCAGCTGCATGCGGACTTACGATCATCAGGCGTATCATGGCCCCCTTCCATTCTCGCGGTCCACTGGATCTGGCGGGTGATGCCGTCGGCGCCGAGGATTTCGTCGAAGAAGCTGGCAATCAGCAGACTGTGTGTGATTGCGAGGCTGTACTTACATCGGACCGATGTTAGGAGCAGACTGGGTCAGGATGCCTATCCGATTATCTGATATGGTCAGAAGGGTATTTATATTGATCGGCAGACCTACTGAGATAGTTCGACGCATCACTCTTGATCGGGTCATCGTACGCCGCGTAAAAGTCGTAGAAGACAATGTCAGGGTGAGTAGCAACGGTGTCCGTCTATCTTGTCAGTGGCGACTCGATCATCCAGGCGAAGACTTACATTGACGTGATCCACAAGATTCTCGCCCACGGGAAGGTTGATCCAGGCCGACTCGGCAATCATCGTGGAACCATCTGTCGAGCTCTTCACGATACTCAACTGATCCGATGGTCCAATACCACCTGTCCGATTAGCGCAATCCGTGGACGGAGTAAAGGGCCAGGATACTTCGCATCAAGATTTTGGCCGTCCCAAACGTCCCAGCCGAGAGAACTACACGCCCGGTATTTGCCGTGACGTTGACGACGCCCGCGTATCCGCCATCCAGGAAAGCCTCCACCTCGACGCCAGTGACATGCCCGTCAGCGGTGCGGACCACCCGCTTGACGCTCGTATTCGTCCAGAGCTGAAAGTTGCTTCGCGCGCTGGCAGACACAAGATACGTCGCCATGGGTCCGCCGCGCTCGCCGTGCGAGAACATGTACGGGGTATGGCCATAGGTATGGTTCTTCCACAACGGGTTGTCGTTCAAGGTCAGCTCCTGCCAGCCGGCTGCTTGGAGACCGCCCGCGATGACATTGTAGCCCTGCTGCATGTAGATCTTTCCGTCCGCGGAAGGATGGACGGTCCAGGGGATCCGGGCGAAGACCCGGTTCGTCGGGGAGACCATGTCCTCCGCCTGCCAGCCGGCGGGGAAATTATAGGTCCAGTCAAGTGGATAAGGCTGTTGCAACGTCACTGGCATAATCTTTTGAGACGGCGAAGAGAACCTACCTTCCACCACAAAGCCGCATTGACCGCCGTGCCCCCTCCCAGAACGCAACCCGCCATCTGGTCGATATCGTCGCAGGCGATCCCCGCGGAATCATGCCAAATCTGATTGCACAGCCCCGGCACGTCGAATCGGGTCAGGTTGGTCCCGTCCAGCCAGGCAGGCCTCATGGTTCCCCCCCACCGACCCGAGGACGGGGGCCCCTTCTCGATCAGCAACACGCGGTGTCCGGCCTCGCTGAGCCGGTCTGCAACCACGATACCGCCTGCACCGCCACCCACAACCACATAATCAAACGTCGTTCCAGCAGGCACCGGCACCCCGACGGGACCGGAGCCACCACCGCCACCAGAGCAATCGCCGGGGACAGTCTTGTTCGCCAGCGCCGTCCATTGCGTGTAGGACGCGCTCGCAGCCGACGAATCGAGCTTCGCCACCCAGATACCCTGCGCATCGTGCTGCTGCAGCGTAATCTCCGCGGGACAGGACGGGTTCCCCGGCGCCGCGACGGACTGCGCCCATCCGAGCACCAGCTGTCCGGAGCTGGTCGACGCGGAACCCGTCACCCCGTTCTGGTTCCAGGAGAGACAGTTCTGGCAGCGGAAGAGCAGCGTGTAGTGCGTCGCGTTGACGGCGGACGAGATCTGCGTCAGGGTCGCGTTGCCCGCGTACACGTCTGGCATGACGTAGCCCGAGCTGAAGCGGAAGGAGGTCAGGATGGTGTCCTCGTAGGGCCACGCCATGAGCAGGAGGTTGCTGGTCATGCTTCCCTTGAGGGAGATGCCGCACCATCCCGTTTGCGTGGCGTCGGTGGACGCGCATTGCTATCTCATCAGTGGGATAAGACAATTGGAACGACGAGCGCCATACCAGGTATCCAATGAACTCGGTCGCGTCCGTAGTCAACGCCGTGCTGGGGAGGGCCACGCCGAAAGTGAGGCCGCCCGCGGTCTGGCTCGTGGGTACGGTCCACGTATCAAACGTGATGCCAGTCCCGGGGTCGGTGTAGACCACCGGGGTGCTGGACTGGGCCCAGCATGTTTCGAGGACTGAGAACCAGGGTTAGCTAGCAGGTTAGTAAGATGAGAGGCGACGAACCGATGCTGACCGCGACGAACGCGGCAAAGAGACGGTTGAGGGGCTTCATCAGCAGCGAAAGCACAGCGTCCGGAGAGATAGGCGACGAGGAAGGGCATGCGAGCACTTCCACCGAGGAGGACGGACACACGCTGAAGAAATACCACCGACCCCACGGTCATCACGAGTACAGCCGCCGATAAAGACGGTGCAACACTCGTCCAGGAGGATAGCTCTCACCGTATTGGCCCGGCTTTAGGGAGAGCCTGTGCGTACGACGGTGCACGTTCTGGATAGATTGCCGTGCCTTAATTTGGTGTCTGGACGCAAGGAGCTCGGAGTTTCGGCGCGGTTTGAGGTTGTATCTCCAAGGAATGAAATGATCTCATTTGCCAGAAGGAACCATGACAATAGCAGATTATCCGTCGCGGCGTGAGGACCGGTGTCGCGGATAAATAAGGCCGGGACGGTATACCCGTCACTGCTGGAGATACAGATCGCCCTCGCAATTACCGAGATGGGCGCGGGGGACGCTCTGCAGACCCTGGATAATGCGGAGTGCATTCTGCAGGCGTCTCAGTCAGGGAGTCATTACGGAGTGTGGATGCTGGATAAATCTACCGGCAGCATCCCATCGAATGTGCTACCTGCGTAGTCTGTCTCGAACAACATCCACCTATAGTGATGACCGCAGTCCTTGGTGAGCCTGTCACAAGTACAAACCATGTCTATTCTAGAAGCATTAGCCTGTCAAGTAAGTATAATTCGGGCCGCTTACCGATTATGAGCCACAAAGTGGGTGCTCTTATCCTACATTCCCACAGTGACTGATACCAACATGTCTTGAAGCATACTACAGAAGATTTGGAATCTGAGATGTATTCAAAAGTAATATGTACAATCGCTTTCAAAATTGTCCAGTTGTTTGTGACCTCTCCAAGAACTGAGAAAGGCGTGTACGCCTGGAGGTCGGGTATATCGACGAGATGCAATATGTGAGATGAAAATGCAAATAGCAGAGCTTGAAAAGGCATGTATAAGAAAACAAGAATAACAGAAAATGCCAGCAGCTCATCGCTTGGGTGGCTTGGGATGATACCGGTAGCGACGCCAGTTCTCTCCCACCCACCACGAGGCAACATGGGCTGCATCCCGGACCCAGTCGGTCACTTCCGAGCCGTACTCGTTGTGGAGTTTCTCGGCCAGATCAACCAGGTCAAAGTTCTTGATCGGGTGGAGTTCGTTGGGATCCTTTTTCAGATCCGTGAACCGCCACTCGAGATCGTCGATGAGGGGGATTACGAGCCGGTAGGCTGGTTTGGCGGCGGAGCGCACTGCCAGCCAGGAACCGCCCGTGTTCATGACAGTGAACTGCCAATCTTGCCTGCCATCCTGCTCTTGGATCAAGGGCCGAATCATCGACTGGCCTTCATAGATGGACAGCATGTCCTTGGCCGCACGCGTGGCCTTTTCTTCCAGTGAGGAGGTCTCAATCAGTAGATCCAGGATCGTCGGCACGATCTGGTCCGAGATCACAGGCGAAGTAATCTCGACGGGCGGGAGTTTGGGGTGAGCAAACACAATGGGAACCTGGAAGCTGCCGATATGCGGATTGTCGTAGGGGGTGACGCCCCCGTCGTTGGGAAGAGATAATCCATGGTCCCCGGCCATGACAAGCAGCGTCTCGTCCGCAACGCCTTTCTCCCGGAGAATGTCCATGATCTCCGCCAGCCAGTCATCGATGAAACCGATGGTGTTCAGATACTTGTTGAGATCGTCCTTGGACCGGAAGTTCTCCTTGCCCATGAACTGCTGGTACGTGTTGTTCGGCATGCCCCACGGATGGTGGGTAGTACCGGTGAGATGGGTGATGAACAGTCGCTTGTGCTCCCGCTCGGCGTCATCGATCGCATCGCGGAAGTACTCGCGGAGCTCGGTGTCGGCGTATCCGTAGTAGTTGATCTCCTTGGACTGGACCGGATAATGCTTGGCGCTGGGGTCTTCCAGCTGCTCCTTGGTGAGAATGTCCTTGAAACCCAGTCGCGGAGTCAGCTGGTCCTGCTTGTCGTAGCCCTCGGTCACGGACTGCATCCACTTGGAGTGCCAGGGCCAAGAGGTGAAATCCTGGGTCGTGTTCACACCGTCAATCTGACGGTTGAGGGCGTTGAGGACATGCGGCATGCAAGGTTGGTAGATGTGATGCTTGTACTCGCGATTGAAATCGGTCACTAGTGGAGTCACGCCGCAGACGGTTCCGACAAGGCTCTTGAGCGTGTACGTGCCGGTGGTGAAGGCGTTGCGGGCGCTGATGCCGCCGTAAGCTTTCCTGCCATGATGTGCAGTCTCGTCTCGCCAAAAGCCCGAAGCGAACCCAGTGAGATATTCCGCTGTTCGGGTCAGGTTGGCCAGTTTGTGCTGGATTGAATCGGGGATGGTGTGGTTAGGATGGGAGTCAGCGATGCGATTCCACATAAATGAGTTCTTGCGGAGCGGGAAGACATCCGCTCGTGTGCTCTCTAATTTGAGCAGGATGACGTGTTTGATGCTGACGTTACCGCTGGCGAACGCTTCCCTCAGGGGATCCAGGATGGGATTCTGTAGGTTCGAGATGTGCAACGGATCCTCGGCGGGATTGTAATGCAGCGGCGGAGGACGACGACGATGGTGTGGTCCGTGATGGTCATCAAAGCCCGGATACCAATCCTCGAAGCCGGCTATCGGATCGCTCGGGAGCCAATCCCAGGCTGGCGGCTTATCGAGCGCCGAGCGATCCTCCAGCCAGTGGTAGTCTCCAGGCATCCCGTCGGCATCGACGGGAGACAAGCGGCGGTTCGCTGGGGAGAATGGGACGACGGGAAGCGCCCCGGACAGGACCATGTACGAAGGATTGGGCGGGCGAATGCACCGCAGGAGCACAAACGCGCCGAAGAAGACGAAGACGGCCAGGCGTTTCAGAAGCGATTCGTGATGTCGCACGGGGGTCTCGTGATTCGTGGGGTCTAGAAGAAACACCGAGTCTCCGTCCTCGCTCTTGTCGTCCAGGTAATCATCGACCGCAATCTGTTCATATCGCTCGGGATCCATGGGACTGGTCTTCCTCCGCCACTGCGGACAGCGAAGGCGCCAGATGCGTTGCGCCAACCTCTGCAAGGGCGCCCCCAAGATCCGCAAGACACCCCCGGTGAATCGGTGGATGGGTGCAGCCAGAAACCAGGAGGCGGCAAGGATGATGGCCTCCACAATCAGAAACCCTGTTAAGCCAGTGAGTAGTGTTCGAAAGGCAGCAGCGTCGCCATGAAATGTCCGGATCTGTCGCCAGTGAATCTCGGCGCCGGTCACGATGTAGAAGGAGGTAGCGGAAGATGCCATGCCAGACATCAGCAGACTAGTACGTAAACCAACCATTAGTCCCTTTTTGTTGCTGACGAGCTCGGAGTTCAATCGATTGATGGTCTCACCTGAATGGCACAGTGCATACTGCAGCGAGAACAGCGCCAGGTCGCCAGGCAATGGTCTGGGTGAAGAGACGGACGAGGAAGATGAAGATGACATCCTGGAAAAAGAAGGTCGGACCCCACAGAATCAACTTGGACGGAGGTAATGAGTGGAGATGGGCATAAATATGTGAGAGTTTGGCCCAGACGAGGGCGATGAAGGCGAGGGTGAAGAAGAATTTCCGTGATGCATCCCACCAACGGTCGAACGTGTGTGTGGGGGGATCTCGGACGACTCGAATGACTCGACTGAGCTGATCGACGAGCGAGAGCTTTGAGAAGTTCATGATGACAGCTTCTGGAATTACTATTATTTATTTCCAATCAGAGGGAACTCGCATGGCCCACGACGGGGCACGCGATCAGCAAGAAATGCTACGAGAGGGAGACATCAGCATTCAGCAAGACCGAGAACGCATCGATGAGGATGAGAAGATGGTAAAGCTCTTGTTGAAAGAGGAGCTAGAGTCAGAGATTCAACGAGAATGAAAATTGAAGAGATGATGGAGAAAGAGGAAGAGAATTTATTATTATTATTTTTAGAGGGAGACGATGTCACTCAACTCCGCTTGAGATTAATATTGCCTAGAGAATCCACCCTGGACGAGGCAGACGGCACCGTTGGAGCCGCAGAATTGGAGTCTTGTCTTGTCATTTTGTTGGAAATGGATTGGATCAGGCACCGCTCTAACTTCCTCCACCATGAAACACGAGATGGAGTCAATAATGGACCCTTTGTCCTTAGACCCTAGACCCTTGGCGGTGGGTTGGCTTTGGCCCCTGAGTGCGCCATAGTTACTACTCCATAGCATCTCCTCATAAGCCAATTATCAGTGCTAGAAGGGACCAAGTGGAGGAGCATCACTTAATTTAGAATTGCGGAGTAATGGAATAGCCACAGGACTCAGGACTCAGGACTCAGCTTGACCTGCTCTTTACTCTGGAGGTAAGCTCTATAGATGTATCCTATACTGCGTTGGCTCCTTATATTGGGTTTCTACTGGAGCATAGCATACAGAGAGTACCTACCTAGGTACGGAGTTTTCTGGTCGACTCCTTTTCGTTCTTTTTTTATAGACCCTTTTTTGTGATACGGTGGGCTAAACCCAAACAGGCAATCTGACACACGCTCAGCGCCAGAGCAAGTGATCACTTTCCTTTTCGGGAGTGGCCACATGGGGCAGTGTCTCTGCTTTCTACCAATCAGATGCATCGATGTGTCAAAGTAATCCCGCAAAGTTTTCTGATTGGATATGTGCTGTCGGATATTCGGCGTCCTGTCTCACTCTCAGTCTAGGGCTCTACCTAGGTACCTCTCTATGGATGCGGTAAAGAGCGAGTGAACAGCACATGGCAGTTCCGAAGTGTAGGGAGCGAGGTACAATAGTAGAGCAGTTACACAGCTCATTCTCGGTCAGAACTCAGCCTGCACGACAGTGCTGGAGTATGGTTGCATTGGCTGTTGATGGTGTGATTCCTCGCAATTCGCATTAGCCTTGGGCTCAGCACTAGAGCATTAGCCTGGTTAGCATATTCAATAGACTGGATCATAGCCTTCATAGGCCATCGTATGAACAAACCCCTCACTCTATTTTGAACATACCTTACTATCTTCGGAGTACTCCGTTAAAAGGCATCAGGCGTCAGAATGGAGAAGTCCAGCCAATTATAGTCTGTAAGACATCTGATGTAACGTTGTACACTGTACCTAGTATCATAGCCTCGGTCTCAGATAATAGCAAGAACATGCTTATGAACTATGGCCGTGTAGATCTCACATTTGGCATGAACCGTGATCCTCGGCAGCCCCAGTCTCTCTCAGCCCTCATATTCTTCTCAGGCTTCTAGAAGTTCTTACCGGTTCGCGCAATCGTGAGCCGATCTCTTCCCAGCGACCTCTATGTAGCCTTCGTTTGGGACTGTGCACAGATGAGCGCCTGAGGCCTTTGCTGGGTCCCGTGACTCGAGATCTGTTTAGAAACAGACAAGAGTCAAGACACTCTTGTCTTGACAACACCACACCACAACCAACAGCTTCATCAAAGACATCAAATGCCATCAAATGACATCAAAATGTGGAGAAATCTGACTCTTGGCATCTCAAAACTCTTCCAAGAATAGTCAGACTACAAGGCTGTGTAGCCCAAGCCACGTTTCATGTTTTAGCTGGAAGACATTCAGAAAAAGACATCCATTACTCCGGAGAACTAAAATCGTGTTCTAAGATACAGTTGAGAAGGGGAGTAAAGTACAAGATGCAACTAACAACCGACAAACAACCTAGGTATGAACAACTCCAAATTAATCTAGGAACTCATGGCCTTCGCCATGAATTCGGACAACTCCTTCGCCTTCTGCCCTGTCGTCATCGTGAAATGGTTCGCTTCCTCCATAATATGAATCCCGCCAATGTTTTCCGGTCCTACCAGAGTATCCCATTTGTTCGGTCCCAGATCCGTCCGGTCGTTGAGCAGCCACTGCATTTCGCGGGGGTCCTTTGATCCGTCTGCCGCAGGCTCCGGCCGGGGATCGCCCGGCTTGCCGCAGACCCCGTCCTTGGCCCAGATCAGGTAGGTCTTGGGCATCTTCTTGGCCCATTCGCTGTCATTGAATGGAAGAGGAACCGCTTTGTAGGCGTCGAGCGAGTCGATGAAGGCAAGGAAGTGCGGCAGGAGCCAGTCGGGAGGCGCCCGCTTCCCGTCGCCGAAGAGCCCGATCGAGTTGAAGAACTTGTACAGACGAGGAGGCAGCTTCTCCAGCCCGATGGGGAAGGGCGAGTCGAGCAGAAGCAACCGCTCCACCACCTCGCCCTCCTCGAGGATCAGCTGACGGGCCGCGTCGAACGCACAGATACCACCGGCCGACCAACCACCAAAGTTGTAGGGTCCTGTGGGCTGACGACGGCGGATCTCAGCGAGATATGGCTCAGTCAGCTCGTCGAGACTGCACTTGAGGTTCTGCGGTGTCTTCATGTAAGGGCAGTTGAGACCGTAGACACAGACATCCGGGGAGAGGGCCGGAATAGTCGCGTAGGAGGAGGCTGAGCCGGAACCGTCTGGGAACATGAAGAGCTTCTTGGTGGAGGTGCGAGGGTTTCCCTGAAGAAGAATCGAGGTCGCCGCAGGATGCTGTGTCTTGGGCTTCCTGTTGTCGATCGTCTCGAAGAGGCTGATGGATGCTGGGACTGGCGTCGCCGCCGGGACTATCTTGGGCTTCAGATCCAGGGCAGCTTGGACCGCATCGAGCGTGGGGTTCTCGAGGAAGAACTCGGAAGGCAGGTCAATGTCAAGCGTCTCTCGGATCCTACCGAGCACTGTCAGGGACAGCAGAGAGTCCATGCCCATCTCTGGCAAGCTGTCGCTCGGGTCAATATCTCCGACAGACACCCCGATCTCCTCGGCGATTATACTGCAGATGCTATTCCAGACCTTTCTTTGTCCATCCTTGGGCTCCTCTTGCTTTACAGGAGAGGGGATCCCAGGAGAGGTCAGCCCGCTGGAAGCTTCGGAGGATGCATCGCTGTTGAAAGAGAACTTGGACTCGGGCTCGCTGGACAGCTCGGTGCTGCTGCTGTCGCCGAAGCCCTTGTCGGCCAGGTATGCCTTGAAATCCTTAATGGTCGGGTGGTCCATGAACACGGACGATTCCAGATCAAGGTTCAGTTCTTCACGGTATCTACCGGTCACAGTCAAGGAGAGGAGCGAGTCGACACCGTAGTCGGCAAAATTGAGGTTGTCGGTCATTTCTCCCTCTGACAGACCGACCTCCGCAGCCAGAATCTCCAACGCGCGCGCGACCACTGGCGATGCACCGCTGCTTGGCTTGGGCTTAGGAGGACCTGTGAGCTTGATCGGGGCAGGAACTTTCTTCTCCGCGATGGGCTTGGCTGGCACTGGCACCCCGGCTGTCTTGAAGCCTCCAGCTGGAGGGAGAACAGTGTCCAGGATCTTCCGAGCTAACGCTTGGAACTATAGACCACGTTAGTAAATCATTCCCTCCCGGATTGGATATATTGGGATATACCTTGACCCCCCCATACACAGCGATAATCTCATCACCCTCAAAGACATAGACGTCACCCGCCCAGATGGAGTCCTTCCACGGCTGCATCTTCACATATGTCTGGTAAGTAGCGTCGCCGGAGAACTTCTTCAGGCAGCGCATGGAGTCCCATCCATGGTTGACGAATACCTGGTTCTTGGAGTCGGTAGCATCGCTGGCATTCATGATGAATCCCGACAGATGGCCAAAACTGTCGATCCAGAAGGGGTTGCGATGGAAGTTGCCCGCAGGGGCTTGGAACTTGACTCGCGCCGTGGCCTCGTGCTGCTTGCTGTCCAGGATGACTTCCTGGATGGACTTGAAGTTCTCATCGTAGTCCACCAGAGCAGCAAACAGCTTGTACACCATCCCTCGCTGCATCCGGTGAGCCTCTCCGGTCTGGGCCTTGTCCTGCAGGAGAGAGACGCTCCGCTGGATCATGTAGGAGATTCTCTTCCACTCCATCTCGCGATCGGCGCAGTCGAAGAGCTTGACGCTGCAGTTGGCATGCTCGACTGTTTTCTTGCCGTCTGCGTTCACAGAGTAGACTTGCACGGTCGCCTTCTGCTCGGCCCAACTCATGACAGCCGAGATCCTAAAGAATTGATCGCCGGACTTTGCAATGAGAGGTTTAGGCACAGTCATGTCGCACACGTCCAGACCCCGTCCCCGGTACTCTGGTTTGTATGTGGTAATCAAGTGCTCGACGAGCGTTTGTGCAATGTCAGCGTAGAGAGACTACATCGATGGGTCAGCTTTCTCATTCGCAGTGGTGAGTGCGGCGTCAAACTTACCGATGGGGTCAGAGCCACTCCATTGACCTTGTGGCCTTGGATGACACGATTAAGTTCTGGATCCGCGATATTATTCTCCACCACCATTGTCGCCGTGCCTCCGTCCTCACGGCATTCCACAATCTTCTGCGCCGCGGTCGTGAGGAACGTGGACTTGGGCGCCGATACCTCGGCGGTAACGGGAGCCCCCTTGGTAAGGCAAAAGTTGTTCGTGTAAGGGATCCAGTAATTCTTCAATTCCCAGCCGTAACGGGGTAGGTCGAGAACCTCGTGGGCAGAGCTAAAGTCCTGGTGGAATTCCTTCCAGTTGAGCTCGACGCCGGCAAGATGCAACGTCGAGAGACTGTTGGAGAGGATCTTCCATGGATCGTCGTCGCGACGGAGTGACGAAACGGTAGTCGCCTGCGGGCCAAAGGTGGACTTGATCATTCCCGAGCAGATGGGATGGGATCCCACTTCGACCCAGAGCGTGGCGTCATTCATCAACTTCGCGTGCCGAGTCGCCTCGAGAGCACCAAGGAAATTGACGGCTTCCCGACAATGCTTCACCATATACTTGGGGCCAAGCACGTGGTAGTTCGACTCCGTGATTACTTCTCCGTTCAGAGCAGAGACGAATGGGACCGAGGGCTTATGGAAAACGACTCCCTGGGCGCTATCGTCGAACGAGTCCAGGATCGGGTCCACCTGGGCCGAGTGGAACGCGAATGGCACCCTGAGCTTGGTGGACTTGAGATTCTGGCTAGAGCACTGCTGTGCCAACTCATCGATTCGACCGCTGAGCCCGCTGATGACCGTCTCGGTAGGACCATTGATACAGGCGATGGCGTGGGCCTCTGGATCAAGCAGATGCTGAATCTCGGAGACGGCAGCCTTGACCGCGAGCATGGCGTGGGTCCCCATCTCACACTGCTCCGTGAGAAGCCGCGCGCGACGGCCACAGAGGTAAATCGTGTCACTGGTGGACAAGACGCCGGCAGTGTTCAACGCTGCGTAATCTCCCAGGCTGTGACCCAGCACAAAGCCAGGAGTGACACCAAGACCCTTCCAGTAGTCGACTAGAGCCATTTGAAGGCACGTGGTTCCCAGCTGCGTCACGACGGGGCTCAATTCTTCCACAGGAACACTACCGTCAATCAAGGGAAGAATAGAGGGGAACCCTTGGCTTTGAGCAATGCAGTCAAGTCGGTGAATCGTGCTTCTGAATTTGGCACAATCCTCGTACAGCTGCTTGCCCATCCCGGTGTACTGAGCTCCCTGGCCTGTGAAGACGAACCCAGGCTTGGGGGCGGTTGCGGGGACGGGAGTATTGACCTCTTGATCGGCACGTTGACGCAGGGCCTCACGGATGTCCTTCACACTCGATCCTACAGCGGTGACCCGGAATTGGTGGTGCATGCGACGCGCAGTGGTGGTATAAGCCAGACTGGCGAGGAACCGTCGCTCATTCGCCGGAGCCGAGGGCGCATGCGTGTCGATGTACTTGATCAAGGCATTGATGTTGCGCTTCAGCGCACTCTGAGATCGGGCCGTCACAGACACCACATGCACGCTGCGTGGATCCTGCCCTGTGATCTCACGCAGAGGAGCATCTTCCATCAAGAGAGCGGTGTTACCGCCCGCCGCAGAGAAGTTGTTGATGAACATCTTCCGCTTGCCCGACACCGGTCTGTTCCACGGGGTCGGCTTGAAGGCAATATGGACATTGCGCTGGGCCAGGTCCGTGGGGAAGTTGTGGTTGATCTTCGTCTTGATTCCGCAGTGGGGCGGGATCATGTTCTGCTTCAACATCAACAGCACCTTGACCAAGGATGTCACTCCGGAAGCTGATTCACCGTGCCCAATGTTCGACTTGGCGGAACCAATATGAAGGGAATTCGCCGGGCCCCGGCGGTAGTCGGGTGCAAAGACGTCGAGGACGGATTGCATCTCGACGGCGTCTCCTGCCTGAGTGCCTGTTCCGTGCATTTCCACGTAGCTGACCTCGTGCGGGCTCGTGTTGGTGTCGTTGAGAAGCTTGTTGAAGATGAATGCCTGCGCGCCCACATGGGGGCGAGTAATAGAGACGGCTTCCGCCGAGTGGTTGGTGTAGGCCGCGTTGATGATTCCCAGAATGGGATCGTTGTCAGCCTCTGCATCCTCCAGGCGTTTCAGGACGATGGTCCCAACCCCGTCAGCCCGGCAGTAGCCATCCGCGCCATCATCGAACGTGTTGCAGTTTCCTGTCCGGGACAAGAAGTGGCCGCGATCCAGACCGGCATGGTTGTCTGGGTTGGTGAGGAGATTCACTCCACCACTGATGGCTGTGTCGCACTCATTCCTCCAGATGGAGTTGCAGGCCAAGTGGATGGCCGCAAGACTGGATGAGCAGGCGGTATCAACGCTTACACTAGGGCCACTAAACTTGAAGAAGTAGTTGATTCGACCGGGCGTGAATGCTCGGTTGCCACCAGGGATGAAGTAAGTGTCAATATCCTGACCGCTGTTGATCTCACGATAATCATCACTGGTCATGCCCATGAAGATCCCAACCCGGTCTCTCTGAGTGGACGGAGTGCTGTTCGGAACAAAGCCTGCCATTTCCAGAGCCTCATAGGCCGACAACAACGCCAGTCGCTGTGCAGGGTCTGCCTGAAGGGCCTCTCGGGGAGACATGTTGAAGAAACGGGCATCGAACAGACCTGGCTCGTTGATCCAGCAACCGTATGGGACTTGGCTGGTGTTCCTCTTTGTACCGGTTAAATCCACGTGGGCATCGACATCCCATCGGTCAGGCGGCACCTTTTTGTGAACATCCAGACCTTTGTACAACAAGTCCCAAAAGGCTTCGACACCGTCCGCCTCGGGGAAACGCCCTGACATTCCGATTATGGCGATTTTCGACCGTGAAGCATTGCCGGTAGCATTGAGCGCGGCCGGGTCCATTTGAGGAGCGCCGACACCGGTGTCTACCTCGACCTTGCAGTGTCCCAGACGCTGGAGCGCAGTAAGCAAGCCTTGCGTGGCGTTGCTAGCGACAGGGAGAATCTTCCAGGGCCTGTCGTTGGCAGCCTGAACGATCGACAGGCAGGACTCTGTGACTTTGTCCCAACAAATTCTACGCAAGAGGATTTCTTCCAGAGCCACTTTCAACAGATCACGCATGCTCTTGGCCTGGACTAGCTTGCCGGTGTTGCTCGAGACTAATGAAACCCGCGGCACGTAGCTTGAAATCACGTCCTCGGAGCAGAAGCCGAGGATATCGCGAATTTCTCGGTCATTGTACAGATGTGGTGCGTGGTACGGGCCGCAGACTCCAGGAGCCTTGAAGTGTTTGTACTCCTTTGGAAGACCCTCCTCAATGAATATGTCGAGAACGTCGGGTGGTGCGCTGATAGTGAGACCTTTCGATCCAACTGCGCTGATGTATGGTTGCGACGAGGGGGTAATGCCCTGGAATGTCAGGATTGTCACCCCAGCAGTCATAGAGATGGTACTTACTCGCTTCGAAACAAAATTGCTGATCAAGTTGGCGGCGTCCGCCTCATTAATCTCGGAGACGAGGATCGACCAGCTCCCAGAGGATGACTCGGTCGAGTCCACCATCTCTCGGACTCTCATGACACAAAGCCCGAGGTGAACTGTCAGCGCAACAACCTCGACTGCGAGTGGCAGTAACTCTCCAACACTCTTGCACGAGCTGACGGCGGCGCAGCTCAACAGACCCGTACATGAGCCCAGTAGGAGGCCGTCATGTGAGGAAGGATATGCATGTCCACGGTCACCGTGGTAGCTATCTGGAATCAGCTGTGGACCGAGATACACATTGAAAGGCAACTTACTCGATGAAACATCCCAGTTGATAGATACATGTCAACGCACTCCCCAGCGCGGGGTTCGTCCCTGACTCACGGTGCCGAGCAAGCAAATCGGCGATGCTAGTGAACCGAGGGAAGAGTGTGCGTTGAGAAGGCGGCAGCCTGGCGATTTCCTGTCGCAGTGCATGGAAGCATCTCTCGATGAACGAGGCGACGATGGTATGGTTCTTCGCCTGCAATAGGTTCCGGAGGCCTTCGTCACAGCTGATTGTCTGATCTCCGAAGAGATAGATGCGACGGAGATCCTCCATCATGGCGAGATTTTGGCGCGACCTGCAGCTCCAGAGAGTGTGACTGCTACGAGTACAGGTTGTTTTGAGCCGCAGCACATAGGGTTTCTTTCGTATGAGGCAGAGAAAACAACAGTCACTCCGAAAAGAGGTGTCTTTAAGTGCAACTTAAACACAACCAGGGTCCGACCACTCCACTGGGCAGATCCACCCGGCCTGGCCGGATAACAGGTTTGTGGTTCTGATATTGTCCGCTCTGGGAGATCAGGATGTCTCGATCCAAGAGCGCGACGTCAGTCAGACGACTTTGCAAGCAGCACTGCAATTCGGGGGCAATCAGGGCATGCACGCTGCTCTCCTGCAAATCGGAGAGAGAGACGAAAGCATAATTCGGTTTGTTGTGGGCCTCCCAAAGCATCGCAGGAACTTGCTTTGCCCCCTTCCTTGGAATCTAGACCCGCGAGCTGCTTTTCCCCACGAGCACATCTCCATGGATGCGGGAGCTGCAAATTCTGATCGATGTTGCTTTTCTTCCGAAATAGGAATCTATGATTCGAATTCAATGTGAGACAACCGCTATTGGGTACCGTTGGGAGCGGAAATCTGGGACATGAGGGAAGCCCGGCGGAGCGCTAGGAGATCCCGGGCATTCCATCTTCCAGGAATGTCCGCATCTGGCAATAACCCTTTTATCGGGGTTGTGCGTCAATGGTAAGAGATCCCTTCGATGATGAATTACGTCAATCAAAGACATCGATCTCCCACCGCCGTCCTGCATGGTTTGTGCCGTTGCAATGCGAACCGGCCGAAATCAGGCCATCGCTAAGATTGATTCGATGCTTACTCAGACAACTGCCAGGTTTTCAGATTATTCTGATCTTTCTGTGACTGCGATCCAAGGTGTAGGGTTGCATGTTGCATTGAAGCCAATATAGACTCTCCGGGCTCAGGCCGTATCCCAACTCAAACTACGTGGATCGAGCTGTATCACCAAATGCTGCAAGATTCTCTGGAACTAAACGTTTCGTCATGATGTTTTCTGAATGACCCGTCCTAGTCTCACATGAACTTGATGAGCTAGATACAACAGCACATCTCCTCGTTTAATATGATTCTCCTCAATTTCAGTGCTAATCCTCCTATTCATACTCTACAGCCAATCTCAGACTGGTCACTTCGCCGCACGGAAAACATCCTCGAACTGGTACTCATTCCACCGCACGGTAGGTTTCAGGCCGGCAAACTTCCACACGCCATCGACCTTGCGGTAGTAGTGCTCATTGGTGGCATGCCCATGCCCCTTGAGCTTGACCGTTTGCAAGCTGCTGTCCGTGTAGACCTGGTGGGCGGCCCGAAGCTGATGGTGGCCAATGACCTCTGTGTCGGAGACCTTCTCCCACCAGGACTCGCCGAGCAGATGCTGGGTCTTGATGGTTGGGTCACCCAGGAAGTCAATATCGGTGACCATAGCCATATAGTCTTCGGCTGACATGTCGATCCATTTGCGCAGACCGATCTGCGTGTAGTCGACAGTGAGAGTCGGGGCGATGATGCTTCGAAGTTGGTCCCAATCCTAGCTTGGGTGAATATGGTTCTTCTGATAGCTGGGGCGTAAACTTACCTTGGCATCGTAGCTGTCTGCCCAGTCAAAGAGGACCTTTTTCAAGGCGAGATAGTCTGGCCGGTGAGTGAAAGTCAAACAGTGGTTTCAACAAGGGTGCCTCGTACCTTGGAAGTCGATTGCCAGGTTGGGCTTCTTTTCGACCATTGTGGCTGTTGGGAGGTTGATGTGAGGAGGGTATGTATGTCTGATCGAGAACTGGTTTTTTGCTTCAATCTGCATGATAAGGAAATGACTAGCCGATGAGCAATCATAAATATGAGATCGCTACATGGTCAGCATCATGCAAGGGGCAGATCGTCGCAAGCAAAGGCCATGTGTCTTTTTTCTGTTCTGGACATGTCTATCCCAAAGCATATCAGCTGGGAACGGAAGTCGCATGCAGCAACATTCCTGTTCAAGACAATCTCATTGCATACATTCCTTTCTATTGAACAATGAAGATGCGAATACGGCAAGTCTTTCTTGGCTTTTTGATTGTGAAGTGACTGCTCATGTGCCCATAGAAGCAGTCCTGTATATAAAGATGAACACGACCTAGGGCTACATGCGCCCATCTAAACAAACCCACATTCAATCTCAACCTTCAAAATGGTCACCCGAGCATCTCTTCCTCTCAGTGGCAAGGTCGCCCTAGTGACAGGCGGCGGACGAGGCATTGGGGCCGGTATTGCCCTCGAACTGGCCCGCCGCGGGGCCTCGGTCGCGATCAACTACGGCCACAGCGCCAAGTCAGCGCAAGAGGTCGTCGATGCCATCCAGGCCATCGGCAGCCAGGCCGTGGCCATCAAGGCGGACCTGACCTGCGTACCCAACATCGAGTCACTCATCAAGCAGGTGGCCAGCCACTTTGGCCGGCTGGACATTGTCGTGTCCAACTCCGGGGTGGAGAAGTTCTGCCCCCTGGAGGAGACCACCCTCGACGACTTCAACGAGGTCTTCGATCTGAACACCCGGGCACAGCTATTCGTCGCCCGCTACGCCTACGAGCACATCCAGCCTGGGGGGCGGGTGATCCTCATGTCCTCCATTGCGGCCGGGGTGGGGGTGCCGGGCCACGCGCTGTACGCCGGCAGCAAAGCCGCCATCGAGGGATTCACGCGCTGCTTGGCGGCCGATTTTGGCCGCAAGGGATGCACGGTCAATGCGATTGCGCCGGCCGGGGTGAAGAGCGACATGTGGCGAGAGAACGCATGGCGGTATGCCCCCGGGTGCGACAAGGGCTCGACGCTGGAGGCGATCGAGAACGCGCTGGCGAGCGGAAGTCCGTTGAAGCGGTGCGGTGTGCCCGAGGACATTGGCAAGGTGGTTTCATTCCTGGCGAGTCCGGATGCGGAATGGGTAAACGGTGAGTTGTTCTACTACTTTTCATGCCCGACGCAAGGGTCAGGCAGGGTGGGGACTGGAATGCTGATCATTTCGTGAACGAACAGGCCAGATCCTTCCTGTCAACGGAGGGGCAAATATCTGATTTGTAGAGTAGGGTCTTTCTTTGGAGTATGGTTGCATTGAGCTGTGAAATTTTATCTCGCAGAGTTTATTAGATAATGGGCTTTTCCTTCTTGCTTTCGTCACCTATCTGAAGTATAATCTTGCCAAGTCAGGGCTCAAGCCTGCCCCTAAATCTAATCTTTCCACTGGTCCAGGGAACTGTCTGGGTGTCCGGCTACTGTCCATTGACTTTGATATATGAGATGATTCATCGCTTGTGGTGGGTTACGTTCGGAGAAGGCGAATCCTTCTATATCCGTAATAGAATGCAGTAATGCTGTAATATCAGGATTATCGTTGACATGCTGCAAATTGACTTTCCAGGATCAGCATGTATGAGTCAAACCTCGTAGAGTGCTTGTGTCATGGACTCGACGAATGTAACCCCAAATACCGCATCCATTTTTGCATAAGACACCCCTCAATTCGACTGTGCTATGCATTGAGAGCATAATTCCAGACTGAGACATTGTGCTATCGGAATTCGGTGGATCATTATGGACCATTACACACGTCGAGTTCAGAGGAGTCGGGTTACTGCATGCGGTGCCTACATCGCCCTGCCGCATCGAGAATTACCCAAAAGGGAAATCTGTATGGCTGGATGCATCCGCGTTGTTTAGTAAACATGGAAGGCTCTTTCACAGGGAGTATAAGTATGGCGACAGGCGCTTCGATGTCATGTTTGTATCTTGAAGTCTAAACCTTTGCAAGGAGTCAAGATGCCACGCTGGATCCTTGGAGACAAGTTTGATACCGTCTTCCCCCACAAGGGCTCGTTGAAGGTCCTGTGGGACTCGAGATGGAAGTTTGCCGTCAGTCCTTCTCTCTAGAACTGCGAATACAGCTGACAGGCGTTCAGTGTCAGAAATCCGTCTATCCCTTCCATGACGGCTGTATCGAGGACTTTGAGCCCATCTTCAACCAGCTCATCTCAGTGTGTCTTTCACCTCTACCGACCACCGACAAGCGCATGCTAATCCTCGCAGGAAAACATCAACGACGCTGCATCCGACGAATACACCCAGGCCTTCCTCCCCACGGCATCCGCCCTCGAGGAAAAAGCCGCCCAGGCCCTCCGCACCGGCGACAAAGAGGAGGCCTCGCGCCTCCTCTGCCGCGCGGCCGTAGTCTACCGCATCTCCCGCTTCCCCTACGTGGACATCACCAAGCCAGCCTCCATCAAGCGCGTTGCCTTTGAGCGCCAGAAACAGGCGTACCTGAAGGCGACCTCGCTCTGGACCCAGCCCATCCGCGAGGTCCTGGTCCCGCACACCTCCCGCGCCGGGAACGACGGCGCCCACATCCCCATCTACATCCGCACCCCCGCCGGCGCAGACCAGACCACCCCGGCCCCGGTCGTGATGATCATGACCGGCCTGGACGGGTACCGGCCCGACAACAGCCAGCGCACGCACGAGATCCTGGCGCGCGGCTGGGCGGCCGTTGTGGTCGAGATCCCCGGCACGGCCGACTCGCCCGCCGACCCGGCGGACCCGTCCTCGCCCGATCGACTGTGGGATAGCGTGCTGAGCTACCTGGACCAGCGCCCGGAGCTGGACACGGCCCGGATGGCGGTCTGGGGGCTGAGCGCGGGGGGGTACTATGCCATCCGGGCGGCGCATACCCATCGCGACCGACTGCTCGGGGCCGTGGCGCATGGCCCGGGCTGTCACTACTATCTTGATCCGGAGTGGTTGGCCAAGGTCAATGACCACGAGTATCCGTTCGAGTACGTGTGCATTCTGCAAACAAATCAGGAGGGTGCTGACCAGATAGGTTGACCGCGGCGTGGGCCACCAAGCACGGCTACAAGACCGTCGAGGAGTTTGTGGCCGGCGCGCAGAAGAAGTTCTCGCTCGTGGAGACGGGCGTCGTCGATCAGCCCAGCTGCCGGCTGCTGTTGCTGAATGGCGTCGAGGATGGCGTCGTGCCGATTGAGGATTGTCTGGTGCTGTTTGACCACGGCTCGCCAAAGGAGGGACGGTAGGTCATCTCCCCTCAGAGATAGGAGTATATTGACCTTCCCTAGATTCTTCAAGGGTCTTCCACACATGGGATATCCCAATAGCCTGCCTGTTTCCTACAAGTGGTTGGAGGAGGTTCTAGCTTCGCCCGTAAATGTGAAGAACTAATCCTACAAGATGTCTGTTCAATTTCGGGCTTTATCATTTCTGTATTCAGGATTAGCGTAATAGAACTATACTAATATTGAGGATGTTCCTGGCATCCAAGCTGAATATCTGCATTCAAATGATAACTTCTCTCACGTCAAGGAGTGTTGGTTTAACAAAAGGCCATGTCCCCTGTTGATGAATCTCTTTAATCTACTCTGAATTGTGACAAAAACATCAGCCAAGCGACTGAAGCATATATGTGAGCGAATCAGTAGCTGCAATCTGTGAAGTCTACAGACTTGCATTCAAAACTAGCCATTCCATCTTGCTGTGTGCCTTGTAGGGTTAGCATTGACAGCTGTCTGGATCATGCACGTTGCCAAGATGCTCTATTTCCTAGTCGATTAGGAAATGGCAACATCTTGCTGCCAGGAGATTTGACTATCGATCCCTATCACTCTGCTTTATATCTAGATAGTTCGCTTGAAGAGTAGTACATGCGTTTTGCGCTTGCCAGAAGAAGGCCAGATAACCGTTCCCATTCTCTCTCTTATGTACAGTACTTTGCTTACTCCTCGTTATACCTCTTGACTCTCACTCTACTAATTGGTACATACCATCAACGTGTTGGCGTGAGAAGATACAGGCTTTAAAGTACAGCTCTGTCAAACTATTATCTACTAGAGAACGATATGAAGAAATATTGAATGCAGCTATACACAAGAAGAGATCTATAAGTAACACACGTCGCCCTCGCTGTCTGTAGCGACGGCAACGCCATCATCGTCAATATTCACATCAGAAGTTTCAACGTAATCAGTCTTGCCATCATAATAATACTCGGAGTCGGCGACTGAGGGGGCAGAGGCAGCAGCAGCCGCACCGGAGCCGGAAGGAGAGTCATTGCCGTAGCCATGGCCATAGCCATAGCCCTGTCCGTAGCCAGCGGGGTAGTCGTTGGTTGATGGCGCAGCGGTGCTCGGTGAGCCCCAGGGCTGAGTATACTGAGGGGCAGGAGGATATGAGCCGGGGGTGGTGTCGTCTCCAGGAGTGTCATCGTTTGGAGCGGAGTTGTCACCCGGGGGCGTGCCATAGCTGGGACAGATTCTCTGCTGGTGCAGCGGCACCGAGATATCCTGCATCTGCGCCGGGGCCTCGATAATGGTGGCAGTCAACCCCTTGGTGACATGCCATTCGACATGGCAGTGGAGGAGCCACACTCGTGGTACAGGTCAGTACGCATCTTCACTGGAGTGGACGGGCCAAACTTATCTGGGTTGTCCGCGCGGAATCGCAGGACCGCGTGTCCATGGTTCTGCACCATGATGGTATCCCGTCTCACGGGGGTGGAGGAGATATTGGCAAAGTAGCCGTTAAAGTACCCGCCCTCGGGGATCGTGCGCTGCAGAACCTGGAACTGATGGCCGTGCAAGTGCCAGGGATGCAGGTTGCCATGGTGGTTGTTGATGACGATCTCGACGACCTCGCCGTACGCGAGGACGAAGGGGTTCACCTGTCCGTATATCGAGGGGTCGGAAGAATTGTCTGGCCCGGCCGCCAGCGCCGTGTACATTGTCGGTTCCTCCTGATCCACGTATGTCTTGCCATTGACGGTATACACGCTGCGCCCGTCGCGTTGGGTCACGCCGGTGCTCAGGATGATCTGGTGGTCGACCGGCTCGAGGACGGGCTCGTGGTCCGCTGGCACGTAGACGAGATCGTCCACGAAGTCGTTGTTCGGGTCGAGTTCGTGGATGTCGGGTGGGGGAGGAAGCTCCTTTTCTTCGTCGTAGACTAGCCATGCCGTCGCGTTGGGGTTGAAAGTCTGGGGGATGGTTCTATTCTCGTAGAAGAACATCATGTTGACGTCCATCGAGTCCCAGATGGCATAGTTGGCGTCGGCGTTGTCCTTGGTCCTGAGGAGGATGCTTATGCGCTGACCTGTGGCAAGCCTGATCTTCTTGCCTCCCGTTGGATAAGTGTCTACCCAGATGCCGTCCACCTCAACCACGCTGATCTCGTGGTCATCAAAGACAATAACGTGGCCGGGCCAGTTGCCCACGCAAATCAAATGCACCAGGTACGTCTTATTGGGCTCCACGCGGATAGTGGTGGCGTTGACCGCGTCGTTGATCAAGGCTGCCGCCGGCAAAGGTTCATTGACCCCGGCATGGGCACCCACGCTGTCGGCCTCGTACTGCTGCAGGAGAAAAGGCATTTGCTCGTGGTAATGGTCGGTCAGAGTCAGAGTAAACTCGTCGTCGTACTCAAATGGGGGCGAGGGATCCCGGACGATCAACGGGCCCCGGAGCCCGTCGGGATACTGGCCCATTTCGTGCGAGTGATACCAATAAGTGCCGGTTTGGTTGACCTGTCCCCGTGAGTATAACAGGATCAACCATATGGCGAGTGAGAAACTTACATCGAATTCATAGCGCATGCTACTCCCTGGAGGCAACGCACACTGCGTCACCTGGTTCGAACCATCCATGGTTCCTGTCATGTATTGATGGAAGCCATGCCAATGAATTCCCGTCGACTGATTCCCCAGACCATTGTACACATCGACAATGAGTCGGTCGCCCAGATCGGCGTTGACCAGCGGACATGGCCACTCGTCGTTGATCCCGATCATTGGGCGGCCAAAGCCGTCGGGCGCTGCCCAGACCCAGGTGATGTTCCAATCGAGGTGAACATCTTTGGCCGCGGTGAAGCCGACAAGCCAGAAGAGAAAGAAAGCCCCGGAATGAAGCATACTGTGTTGCCGGCAGCCTATGTCGGTGGCTGGTTGTTGGACGAGATACACTCTAATGGACACATCGAGAGAGACGATATCGAAGCTAAATAAAGTTATTGATGCTTCGACGAAAGCGGAACTTGAAAACAACAACAACAACAACAACCATCAGTAAACACTGAGATCGAAGTAGTGTGATCGATGGAGTGTGATGCAAGGGGGAGCGGGCGAGGAATGCAAGGCCCATGGACAGCTGAATGCAGTGTTCGTTGGCCGTCTTTCGATGCGGAATCAATGATTCATAGACAGAAAGGGATTGGAAGATACTGTAGGTCCCCTGTTGATCATTCCTTGATGCATGCGGAATGCTCTCTTCAGTATGACATTCCTCACTCTGGGTCTGGCCGAGAGTCAATTCAGGCTTTATTTGCATTCCTAGACTCTAAACAATGAGGTAGAAGATAAACAAAGATTAAATTTGTATGCAACGGATCTATGTACCGAACGAATCATAACCTATTCCACCCCTGACAATCACATAGGAGAAATCAAGTCCGCATCGACCTCGGGCCAGACATCCACTCCGTCCATCAGAATCAGTCCCATTCCCGAGGCAAGATGAGTCTGCATATGGCAGTGCAGCAGGAACGGACCCGGATTCTCGACATGGTACCGGATCGCAGTCCACGTCTCTCCCTGCGGCGAGGTCGCAAACGTATCTCTGTAGATAGGAGTCTTCAAGAAACTCTCCGGGCTCGCCTGCTTGGCTTCTTCGATCGATGTCCAGTTGAACTTGCCGTGGCCCGTCCCCAGGAGAAATGCTTTGTTGGAATGTTTATGCAGAGGGTGAGGTGGCTGGATCGGAGTAGGATCGTGCACAACCAGCTGGAAGACAATATCAACCCAAGTATCGTTCCTGGTGGTGATCTTGAGCGCGTCCGCAAGCTCGGGAGCTGCCGGATCCAGAATGGCCGGCGGCAATGCACCAAGGTTGTTGGGGAGGAAGGCCGTGCCGTCCAGCGTCCATTGCCAGGAGGAGTTGATGCGTCCGAGCATCAGAATGTGGAAGTCGTCGGCCTCCGCGGCAGGGCTGATGGCCGGGTACGGAGGCAGGTTGTTCGTATTCAGCGGGATGACCTCGGCGCTGGTGTTACGGCTTCCGTAGTCGATGTACGGCTGCGATGCGCGCTCGCTGGTCTGGCCGCCCTCGTAGGTGAACGTCGCAAACCCGGAGACGATCTGGTTGCCGCCATCGTTGGCCACGCGCATCTTGTAGTTGGCCGGTTCCTTGTCCAGCCTGACCATGACCGAGTACCGCTCGCCGTTGAATAGCTTCATGCTGTGCGCCAGCTGCGGCTCGATGTACCGGCCGTCCACCTCGTACACATACATGGGGTGTTCATCAATCGAAACCACCAGCACCTTGAGACTGGCCGCGCTGATGAAGTGGAAGCTTGCCCATTGGTGCCTGGCATCGACTGTGAAGATTGTCTCCTGGGTGGTGCTGGGATGGCAGCCTTCATTCAGGCCGGGAGGCAGCTTCTCGGGATGGTGTTCCCAGTCCCCTTGGACGGGAAGCACGAATGGTAGGCATCTTTCCAGTCAGCATTCACCCTAGTGTCTGAGATATGATGGATTGACTCACCCCTTGTCGGTCAGCGTTCCGTTGATGATCGCCAGTTCCGGCGGCGGGACCATCTGGGTCATTTGCTCGGCGTCGAGGCAAAATATGGAGCCGCGTCCGTTGATGAGCACGCTATCGGAGCAGCTGATATGGTCAGTTCGAGTCCAGTAAGAAAGGGCTGGCAGACGCACAAGATATCGTATCCGGTCTCCTCCAATGCCTTCATGTACTCTTTACCGGTCAGATGATCCCAGTCTGACAGCATGACCAGTTGGCCATTTCGCTCGGCTTGCTTCATGGCCAGAATATCGGCCGGATCGTTGGAGATCATTGAAAATGGGGAATCTCTGTTGTGGGAGGGTCTATCGCCGTTAATATGGTTTTGCCTCGAGGTTGAGATTCTCACCTGATATGGATAGGTCCGTATAGCCCGTCCATAATTTCAGACTTGTCATGGGCATGGTACCTGAGACGTTAGCTTTTGTGCTATAACTTGAGGGAACTGCTCACCAATAAGTCCCATAAGTATCTGCTCGCCATTGGTAGGTGTAGGATTGGCCCGGCTGGATGGCCCATTGCGAGAGACCAGCAACTCCATCGGCCCACGGGGTATCTTTTTGTCTATGTCGCATTAGCAGGGTCTCTTCTGGCTGCGAAGTACCTACTCGATGCCGTGAAAGTGGATGGATGTGTTGAATGGCAAGTTATTGGTGACATCGATCTATCCAAATCAGTATGCCGTCTCATATGCCGCCATCAAATGCTGCCGTAGACTTACAATCACCTCATCCCCCTCGTCAAGAATGATCGAGGGACCGGGAAACTGACCATTGACAAAGATCATCTCCCGGCTGACACCATTGGGACTGCCAGTTCCCCATGTCAAGTCGAGGGAATAATGCACCCTGGCTGCTTGGGCAATCGCAGCGACTCCCAGCAGTGAAGCCGATTGATACCATTTCATTTTGTCGTATGAAAGAACAGACAAGAGACAACCGGCCAGAGCTTCTCGAGCTACTCCATCTCTTTAAGATACAATTCCAGTTTTCGGGGAAATGACTGAAAACAGTCTATTGATTGTCGTGATGTTATTGTGCAGCAGTGCAAACAGGAACATGCCGCAGATGATCGCCGGGATATCCACCCCCTGCATTCTCTCTCCCTTACCTACAAATAAAAATGGCCAAGTCTACATACGCAGCAGGAAGTGATCATCATCTGCCAGCTGTTGGATATTTCACTGTTGTTATTGTTAGGTTCTGACTCTTCTGAGCCTCTATCAATCATTGTGGATGTTCCCATCTCCCACCTTGTCCATTCCCTTGGCTGGCCTAGGCTGAGCTCGAGATTCGGCTGATGAACTTGGTCTGTATCATTCTAGATGATCACCCATTCTGATTGTAATGATCTAAGTGTGCTCATAATTCATGAAAACTGAAGATCTCATGCTTTCGAAGTCCTGTTGAAGCATTTAGAGTGGTCAAATCCGTCGCTTCAGGCCAGCTTTTGAATCTGTGACTGTGCATTGAAGGCTACAATAAAGTACTAGGCTATAACTGTTATAATTGAATAATTCATAGTGAAGACTGTAATTGGAGGTAATTCGATCAGAATGATAGGACGATAGCATGGACGTGATAACCCCATGGCTACCTACTTAAAGTATATATCTTTTACCATTCATATGCCACAAGTTTAGCATAATCTACATCAGAATGGAACAACTTCTGGCACATTAGACAGAAAGTATTTACTTGCTCACTGCCCAGTAAGAGACAATTAGATAATAAACACATGGCTACTGCCAATTGGAAGCTGGACTGTAATTGTTCGGCTGTGGTGACATCAGGAGTATATCACTCCATATCTATTGCCACCGGTCAACATAAAATGCGGTTCAAGGACCATGTGTTGTTTTCCGTATGCTCACTAAATATACGGAAAACACTATTGTATCAAGTGCATTGCAACTCTGAACCTCAACATGAGCGACCCAATCGACAGCGACAGTACGTATGGCACCTACGACGTCGAAGCATCTACCGACTACGGCGTTCGGGGAACCAGAAGGCTCAACGACAACAAAAACACACCCAGGAGAAAAGAATACTATGCCTCCGGCATCAATGACTGCGGCTGGGGGTACGACTATGACTACGAGTCAACTGGCCTTGGCCTGGGAGACTATACAACATCCGCCGCGGAAGCACCGGTCGAGAGATCCACGCCTGAAGGTTCTCAGGATAGGAGCGAGAAATCTTGATGCGAATACAGCTGTGAACAGGTTGAAGATATAGGGAGAGGACCAGAGAAATGTATAATCAGACAGATACATGCAATAGCGCGGCTTGCATTGATGTATACAAGTACATATCCAACCAAACGACTGATGCAATGCTATTCAACTAAACAAGCGAAAGACATGAAATGGACTAGAGATGAGACTCGTAATAGTCGTGATTCATTTAAAACAATTCTATCAAGCTAAAGGTACGAAATACAAGCCGCAGCAATGACTCATATCGTCGCCATGTCAGTTGATACTACCGGCAGGAGAATGGCGAGGTACTGCAAGTGGTATGAACGACGCAGGCTTGTGGAGAGAGGGGACTGAAGAATGTGGGATATAAGAAGGGGGCTGTACGATGTTTTTATTCGTATCCTGTTTCTGGCACTGAAAACGATCGATACGGCCTGTCTGCAGTACAGTGTTTGTCGCCATGATATTCTCGGATACTTGTGCGTGTAATACACTGTTGATATGGATTTTCTAAATGCCGACCCTCATGTTCATAGAGGGATCCAGACTATCACTTTGCTACAGTTTCTTGACTTTCAAATCATCCGATAGGTGCGAGGCGGCCTGCAGAGTCAAGCACGACTCATGACCGGAAGCACAACAATCTTTCACCTCAGTGGATGTCTCGAGTGTTCAATAAAACCTACTACCTCGTCCGCTTCGAGGCCTAACCGAGGGCATCCAGGGTGACGCTGGCACTACGGGATGGCGAGAACCAGCCAACTCACTCTATGGATCGAATACCGCATCGCTATAATCCAGACAAGAAGTGTACGCAATGGTATTAAAGGAATAGTCAACAGTGCGAGTGATATTGCAGGAACATGATTCTGAAGCAATTGGCTGAGTACACGACAGTCCCCATCACCCAGAAGGGCCATAACTCAGATGTACGAGTATCCCAAGCAGCAGATTCAATCCTCGTCAAAGTTCTTGTCGGCGTCCTTCATCTGACCGAGCTCGTCAACCAAGTCCCCGTACATCTTGATCCAAGACAACAACATCTCCTGCTCAATGAGGATCTGCAAACGTCTTTTGGAAAACTCGGCTCGAGTAAGCTGGCGCTCCACACTAACAAGCCGACCTCAGTCTTTGTTCGTTGCATCCAGACGCCAAATACAGCAACTTACTGGATCAGCTCGAGGGTCTCGTTATCCAGACGTGAGAATTCTTCTCGGATTATGCTGTTTAACTGGTTCAAGTGGTCTCTGATTTCGCGAAGCCTGCCGATGCATGGCTGAGGGGAGCGGAGGCGAGGCGTCATATTGGGCGATCGTTGCCAGTAGATGAGGTTTCTTTTGGTATGTTGTCAAGGTAGTGTGGTTTAAGATGAGGAGGAAGAGGTTTCTCTGTGTTGGGGGAGAGATGGAGAGGAAGAAGGTGAAATGAGTAGAAGAGAGAGAAAGTGAGAGGATGCAGATTACGCGAGAAAAGAGTGAATTGTGTAGGATATTCACGGAATCAATTCATAACTAATGACGTATCATTTGCCCTGCACCATTCTTTTAAGACATTTTCTAGAATTCACTGTTCTAGATGGCAACTAGACCATCTCTTGACAGCAGATGGAGTAAGATCGCAGCAGGAACATCAACACAATACTACTCGTCCTCAGTTACCCTCTTCCTCCTCTCCTTGGACACACTCAACCGCATCAGATCCGGCCGACTATAGTGTCCCAACGCATCGGCAAACATCTTAGTCGCCAGAATCTGATCCATATCCAAGTCGGCGTAAAGGATCTTCTCGACCGTGCTCTCCACCTCTGGCGTCAATCGACGTCCATCCGGTCCAAAGACGGCCGACGAGCCACCCCCAGGAGTGGCCATGAGCAATCCACTCCCCGTCTTCATTTTCTGTATTCCCGCGTCGGAGATAACAGTCGTACAATGAAGGACGAATGTCTGCGATTCGATCGCGTACGTCCGGGAAAGATTCTGGCAACCTACATCGCCTCAGCATCTTGACCGAGAAAGAAATACTCGCAGGAGATACCCTCAGCCGACATAGACCACAGATCTCCCCCTCCCGAATGCGGATACAGAGGCGGCCACGCCGCGACATGGATCTGCTCTCGCAGGGAGTACGTATAATACTTGAGCAAGGGCTGGATATGCTCCCAGCACGAGAGATGGCCGACGCGCGCAAAGGGCAGTTGCACCACATTGTCGAAACATTCGCCCGAGGCGTCCCCGAAAATCGTCCGTTCCATGTGTGTTGGTTTCATCTTCCGACGGTGGGCCTTGACCTCCCCGTCTGCCCCGACGAGGACTTGGGCGATGTAGACCGAGCCGTGGTCGTACTCGGAGAAGCCCAGGGAGACTGCAATGGCGTTTCCGCGGGCGCAGGCTTTGATCTGGTCCATCTCGGGGCTGTCGAGCTTGAGGGAGTTCTTCATGTACTCGATGTTGAGTTCCGGGTCGAGATTCCTTGTCCTATCCATATTAATCGTAGCCCATGGACATGGAAGGCCAAGGCCGGGGGCTCTACCATATCCACGCTGGATAACCGGGGATCCAGCACTCGGGAAAGGCGATGAGCTGGGCTCCTTCTCGCGCTGCCTCAGTCATGAGCCTACAGGTCTTGGCTACGCCGTCTGCGAGATTGAGCCATGCTGGTTCGGCCTGGGTGACGGCGACACGTACGGAAGACTGAGCTGTAGCCATTGTATCAGCTGCTCTAGTGTCAAACTCCCAGCGAAGAGGCTAAGGGAGTATGCTAAGAAGGACTACCTATTTATGCGGTCCTTTGTCCGTTGACCCCTCCCTCTATTGACCCCGCATGATAAGCTCCCTCCAATAGCCAGCGCTTACGCTAAAGCAATCAGCAAGATGATCCTCGGCCCTTATCACTTCAAGGAGAAGAGCAAAGACCGAGCGGAATCAAATTCCGCGAGTGTTTACGAGTTGAGAAGATTCATTGGCTGGTATTCTACCCTGTCCTACAGATCAACCCTCCAAAAAAGCCCAATGCGATACCTCCTCTAACCCGTCCACTCAGCACAGCAATACAGAAGGAAAAGGAAAGAAAACTCACCCTTCATGCCCTGCAACGCCTCAGCGGCAATCGCATAATTCGCCAGAATTTTCGACACAAGTCGGAGATTCTGCTGCAATTCGTTCAGAAACCCCGTTAGCGACAGACCCTTGGCGGACACCGAGTCCTCGGGACTATTGGCATGTTTGGACCGCGCCTTGAGATACAGCATCAGCATCGCGTAGCTCGACTGCATGACGCAGCAGGCGAAGGTCGGCATCGTTCGGGGGATTTCTACACGGGAAGCATTGGACAGATACGGGGGAAGGGTCAAGGGGATGGTATGGTCCGGATTTGGGTAGGGGAGGTTATCGACCAGCGTGACGATGTTCAGCGCAGACTGGAGACATATCTTGGACGATGCATGCGAGGAGAAAGGAAAGTTGAGATCGGGAAGATCAGACTTCATGATGGATGGAAGGGGGATATCTTCCGGGGGCGAGGGGATGGCGGATTCCGCGGACTCGATGCCACAGCATTCGGGTTGAAGATCGCAGTGGCGTTTGCGGAAGACGGGGATGTCCGAGAAGGCGCAGAATCGGTGGACTTTGATGCGAGCGCTGAGATGGTCAGCACGATAGTAAAGAAAATGCCGATTGCCGTACCTGTGCAGCTTGATCTCCGCAATCTGGTTGATTGTCTGTGAGGCTATCTTTTCCGGCGAGTCCAACGGTGAGACAGCTGTGGATAAGGATGAACTTCTGCAGAGAAGAAGAAGGGTCGTGATTTGATGGTCTAGTTCTGTCATTCGACTCGAGATCCAGGACGCTTTGAACCGAGATTTGACGGTCTGGTCGAGATCGTGGACGAACGTGGTGGCCTCGAGGATTGTCTGCTGCGCCTCAATGAGGAGTTTCCATCCCTGAGTCAATCGGAGAGTTAATCCATCTTCATTATATGATCCAGGAAGAAGTTCCCACCTCGGGATACGGCGTCACAAAGCGTGGGTCGTACAAGTTGAAAGCGGCCGGCTACGAAGATTAGAACACGACCTTGGAAGGAATCAGGATACCTACCATCCCGCTGACTATCGAGCCTTGACAGACGGTCAAATACTGCCATAGTTAGCCAGAATCATATACCTTACTTCAAGAACAGTCACAAACAGTAATCCACCAAGCTCTCCGACGCGCCTCGGCGTATTCGTCCTCCTCGACCATCTCATGCAACGACATGCTCATCGCAGCAGTCAAGGCCTGTCCCGCCCGATTGCACATCTTCCTGATATTCCCACGCTGGGCATATTCATACACACTCAATAGTACAAGTGCTAGAATGGCCTCGAGTGGCACGGGCACTTTCGGATGGAATGGTTGCCGGGCGATCATCTGCGCCCCGTCACTAAGTGCTCTGGACGGGTCAGACGAGGAATCGAGTAATTCCAGATCCGCATCTACTGCTTCGAGAGCCGACTGCGCGTATCTGTGGGCCGCGTTTCGTCGAAGCCGCGTGTCCTCCGCCGTCGACGGTTGCTTGATCCCGGGGTGCGGGATGAGGACGAGGATGGCAGAGATGGCAAGGCTTAGCGGACTGGACGGTCGGAACGTCGAGTTTCCATTTATTGGACGATTGTATGCCGGGAGTCGTTCCGGAGGAGGTAGGATAGGATAGTAGAGATGGATGAAGACGTAGTAGGCATCGAGTCTGACCCGTCAGTAGACTGTCGGAACGGAGATCCAGGTCGCATACATGTCCTCGTCGCTGCCATATACCTGCAACAGATCCGAGACAGGCTCATCGCTTTCAGCGAAAGGAGGATTCTCAGCCCCGAAGATATGGTCAAAGATGTGCTCCATCTCGGCCACCGAGCTTTCGACGCTGCGTAGTCCCGCACCAGGTCTCCCTAGACTCAGGAGGTGATCGAGAAGGTCTGATCTGTTAGTTGCATTTTGAAATCAAGTGTAACTCGGCAAAATGTACCATCCTCATTGTTCGACTTCCATGATCCCTCTGCACTAGGTGTTGACTCGTGCCGTCTTTCATCCTTTTCATCTACAGTCTGTACGGTGGAAGATGACGAGGGTGTGCTCTTGCACTTGTTGCGAGGAATCCTCGCTCCCCCTCGCTTGCTGGGGACATAGCAGCATGTTTTCTCCCGGGAAATGCAATTCGCACATTTTTCCTGGCCGTCGCATCGGATCCGTGATGCGCGACTATCTCAGTCATCAGCTGTCGCTCTTACTCGGTGGTTAGGGGGATTACCAGGCCAGACAAGCAACCTTGACAGGTGGACGATGAAATCTTCGGCGTACGGGAGTAGTCATGGTGACTTTTATTGATCATTATACAAGGGAGAGCAGATGCCGTTTGGAAGATTGGGTTGCAGACTTTGAAGAAATCCCGGTGGCAAACCCCGGGAGCAGACACCGAGCAGAACCCGCCTTGCTTCACCTTTTATGGCTGCATCTTACAGAGATAAGTCAGGATCGTATGATTTGTGGAGAAATGGAAATCTTCGTCTTGTTTGACATTTAATCGGATTATTTTTCTGCTACTCCGTATTGATTTAGAATCTGCAACTAAACTTCAGCTTATCATGGGCAGAACATGCAGACTTCCAATGCCAGTCTACATTACCATTGACGGATACTAAAAATACCTGGAGCGAACAGACAAAGAGGGGTGAGTTTGACAGGGAAATGTCTCACTTCTCATGCTCAACCTCCTGGCTGACGGCCTCCAAAGGCGCCGACAGTCCAACCCGATCCACCGTACGAGTATACGCAACTCCCCCGTTCACACGGTCTTCATGAACGACGAGGTCCTTCCGGTTGGTGTCGACCAGCAGTCGGATCAGGTCCGGACGCATGTAGTGACCTCCCTGGGGTGCATTAGCTTCGCTCGTTCTATGCAGTGTCAGACTTACAAAGTCTGCGAGGGACTTGGAGAGATGGCATTCATCCAGGTCAATCTATCAAAATTAGTTTCTGACATACGCCACGAACTGTTGTGCTTACATCAACAAACAAAAGGCCCTGAAAGTCCTTGTCCGGATGAGGGACGAGATTCTGTCCGTCTGGGCCAAAGATACGACCATGGCCGTTGTAGATATGAGGGTCCTCCAGCTCCTTACCCGGGGGCGTGTTGAGCTTGATTCCTTCGGCGGTGATGGTCTGCCATGGGGCCAGGGTGAATGTGCCCGTTTCGATGGCATACGCAGGCGTGACCAGCTGGGCCATCTGTTAGTTCAGAGCCGGAAATACCCAGAGTCAAAGATTGCCTTACGTCCGCATTTGCCTCGGCCACATTCGTAAACGGATCCGGGTACTTGAGCGTCTCCTTGCCCGGGTAGAGCGGCCAGGCGGCGACATGCACCTGTTCGCCCAGCGAGGCCGCATACGCCTTCATGAACGGGTTCATGTTCTCCCAGCAATTCAGATGGCCCACGCGGCCGATCTCCGTCTGCGTCACCGACTCGGTTGTGTCGCCGGTGCCGTCGCCAAAGACCAGGCGCTCGACGTGGGTGGCCCGGATCTTGCGGCGGTGGTTGAGAATATCGCCGGTGGGAGAGATCAGGACCTGCGTCGTGTACAGACTCGCAAGGTCGACCTCGGAGTAGCCCAGGGAGACGTAGATCTTGTTGGCGCGGGCGGCGTTGCGGATGCGGCGCATCTCCTCCGAGTCCGAGGGCAGGCTGTTCTCCCTGTACTTCTTCAGCAGAGGCAGGCTCTCCTGGTAGTTGACCTTCCAGGCCCAGTAGGGGTATCCGGGGATCCCTGAAGAGTCAGTACGGCTGGTGACACAAGGAGGTCACTCACATAGTTCAGGGAAGGCGATGAGTTTGCAGCCAGCTTGGCCGGCTTCGTCAATCCAGTGGATGGTACGGCGGACAGACTCCTCGAGGTCAAACCAGCCGGGCTCAGCGTTGACTGCTGCGGCCTTGTACTTTTTCAAGACTGGTGCCATGGTAGCGAGAGTGATATGAGCCTGAGTTACTTCGTTTTCGGTCTGTAGATCGATGATGAAGGGGACACAGAGTCGAGTCTCGAGACCTTTATATATGCGTTAAAAGGGCTCGGGCCATGTTGTACTTTGAAGCTGCATGCTCACATCAGTCCATCCGGATGACAACTCCTCGGTCTTTGCATATTGCTCTCGGAGTAACACAAATGGGTATGTATCATCTTCGTCGGGATCTGAATAGGTCTTGCAAGATCATACGATTATCGCGTATGAGTGTAAGAGGATAAGCAGGTCAGCAATGAGACTGACCCGCATAGACAGTAATCATGATAAGCGACGCGCCTTATCTGACGATGTACACTCGGTGTATGCTATTTATCTGCAGATCCCGAGCAAAGACCAGGAATCCAAGCAGAATTGGGGAATTTATGCACAAGTCCTACAATGAACGTTCCATTTGTACTACAACCACAGAGTAGTTGCATCAACATCGGCGTCTAGCACATCTAGCAAACGAGAGCCGGTCCATTCAGAATTGCAATCATCTCACTCGGCTTCCTCTCAACAAAGCACTCCCCTTGAGATAGTATCCTCCCAATGCCACCGCAACACTGGCCGCCCCCCAGAGAAGCGAGGTGTTGCTGATCAACGTCTCCTCTCTCACCCGTCCAATATACGTTTCTTTCTTCTTCCCAATCAAAGACTTGCCAGTTCCTTCGGCAATATAGTCGTCCCACCGGACGCTGGATAGTTCGTTCTGGTAGTCGATGACCGTACTGTGCCAGTTATTGGTGATGCGTCCATCCTCGGTCTTGTACCAGCTACTGCAGTGGGGGTCGGCAAAACTGCTTTCTTTCAGGGCTGCCTGGATATGCTCGTTGAACTTCTTCACAGCTTCAGGCTTAGGACGCAGTGCCAGCCTCTGACCGTCCCTCTGCGCCTGGAGCATCTGGCTCACTAGTGTGCTGATGTACCTTGATTGAGCTTCGATCATCAAGATAATCGAGTTATGCCCTGAGCCGTCAGCATCTCTCCACTCTTCAAAGTGAGTGACCAACCGAGATTAGTGTTTGGCCCATATAACATGGCGAAATTAGGCAAATCCTCCACCGTCACACCATAGTACGCCGTTGCCCCCTCCTTCCAGATATCCGATAGAGAACGACCATTCGCGCCCTTGATCTGGATGGGATACATGAACTCGACCGTTCTGAACCCCGTCGCCACAACAATGAGGTCAAACTCCTTCGTCTCGCCGTCAGCGGTCTCGATCCCCGTTTCCGTAATCCGCTTGATGGGACGAGTCTCCAGATCCACATGCTCCTTGCTCAACGCAGGATAGTAATCATCCGAGATAATCACCCGTTTACATCCCGGAGAGTACGTCGGCGTCAACACCTCCCACAAATCCGGCCTATCGGGCAACTGCGCCCGCATGGCATCGAGACACGACTTGCGGATCACATTCGCGAGCGCCGAGTCACCATCCGTGACGGCATCGTGGAACCATTCCCGGAAATCCATCATGAGCGCTCGTTTGCGCCACCGGATGGGCGGGATATATGTCAGCAGAGCTCTTTGCACAGCACCGACGGGTTTATCTAGGCGCGGGATGACCCAGTTGGGGGTGCGCTGGTAGACGGAGACGTGCGAGGCGGTTTTGGCAATTTCAGGGATGATCTGGGCGGCGGTTGCGCCTTATGCACTGTTACTTGACTATTGCTTGAGCAAGACGCGGTGATGGGCGATGACTGACCATTTCCAATGACGGCGATTCTCTTCGCTGTCCAGTCGTAGCTCCAGTCCCACCGGGCGGAATGCATCAGTTTGCCCTGGTAGTCTTCCAGCCCGGGGATGTCGGGCATGCGGGGGACGTTCAGCTGTCCGACAGCCGAGACGAGAAAGTCGGTGGTGATTTCGTAGGACTCGAGGTACTGGCTGTCTTTTCCTCCGGAGACCTGGACTCTGACCTTCCATTTGAGGTCCGAGTCGTCCCATCGTGCCTCCTCAACAGCCGAGTTGAACCGGATGTGCTTGTACAGGCCGTACTTTTGAGCTACACCGATCAGATAACCCTGTTCCGGTCAGCTTGTTGACACCGTTGGTCACAGGGCGGCAATACCAATATCTCCTCTTGGCCTGGATATTCCCTGGTCCAATCGGGCTTCTGTTCAAACGAGTAACTGTACAGGGAACTCCAGACGTCGCAGCACGATCCGGGATAGCGGTTGTCGTTCCATGTGCCTCCGACCCCGCTACTCTTCTCCAGGATGATGAAATTGTGGCACTTGCTTCGTCTGATGAGGTCGATGGCCGTGGCCAATCCTGTCTCGTGTCAGAAGCTGAAGGATTGAGGAGCGTAGAAATGCGTGGTACAAACCGGAGATGCCCGCTCCGATGATGACCACAGTCGAGCGGGTAAAGTCCTTATTTCCTACATGTCTTCCTACATCTGGAGCCATCTTTACGATTGAGGTTATTAAAGTGAAGGTCTGGTGGGTCACTAGAAACTACCTTCCAGAGCACTTATATCAAGCACAAGGACCCCGCACGAGTCAGTCACCGGCAATCGACACCTCTGGGCTTTGTCAATACCTCGGATAGTGGACATACACTCAAAGAACCTACTCGTCCAGACTAACCGATCCATGGAGAAACACCTAGAGACAAAGCATAAATGGCACAACTACAAGTCGGGATTTGAAGCTCTGCATGCGGGGAGTGCGGGGATTAAGGTTACTCTTACGGAGTACTAGGTTCCCAGAGCTGATTCGACTGTTTGTTATCTGCCGAGGATATCATTGCGGGATCTTCGGATGTTGATCGACATATTATGCAGATCAGGAAGTGTGTGATTCGATGGACTGATGGGGGTGTAAGGTAGGAGCGCACTGTGTAACGATCAGCGATCATTTGGTAGAGTGTTCAGTAACGAAGCTGCATGCTCGATTTGATCCTAACAATCATTAAATACTGCAATGGCGCTTTGTAAACTCAAATACCCTACTATATCACTCCTTGCTGCAGCTGGGTACTTCCAGGATTGTACACATCACCTGCAAGGCAATCACGCGCAATATATTCCACGATAATGGCCAGCCCGACATACCGCTACTTGAAGCCACCGGCCTCGCTGTCTCGCTGCACTGTGGGACATTCGACGGTCTAAGGGCGTCACAGTCAGGTTCCTATCGGATCATTGTGTCATTGACTTTGCCAGAACTATTCCTATGATAACTCCCCTATTATCTGCCCGATACAGCTTAATCTGTCTCATATAGCCATAACCGGGGCGATATCACATCATCAGGCAAGATGGCCGAGTTGGTCCAAGGCGTGAGGTTAAGGTCCACCTTAATACCAGACTCTCCCGAGTTTCCTCATCATCGTATGATGGCGTGGGTTCGAATCCCACTCTTGTCATTTCAATTTCTTTTTTGTCATTTCTTTTCTTTTCTTTTTTTTTTTTTCCCTTTTTTGTTCTTTCAAAATTTCCATACATACCCGGATGAGTTTTGACAAACCTGTATATGGCTCTCAAGCCTCTAATTTGCCGCTCGGCCCTCAATATACCGCTGGTCACTCCTGGCCCGATCGACAACTGGCACACGCTAACAGTATGAAGAACACCACCATTGTGATATCTCTGCTTATCGCAGTAAAGTATTTGCGCACGGTGACTCCAGAGATAAAGCTTATGAGCAATAACACTGACATGGCATATGATCGTCAGTCTAGCTGTTCTGTCCCGAGCTGACGGCCATCGAAAGACGAAGAATTGACAAAGATATAAATGCATATCACGTTATATTCAAAGAAAGTCTATATACAAGCCCAAGTCTAAACTTCCCCCCATCAATTCCGCTGACGCCATGATCTAATCTGATTCTCGTGTAGTCATCGTACGCTTCAAACAGTATACCAAAACCAAAATCGTGTCATGCACGTGCGCCTTAGCTCAAGCAGTATTGGCGCAAGTAAAGCTGGCGTTGGAGGAGTCGTCGTGGATAGCCTTGCCGGAGACATACAATCCCAGGCCACACTGTCTTGATTAGTCTCTTCATCTCAGATTAGAATCAAGAAAACTTACCATGGTGGCACCGATACCGACAATCAATATGTTGATAATAGTCAAGCATATCTTCCGAGGAGATGAAAACCATCTACCCCAATTGATGTGCAACCAGTACACACCGGGGAGACCGTAACTGAACCAACTGGCGAAGAGAGAACTCTGTGATCTGTGAGTATTTGATATTAACAGGTAGAGAGTTATGACCTACAATCAAGCTGACGATATTAGTAAAAGAAGGAATACCCTCGGCGATGATCCAGGCAATAATCCAGCAGCTTAACCCGATGGCAATCCAGGAGCCAATAGAAAGAAGATCGCGCTTATGCATGCGGCCAGACTTGCGGAAGATACGGACGTAGATGTATTTCAATCCAACATGGCCATTGACGACACCAGCTCCGACAATCTAGGATATTGTGAGTGTTCACACAGCAGATGAATAAGATGAGATGCACCTACAGTAGGAATAGCAATACCAAAGGCAACCTTCTTCAGCAGAGGACCGGCAGAACCCAGCGCAGGCGACACAACGTCGTTTCCAACATAGTAGTAGATGACAATGGCAGCGGCCACGTAGAGCGCAATCTCGAAGAACTGCAGCATGCACAGGGACTTGGGAAACTCCTTAGGGTCCTCCATTTCCGCAATGAGACCGAAGAACGCAACGTGGGCACAGTACGCGAAGACAATGTTGGTCACACCAGTGAAGGCGTGATAGATGTTGGTCTCGGCGGTAATACTGATGTTAGCACCTCCCTTGTACTGGACTCCAACGCCAATCATGGTGATCATCACCGCTGAGAAAATACTCAGGAAAGCTGGAGTATGTCAGTAATCAGTTCCGGGGAATGGTCAAAGGGGCCCTCACATGCAAAGGAGATATATGTCATGTTCTTGATCGTCCGGGGCAACGAGAGCACCATACATATGATCATACCAACGATGCTAAAGACAATCGAGCAGGTGCCGTGGTCCGTGATTGTGTTCATCATGACGGTAAAGGTGACAATATGACTGCCCATGATGAAGATCGAGAAGAGAATCTGGCCCAGACCGAACAGCTCACGACCGAACCGCCCCATAAGGATTTCTCCGGCATCAGCAAGGTTATGGATATGAGGATAGCATTGTCGGAATTGTCCAATTGTGTAGCCCGTGTACAGCGCAAGGATACCAAGACCGACTATCAAGATGATCGCGCTGCGACAATTAGCGACGAGCGCGCATACCGCCAAGCACACACTTACGGGACCAGACCGAGGGCCGACAGAGTTGCAGGCAAGGAAAGCACACCGAGGGAAACCGATTCCGCAATCATAACTAAACAGGTCAGACACGTTGGATTCACATCGAGTTGACTCGTTTCCCATTCAGCGACTTACACATTCCACATTGCCTGCAGCAAGTCCTCGTTAGCAATCGACACCCTTGACATGGACAGATTAGGACGTGCAATACGTACCACCACTTGAGAGTCTTGTACTTGACCTCTGCATTTTGCTCGTCGCCAAAAGGATCAACGTAAGGGGTATTGTCGATTGGTTTCAAGTCGGCACCGTCATCGAACGCCTTCTCCTGATCTCTCTGCTTGGCATCGCTGGGATCCGATGGTGGGGGAACGCCCTCCAACACCATTGTCTTCGTTTGCTCCGGAAAGGGAAGTGACGAGAAGGAATCCAACCGAGCAACGACGGGGGATGAGTTATTTCAAGAGTTGACAAGACGATAGAAGAGGAAGAGGATGTGATGATATGAGTGGCAGGTGAAGAAATTTCTGGAGATCAGCTAGGTGGGTCGTGGCAATGAATCTGTGGTCTCAGCGGTGTTGGCGTTGATCTGGAGAATTGCGGAAATATGAGTTGTCTGGGAAAACAATTGGTAATTCGCATTAGAAAACGACGTGATAAACAACCCCACGAGAGATGCACAACCCCCGGATGCCGCAGCACAATCGGCAGTAATGGATCTGTTCCTGGGAGGGAAAGTGTCATCGTGTTTTTGTTCCTATTTCCCAGGTAAACTTCCAATCTGCACGCGGCGACTCAAGCTCTACAGACCCTGCGGCTGTGGAGCTTATTCATGACTAAAAGTAAGAGTTGTCCAATCATGACTGAGGATCTTTCTAAAATTGAGTAACAAGAATGGCCCACTCCAGCCCTCTGCCGCTGCAACCGAGTCTAGCCGCTGTTTTCTTGCATTTCATTGGCCAGATATAGTTCCCTTGACAAACTACCTATATCATCAGGGAATTTCTCTTATTAATGCCGAGCACTTCCTGCCACGATGTTAAGGATTCCAAGATCTTGGACTCGATTGTTTAACGGAAATTATCCTCATTGCTCTGAGGGCTTCTCTTGATCGCTAGAACTTTGGACCTGTGCAATTACGAAGCATACAGACTGGCAAGCTGCTGTGACTCAGGTGTCTTCAACCGGGGAGCGGACTTGATCCGGCATGTAAGGGAGCTTCATGTCGAACCGGGGCCTCATCGGTGCCCGGGAGTTCGGATAATCTTTGCTTAGCTTAGGTGTTGGGAGGGTTATGAAGGAAAGGCGGGATCTCCCTCAACGTCAGCATGGCATGTTGGCAGAAATAGATAGTAATTATATATCCGGCAGGGCGCTTTCTGGAGGTCGCCTACATGACTATGTACTACCACTGAAGAGGTGAACTAAGACCTACTTTAAGCCGTTGCTGCCGCCCCCCACAACGGAATGGCGGCATTCAGAGCAACGCCGAAGAAGCATCGCAGCAGCTTCTCCTTCACTGCTGTGGATTTTCGTAACGAAGACACTCCACGCAACGCAACTGCCAGAGATCTCTCTTGTGCTCCTGACTTGGCCGACGGAACTGGTCAAGCCGCGCAAACACCTCTCCAATGTCGAAGCCACACTCGCCGACACAGCCAGGACTGGAGCGCTGGACGGTTGCCCGATCCGCCTCTTGAACTCGTCACAAATCCCAAAGAGCTCATCCCAAGACTTCTCAGTGGCAATGGAGTCTGCCTCGTGGGACGCCGTATCCGCAAGCAAGGTGCATTGCACAAAAGCGGAAAGTAAACAGAACCGTTGCAGATTACTGTGGAATGGGCTCGGGACCCAAGGCTTCAATATCCAACATCCGTGTTCTGGATTTCAGCAATAAAACTCGGATCAAAATAGCCTGGGAAAAAACTTCTTGATTCGAGTAGTCCCACAAGCACCGATTCATAACTGGCGAAGACGATCGAATAGAGGGATAGTACTGAAGTAGTTGCCCATGTAGATAGTGTAATTATCGCGACGTGGTAATCCTTGTTGTGCCAATTGAAGAACCATAGAACTAGTCATGGTCATATCCTCTCGCTTTTTAACCTCCACAAGAAACTCATGGCGGCTTGTCCATATCCAATAAAGAATACATCCTTGATCGGCAAAGGCGAAGAGCTGTAACCTTGTTTGATTGACTTATTTGGCATCTTGAATGTATGGTGAGAACGCCCAAAGCCACGGATCATAGTCTCATCTATAGCGACTGCATTTCAGGCTCCCAGTGCTGTAGGCAAGCAAAGCGCAAGTGAGATGCAAAGGAAATCGTACGCTGGGAGAAAAAGGTTCAGCCATTTCAAGAGGTTCAAAGACAACATCTTGGTAAGAAGGTAACTCCTGAAGCATCTGCGCTAAATGCAGTTTTGTTTCCTTTTTTTTAGGCGAAACAGGAGGGGTACTGAGGAGATGCAGTTGATAGAGCTGTTATATTGAAGAAGAAGCCTCCCAGGAAGGCCCTCTGAGGGCTCTCCAAGAGGTTGACCGTTGGCCCCATGGATCCATGGTGGTGGAACAATGGAATGTACTCAACACATTCATAATGCATAATGTGTTTGTAGGGTGTAGGAATCATGATTTGAGTAAATTGATATATTCCTAGGTAGTAGATAGGTAAGCTGTGATAGGTTCTGTTACTGTAATGGCAGTGAGGCCTAAGCGGCCAGTAGGAAGGCTGTATTAAAATTACCGCTAAAATGACAAGTCCAGGGCAGCTTTTGCTAATTATTTTTCTTATTTCTGTTGGAATTCCATCCGAAGCTGCCATCAACTCCTCAGAAGAGTTGCATGATCTGTGGATGCTCAAGAGCATTTATTATTATCTTAAAAGCTGTGCTGCTTCTATTTAGTTTTAACTAGCAGCAGCAATGCAATTACCAGACGCCACGTGCTGCATGGCGCCCTAGCACCTGGAGTTCTGGATTTCCTCAAAATAAACTGCGCGAATTTGCTCATCATAGCCTCCAGGAGCCCAGGCTAATAATGTTTATTGTCGTTAGATTGAACCAGATGTACCAGGTTAACAACCCCCGCCCTCCAAAAAAACTTTATATGTATGAGCTGCTCATTCTCTGCTTGTGTTGGCTTTATTATTGACCCTTGACCCTTGCAAATGCCATATTGAGGTCAATTAATATCCTCCTCTTCTCTCCAGCCTTCTTCTTGATTTCTTAAATTAAAGGCCTCAGACACAATGAAGCGTGTTCTCGTCCTTTGTTCACTTCTGAGTCTCGGACATGCCGCATCATCTACTACCAGTTCGATAGGCAGCGGTATGGTCATGAGCACTGAGATGCCAACGAGCAGCATGAGCTCCATGGCAACATCCACTTTCAATGTCTCTGCCGCCGAATATACGATCACGGCCCTACCTAATGTAGCTTCGCAACCAGCGTGTGTTTTCAACTGCCTCATCCCCATCGGTCTTGCGGACCCCTCCAACTGCGACGACGTTACAAACCAATGTGCATGTCTGAATGCGCCCGTCGATGCCATGTCCGTCCTCACCGACTGTGTTGCGACGGTCTGCAAGTCGAGTACAAGTGCATACGCTGCTGCTGCAACGAGCTTGTATGAGAGCTACTGCAATAGCGTCTTTGGAACATCGCAGTTCTCATCCGCAGTGTCGGCAGCCGCCACAGCCGCGACAGCGACGACTTCTGCTGTATCGAGTACGGTTGCGGAAACCCATTCTGCGTCGGCAACTGCGAAGAGTGGATCTGTGAAACGGTCACCATCCTTGTAAGTGGCTTTAAATGAGATACGAGAGACTGATGGTATATCGACTGATAAATTCTCATAGGCGGGCGGCTGGTCTTTGCGTCATTGGAGGGATCTTGTCAACTATTATTGCTCTGTAGGGGGGTTTCAAGAGGTGCAGGGGCATATGCATGCGAGAAAAATTGCCATTATTCTTTGATCAGGCAGTGGTCCTACATCCGCGTTCCTGTATGCGCGCTATAGATGTCTAGGTGGTGGGAGCCAAATAACAGTCTAAAAGAAGATACGCTGCAGACTACCAAGTAATGTGGGAAACTTAAGAAAGATCAGGATAAATACTCCAATCCCTATACACATTCGAAACAGAAGAATCGTCCAAACTTTTCTCGAATTCCATCACGTTATTCCTGTTTCATGTTTACATTGTCAAGCAATGACAAATGTCATGCCTGACCAATGGAAACAACGTCAGCAGTCTTCCCCTTCCCTCTCACAGAAGAAGGACACCGATCGTCGCAAGGAAAACCATGGAGAGCCACACGATGGCGCCGATTCCTGAATATGAAGAAGTGGTCGATACGGCTCCCGACTTCGCAGAAGGAGATGGAGACGTGGAAGTCGTGGCTGCGGTGGTGGTCGACGCGGACGAAGTTGGTCCTGCAGGCAGACTGGAAAGAGAGGCATCCGTAGTGAAAGTGGCCGTAAGTCCAGTCACATTCTTACATGAACTGGGCGCCGGCTGAGTTCCAGTGACGAAATTGACGGCAGCACACTGTTGCTCCAACGTTAGAATGTGATCCAAGCAGGTACGCGATACAAGGGGCGAGGCGGACGATCGTACCTGGTACAAAATCCCGTCCGGAGCGTCTTGGACGACGCCAATGACGCCCTTCTTCCCTGCCCAGGAGGCCGGCACAGTCACCACTGGCTCGCAGAAGTCACCGAGACCGGTCTGCTGGACGGCCGGTAGTAGTGCTGTCCAGTTCCCTGCTGCAGTTATGTCGAGAGTTGCGCGGAAGAGCCATGTTGCTTGTGGATGAATGGATGTCACGGCGATGGCGTTGCCGCCAACATGAAAATCAGTCACGTTATCCGTGCTGAAGTCGACAGTGAAGCTGCCGCATGGAGGAGTAGTTTCGAGGCTGTCATCAAAGCCGATTGTGGGAGGATAATTCAGAAGAAAGTGCGCTGCGCATTGCCTAATTGACAAGACCAACACACTAAGAGCTGCAATTGAAAACCGTGCCATCTTGTAGGAGCCTTGTTATTGATACAGTTTTCGCAATAATAATAATATGAGATGAACAGGCAGGAGTTTCACAGTAAATATGACGGCAACTGTTACCTATTATTTAAAGACTCTGATGCTTGATGCATCCATAAATAAAGGCTTAATTATTCCCTCACCTAGCACCGCTAAGCATTTTAGCAGAATTCTGGTAATCTATTCAGTCCCTTATTCGCTTAAAATGTCTACCACTAAAGTGCCTAGCGCTTCCAGGTGAGGGGATAAAGTTCATATAAGCTTTCTGACCCCACTGAGACATGAAAGGGCTTCTGTGCTTCAGGATTAGGACTTACATCCATCTAATAAGTGAAATAACGGGTAAACGGCATCAAACAATGCAGAATCTCTACATATCAGTGGGTTGAATCCATGGTAGAATCAAGCAATCTGGGTGGTCCATCCGGAATTCGGCATCCTACCTAATATTTCCTGGATGACCGAGAGTTTACCGGGATGAGGTGATAGTGGTAACTGATAAGTACCTTACTACCTACCTATGGTTGACACCTAGACTAGTCACTAGGATGCGCATAATTGCGCACATTAAACACCACAAGACTGGAGGTTGGTGCGTAGACTACATTGTCTTTGTCATCTTTCCCACCTCCATGATATTGAAGACTTTTTTGACACTAACTACGGAGATAAAACCAATTTGCTTTTCTTATGGTGTGTAAGGATTAAGGAATACTGTTGGGGGGTGTAATTGCTGAATATTTGTCCCTGTGCTTCCATGTTTACCATTAGCTCATCTTCTGCAGAGAAAGGCTTCTTTCTCTCCATCGCAGCCTCATAATCGCACTGTCTTTCTCAAATATGGCTTCGATGGACAGTATGGCAGGCATGATGGGAAATATGGGGGGCATGGACATGTCGTCAGACGGCATGTTTCGTCCATACAACCAATGGCTCGCAGCGGTGTACTGGTATATCATTGTTGCTGTCATTGGGTTTTGTTTGCTCCTGCATGGTCTGCACATATTCAATGCTCGACTCAGGTACATACATTTTGTCCATTCTATGAAAATATAAACTACTAAATTGTTCCTTTCCTACAGGATATGGCAGCTCCACACACATTCGGTATCTCAACCTGCGCGGCCGCACAATTGGGCCTCGCAGTTTCTGGCCACATGCACTGCCCTTGTTCGAGAAAGCTCCTACCCTCAAGTTTTCGCTATTTCCAAGACGGGACTGTCCTGGATGACGCCCCCATCCCTGGGTCGCATGTGGATTATCCTCTCCTACTGGGTCATGATCACAATCCTGCTTACCTACAATGCTGTAATGCACGACGCATATTACTGGGAGAGAATCGGCTTCCGTGCTGCCTGGATATCTGTAACCCAAATACCCCTTGTGATCATCCTGGCTGGAAAGGTCAACGTTATCGGCTTCTTAATCGGGTCGTCTCACGAACGACTGAATTGGCTTCATCGATGGGTCGCTCGAACCCTTTTCGTCTCGGTCACTGTACATGGGGCTTTCTTCCTGGCTGAATGGGTCCGTGCAGACTTCGTGTCCCTTGAATTGGAAATGATGCCTATGGTCAAGTATGGAATGGGGTCTTGGTGCGTTCTCCTTTGGACCAATCTAACTGGACTCGCACCTTTGCGACACATGGCGTACGAATTCTTTGTCCTCCAGCATCTTGCATCTGCTGGGATCCTGCTGTGGCTCCTTTATAATCATGTCCCATCATATGCAATGTACAACGTATGGATAGCCATTGGGTTCATTGCATTCGACAGGGTTGCGTACACTCTGTGGTTTGCGTACCGAAATCTCACCTGCCAAGGTGCTGCTGCAAAGTCCAATCCCTTTGCCTGGCGCGCTGGGTATCGCGCCGAGATTGAGGCGAAAGACGGCGAGGTAACGATCATCACAATAAAAGATGCCAGATTCAATTGGAGACCTGGCCAGCATCTGTATCTTTGGATACCGAGGATTGGATGGATCGAATCTCATCCTTTCACCATATCCAACGCTGCCCCAGAACCCTCCGGAGAATCAGCTACCAGAGATGCACAACTGGCCATTCGTGCCCACTCTGGCTTTTCAAGGCGACTTTATAAGAAAGCTCAAGCCGCACAGCCCCAAATACCGACAGTGATGACGGCATTCATCGTTGGTCCATTCGGTGCTCCTCCGGCCTGGCAAACATTTGAAACCGTCCTTCTCATTTCTGCTTCTACAGGAGCGTCTTTTACACTGCCAATCCTAGAAAGCATCCTCTGCAATCCGGGATGTGTTGCTCAGCTCAGGTTTCTGTGGCTTGTGCGGCAGAGACAGGATTGCGATTGCTATCTTGACCGTCTAAAGGCATTAGCCTCGCAAGCCGAATCCCTCCCAAGGATTTCCGCACGCATCGAGATAGCTGTCTCTCGAGAATTTACTGATGGTGGTGATGTCAGGGATATATCAGAATGTAGCTGCTCATACAGTCCGCCTGCAGATACAGAGATCAATCCCATCACAGCACGGGAGAAACTTGAGATCAACCAAACGAGTCTGGTCACAAATCCTGAACATGTACCACTTATGCAAATGGGGAAAGAGGGAGACATTGCTCCTCCCACTTGTTCTGCAAGTGCTTCCGAAGCCTACACGAGATGCAAAGCACCAGTGCACTTCTCTCTCAGGAGAGCGAATCTTCAAGAGTTCATCCTTACTCCAGTTGAGAAGGCTTTTGGCGAAACTATGGTTGCTGTATGTGGAGGAAAGCGCTTGACTTCGGACGTGAGAAACTGCGTTGCTAAACTTTCAGATGATCGGGCTGTTCACAAGGGGACAGGAGCTCAGGGAATCTGCCTTTATGTCGAAGAGTTTGCTTTTTAATAATGTCTGACCTAGCGACCCTCTTCCATTCGTCGCCATGCTGGGCACAACTTGGACAGCCTGGGAAGCACTTCCAAGGACTCAACCCGAACTTACCCTGGTCGTTCCCCTGTGCTTCCAATTTCTATCGCCCTCAGACAACCGATTGCAGCTGAGCTCACGGTAGGATGACACCCATCCAATCTTCTGATCTCTACTTTCTATCGCGGTGGCCATTGTGACAATGCGATTATCACTGAGGGATCATTTGGCCTGTTCGCAGCCTCGGAGCCTCAGGCAGTCAGAGCCTCACGTGACTATACCGAGAAGCGGGTCAGGTGACTCCAGGTCCTTCTGTCAGGATTCCATCCCGTTTAGGTTTAGCGTCCCGACTTAGTCAGCCTATATATAGTTGGCCCCTGAGCCATCCTAATTGGACACTTGGCGCTTCCCGATTCTCTCAGGTTATGGCCCTATGTTGA